TAAGCCGTTGAAAAGCCGTTTAGAATTATTTCATCAACTCAAATATTTTCAAAAACTGCCACCTTGAAGTCAGCCGGAACGGCCAGGGAGAGTAAAACATTAAACGTTTTTTTTTAATGTGGATGGTGTTTTACTTTGGTAGCATATTTCAAAACGTAAAACCATTATGGTCCATAAGAACAATAAGTAAAAATACTATAAGCTCAGTTACACAGAAGCCTAATTTTTTGTTACGTATTTAGTTAAAATACGCGGTAGAAAAATTAATTACAAAAGAAATCTAGGCACATCATTGTGTTGTGCACATATTTTCGCCGTAGGCATTTACTTTGTCGGCTTCTCCTCAGTCGGCATTGTCCGTATATATTTTGTACTGTTGGTGGTTTGCGTCAATGACAGCCTTGTTACCGTGTCGGCTTTCTATTTTGGTCCTATGCTTTGTTATGTAATGAGCGTGATAAATGTGGACGGTACAGGTGGTTGATCTATTGTTGAGTCGACGATAGCAAATCACATTAACTACGTCTTAATGCCATTTCATGCAATTTAAAGTTAGTATTTAAAAAACACGATGAAAACCAAGAAGCTTGCAACATTATATTATAAATTATATCAAACATTATATATATATATATATATATATATATATATATATATATATATATATATATATATATATATATATAACGGAATAAAACCTACATAAATAATACTAAATATTTTAAGTCTGTTATAAATATTACTATATTAGGTATACAACCTACGCAAATTACGTTACATTTAATTTATCGTAAGTTGATTTGTACTTTCTTAATATTTAATTCATAAAAATATTTACAAATCCCATGCGAATACATAATAGTATTTGTAGCTTTTTTTTCGTATGATTTTTTTCCTGTGACTTTTTCCCCCTCCAATCGGGTGGAAGGGGGGGGGGGCAGTAGCGTACGCAGGGGGGGAGCAGGGGGAGCGGCCGCTCCCCCTCTGGCCATTTTCAGCAAAGTGGCGCCTTTTTGGAAACTTTTTAAACTCAAAGTTTTAAACAATGATATTTGTTAAAAAATATTTTTGGTCGGCACATCTATGTAAATCACAAGATTTCTTTTCATGCAGCAATTAAGCATTATTGTACTAGTCTAGCAGTGTCTACGTTTACAAGACGTATTAGCAGCTGCATCAGTTTGCCATTCTAAAAATAACCATTACGATGCATTGCAATGTTTAAAAAACCTCTACGGGTAGTGCCACTTGGCAAGAGGGGTGTTAGGTTTAAGGCAACTGTATAATGTATTTGCTTACGAATAATTGAATTAGAAAATGTTATATATAAAACTTCACACATAATTACTTTGTATATACAGTTTGAATCGTGTGATTAATTTAAAAAATAATTACAATACAGAAACAAATACAACTGATGTGGCACCACTATTTAAATTTACTTATGAGCAAACTGCGTAGTGGTGGGGACATTTTGACAAGGTCAACAACGCCATCACGATGAAGCAGGGCGTAGCGAGGGGTGGGCGGGGGGTGCGGACCGCACAGGGTGACACCATTTAGGGGGGTGACACCAAGGCAAAAAATAGCAAAATATATAGAGAAAAACTTGAGGGGGGGGGGGGTGCAAATCGAAAGTTTGAGGGGGGGGGGGTGCAAATCGAAAGTTTGAGGGGGAGTGCAAATCGAAAATTTGAAAGTTTGTCCCCGGGAAGTGTCGCTACGCCTCTGGGGGGGGGGGGTGACACCATTAAGTGCCGCACCGGGTTACACCCGACCTCGCTACGCCACTGCGATGAAGTAGTAGTATTCTTACAGTTTGGGCGAAAGTGATTACGATTACAAATTATATGAAACAGTTACAACCCCCCCCCCCCCGTCCCCCATGGACCCCTCTGTAAAAAAATATTGTCATAATACCACTGCTACTTATTTAAATCTATTTCTGTAATATATATATATTTGTGTAATATATATTTGTGTAATATATATGTATAATTAGAACAGTCATCTAAAAAGCTGACGCTATGTTCACTCTGAGTTGGTTATCTCCCCCCCCCCCCCCCCACACACACACACCTCTCCACCACAATTGTGTAGAGCGACATTAATGTCATACCTAGGTATACACTGGGTTGGATAATTGACCTAAAAAGAACGGACAGTGGTGAATGAAGTTGAACCCACCCATCCCCCCCCCCCCCCCAACCCACCCCGAACTGATCTGCTAAGGACATGTAGAAAAACGCGTAATGATGTACCAAAGTACCATGCCGCCAGAAAATTAGCTTTTTAAAAGTAAAACTCTGTGAATATTGTTTTTGCAATTACCAGTAAAAAGGTGTGTGAGCAATACAGTGATCTAACCCATACCTATCACTATGTTAAAAAATGATCATCAATGAACACAAATCAGCAGAAGTTAATTTTAATACATGATCTGAACTAAAAGACCGTTATATAGTTAAATGTAGGCTGTTATTCCGATTGTTTTTCTATTATATCAAAAAGCGTGGATTTATACCAACTCTGATTTTAAAAACTTTCATTATGCTGTAATACTTTAGCATTTAAGATGACGATATATTAAATTCTGATTATAAACAAAATCATTTTGTAAACACGAATAGTGTTAAACAGTTTCATTATATTCTAAAGTAATTATTTATTTGTTTTGACATTTATAATTAAATGTGTAGACATATACATATTTATATCAAGAGAGTGATTATTTCCCCTATTTCACTTGTTAAATAATTTCCCAGGAATTAATATGTAAGAAATTTTTTCATTTTTCATGAATTACAATACAGATTGTATTACGTTCATTGTTTTTGGTTGTAGTGTGTGTATATATATATAGTTTTTTCGTTTCAATTGGCACAATTTTTGTTTTGTCGGCCTACATTGTGTGTTTTTTTCTTATTTCTTCAGAGTGCTACTTTCAATTTATTTTACATCATAGCAAAGTAATGACATATAGCTAGTAATTATATATATATATATATATATATATATATATATATATATATAGGCCTATATATATATATATATATATATATATATATATATATATATATATATATATATATATATATATATATATATATATATATAATACACGTATATAGAATTCGGCGCCTTTTTTTGCTCTTTTCGCTCCCCTTACAACGAAAACCTGGATACGCCTCTGGGGGGGGGGGGGGGTCGACTTATGGAGGCGAGAAACGTGGAGATATGACAAAATGTATCCTCCCTCTGTTCAACTATTCTGTATACGAGAATTTTTTTTTAAATGTGGATATGATTGGCGGTAGGGGCCCTTAGGAAAGCGAAGAAGAAAAATTAGAAACACGTTAAAACCTCCGGGTGTCAGCTTATTTCAATTCTAGATCTACATCTCAAAAAATCAAATCAAATAATTGCCCCATCTTCCGTCTATTTCAGCCCTGAATGACGACACGAGTCGTTTGATGACGGCAGACACCGTGTAGGCGAGGCTGCAATGGCCAGGCTTTTTTAACCCTGAACCCACCAGTTGCCTGGTAATGTCTCGATGCTAATTAAGTTAATAAAAACATGTTGCCAAAAACGTATCTAACTCGGTCAGATTTTGGCTTCATTTTTTGAAAAAATATCCTGAAAACATTTCATCATCTGCTTCTTTTTTTAAATCACACATAGTTGTTAAACAATCTGAAAACATTTTTAAATTTGCTCTGTTTGTTTTTACACTCCGGTTCTAAAAATAAAAGCTACGTATTTTACACCGACCGAATGAGCGACAAGAACAGGAACTTTGGTCAGGTTTATTCAAATACACTTTTACACACCAGAAACATTCACACACCAGAAACATTCACACACCAGAAACATTCACACACCAGAAACATTCACACACCAGAAACATTCACACACCAGAAACATTCACACACCAGAAACATTCACACACCAGAAACATTCACACATCAGAAACATTCACACATCCACACTCCAGAAACATTCACACATCCACACACCAGAAACATTCACACACCAGAAACATTCACACACCAGAAACATTCACACACCAGAAACATGCACACACCAGAAACATCCACACACTAGAAATATTCACACACCAGATACATTCACAAGCGAGAAACATTCACACATTCACAAAAGAGAAAAAGTGAACTATTCCCTGCAGACAAGAAGTGATACATCCCACTCCACGATACCCACTAGGCGAGCTTTAATTTAGCCTATTAATAATGTAGCATTTCGAAATGTTTGTAACTTCATATTCGTCACTCAGTCGATAAACCGTTATGCCATTTTTTAACGGTCAAATCCCCCTCCACTCCCAGCCCCCTAAACCAACCACGACCATCTACTCCGGCTGTCTCATGTTAAAGTACTGCCAAGTAAAAATAAATGTAAAAAATCAATATTTTTTTTTTGCTCCTTGAATGTTATTGCTTCTTTTTCAAGTCTTCAATTAGATTTTAATAGCAAAACAAAATGTACTGATTGCGTCCCTTCTGTCTATCTCTCCACCAACGCGGAGTTTTCCCCCTTGCTGGCAGCGCTGTACGGTCAATCATTAAGTGTCAGTTCATCAATTCACTAGACGGACGTTTGGACCATTTATTTGGTCTGACTAAATCATTCAATAGCTTCAAGTGGAACTTTTCTTCCATATTTCAATAGCTAAAAGTAGAACTTTTGTTACATATTTCAATAGCTACAAGTGGGACTTTTGTTACATATTTCAATAGCTAAACGTAGAACTTTTTTCCATGTTTCAACAAGTACAATTGTAACATTTGTTTTATATTGCAACAGGTACACGTTTGTACAACCTGCCATAGCCTGTATGACCTGAGTGATCCTGTCATTGTATCACGTCCATCTGTTCAAGAACCATACCGAGCAATCTGCTCAAACAATTACAATTTTAATTAGCTGACTTGTGCTAACAATTTTTTTTTATAATAACCAGTTGTTGTTTTTTTTAGATTGGGTTAAAGAAGAAGTTTTTGAGGAAAACAAAATCTTGACACTTTACATCATCACACAAGAGGCCAATCGTAACCCTCTACCACGTAGGTACTAGAGCTCCATCACGGTCACATAGTAGAGCAATCAAGACATAGAGATAGGTACGTACAGTCAAGAGAGACAGATAGGTACGTACAATCAAGAGATAGGTACGTACAATCAAGAGATAGGTACGTACAGTCAAGAGATAGGTACGTACAGTCAAGAGATAGGTACGTACAGTCAAGAGATAGAGATAGGTACATACAATCAAGACATAGAGATAGGTACGTACAGTCAAGAGAGACAGATAGGTACGTACAATCAAGAGATAGGTACGTACAATCAAGAGATAGGTACGTACAGTCAAGAGATAGGTACGTACAGTCAAGAGATAGGTACGTACTGTCAAGAGATAGGTACGTACAGTCAAGAGATAGGTACGTACAGTCAAGAGATAGAGATAGGTACATACAATCAAGAGATAGAGATAGGTACGTACAGTCAAGAGATAGAGATAGGTACATACAATCAAGAGATAGAGATAGGTACGTACAGTCAAGAGATAGGTACGTACTGTCAAGAGATAGGTACGTACAGTCAAGAGATAGGTACGTACAATTAAAAGATAGAGATAGCTACGTACAATCAAAAGATAGAGATAGGTACGTACAATCATGAGATATAGATAGGTACGTACAATAAAAAAATAGGTGCGTACAATCAAGAGATCAACTTACCCCCAACTCCTCATATTGTCGATGTAAACAAAGTGTGAAAATCACATCCGAGGCTGACATCACATTTCACAGTTCCACGCGCGAGGCGGGCAGATATTCCATTGTAAGATGAGAGGTGTGGTCAGCGCGGTGCCACCACTGGTCAGTGACGTCTGCCCTGCAGGTGCCCTGGCATCGGCGGCTGTCCTGGTGCTTTGACGTCACGGCAATGTCGCAGTAAGTCAGTGCTGACATCTGCTGGTGAGTTGTCTCCCCTACTGATAGTTGTTGTCTCCCCTAGAGCCAGGTAGCGCAAGTTATCGATCTTGTCCACGCTCACGCTGCGAGAGACGCGGGGGGGGGGGGGGGGGGGGGGGGGTTCACGCCAGTCGTTACACTAGCTAGGTCCAAGGGGGGGGGGTCTTATAGTCGTTATACTAGGTCCACGTGAGAAGGGTTACCTATCACCCATCCCCCCCTCCCACACACACACATACGCAAAAAAAAAAACCAGAACATATAACAAAAATATCTAACCACACCTCCACGCATTCACTAACACACAAGGTGCCCGTAACTATATGTTGTCTAGAGCCTGGTTGGTCAACACCTGGTTGTCTAGAGCCTGGTTGGTCAACACCTGGTTGGTCAACACCTGGTTGTCTAGAGCCTGGTTGGTCAACACCTGGTTGTCTAGAGCCTGGTTGGTCAACACCTGGTTGGTCAACACCTGGTTGTCTAGAGCCTGGTTGGTCAAGACCTGGTTGTCTAGAGCCTGGTTGGTCAACACCTGGTTGTCTAGAGCCTGGTTGGTCATTAACTGGTTGTCTAGAGCCTGGTTGGTCAACACCTGGTTGTATAGAGCCTGGTTCACTGGTTGTCTAGAGTCTAGTTGGTCATTAACTGGTTGTCTAGAGCCTGGTTGGTCAACACCTGGTTGTCTAGAGCCTGGTTGGTCAACACCTGGTTGTATAGAGCCTGGTTCACTGGTTGTCTAGAGCCTGGTTGGTCATTAACTGGTTGTCTAGAGCCTGGTTGGTCATTAACTGGTTGTCTAGAGCCTGTTTGGTCATTAACTGGTTGTCTAGAGCCTGGTTGGTCAACACCTGGTTGGTCATTAACTGGTTGTCTAGAGCCTGGTTGGTCAACACCTGGTTGGTCATTAACTGGTTGTCTAGAGCCTGGTTGGTCAACACCTGGTTGGTCATTAACTGGTTGTCTAGAGCCTGGTTGGTCAACACCTGGTTGGTCAAGACCTGGTTGTCTAGAGCCTGGTTGGTCACCTGTCTATTTTCCACCAGGTTAACCCAGCCTCTGCTTCCATCATCAGGTCTGTGGGGCCATCACTAGCTGCTCTATTATTATTGTGTCGATGATTTCCCTTGAGCACCACGAGTTATCGTTCTTGCGCAATTCTGGCGTCAAATGTTTGATTCAATGGTCAGGTGTGGGCTCATCAGCACCTGCAGAATTACAACATACAACTCACGTTACTGGCAGAATTACAACATACAACTTACGTTACTGGCAGAATTACAACATACAACTCACCTTACTGGCAGAATAACAACATACAACTCCCGTTACTGGCAGAATTACAACATACAACTCACGTTACTGGCAGAATTACAACATACAACTCACGTTACTGGCAGAATTACAACATACAACTCACGTTACTGGCAGAATTACAACATACAACTCACGTTACTGGCAGAATTACAACATACAACTCACGTTACTGGCAGAATTACAACATACAACTCACGTTACTGGCAGAATTACAACATACAACTCACACACATGCTGCGCGACTGAATGTGTTGCCTTAAATAACCCAGCCATCACTTCGATACAGCCAAACGACGTTGATTGGTCGGTTAGGATCAGGAAACAGCGACCAAGTTGGACGTCAACAACTTGTTGAATGTTGGTTCAAATGTTGAATGTTGGTTCAAATGTTGAATGTTGGTTCAAATGGCGAATGTTGGTTCAAATGTTGACTCGCGAGAAATGTTGAATGTTGGTTCAAATGTTGACTGTTGGTTCAAATGTTGACTCGCGAGAAATGTTGAATGTTGGTTCAAATGTTGACTGTTGGTTCAAATGTTGAATGTTGGTTCAAATGTTGACTCGCGAGAAATGTTGAATGTTGGTTCAAATGTTGACTGTTGGTTCTAATGTTGAATGTTGGTTCAAATGTTGACTCGCGAGAAATGTTGAATGTTGGTTCAAATGTTGACTGTTGGTTCAAATGTTGAATGTTGGTTCAAATGTTGACTCGCGAGAAATGTTGAATGTTGGTTCAAATGTTGACTGTTGGTTCAAATGTTGAATGTTGGTTCAAATGTTGACTCGCGAGAAATGTTGAATGTTGGTTCAAATGTTGACTGTTGGTTCAAATGTTGAATGTTGGTTCAAATGTTGAATGTTGGTTCAAATGTTGAATGTTGGTTCAAATGTTGAATGTTGGTTCAAATGTTGAATGTTGGTTCAAATGTTGTCCCGCATACAATCGGGGCATCAACCCGTTATTCGGTGAGTTAACATCGAACTGGTCGTCAACACACTGTACACGACAACCGTGTCGGACAACCACCCACAACCATGTCAGACACAACCAACCATGTCGCGCAACCAGCCAAAACAGACGACCTCGACAGGCAACCCTTGCCAACCAGTACAGGCAAACCTGTACGTCTGCTAATGGTTCTCCAATAGGTTGTTTTGCTGTGGTTGCATAATGCATCCAGTCTGACCTATTTGTTGTTGCGCAACGATTTCTTCAATCAATTTCAAGTATGTAACACTAGACTTACTCCGCTGTTAATTATTGCTAACTTTGTACTTCAGCGTCGCCGATGCATCATGTACATGTATTTGAGCGTTTTATCTAATATATATCATGTACATGTATTTATCGGTAAGCGGAAAAAGTCACAGAAAAGAGTCACAAAGGGAATAATGTGTCGGATAAATATCACTCAAATGTTAAGTAATACTAGCCGTCCCGGCCAGGCCCTGCACTGGCCCCTGTGAAAAACTTATCTGCAAAGGATTATGACTTGAGTGTTTGGTAATCAACATATATCAGGCAATGCCCGGGTTTAGGAAATATATTCCTTTTCGACTTAATCATAACCACAACCAACCAAAACACACTAAAAAAGCAAACATAACACAACCGCTAACACAAATACAAACACAAACGAAAACACAAACCCTATCACTAACATGAACTCAAAGAAAACACAAACGCAAACAAAAAAGCATACGAAAGCAAATCCAAACGAAAACTTAAACCCAACCACAAAGAAAACAATAACGCAAAAATAAACGCAAAGTGCTCACAGTTTAGCCCGGGGCGCCAAATCGCATCATGCTGATTCAACTTTGTAAACGACTATAGTACCACAACTTATTCATAGTCTTGTGCACTCACTTAAACGAACGTAGGCGCCATATCGAACACGGGAAGGCTCATGGCGCCAAATAAGATCATGTTGGGGCACCGGAGGACGCCCGGATTTAGGTAAAGACTATAGTAACCTTTCCTATGCATAGTCTATCCCATTGTTTAAAACAAAGTTATGCACCATATTGCGCACATGATAGTACAGGCCGCCAAATCGAACCCTGCCGGGGCGCAGGCGGACGCACCTGATTCAATTTAATGAACGACTATAATACCCCAAGCTTACCCGCACACGTAAAGATAGAAGTAAACATAGAGGACTTTAAGGAGCTAGCTTCTTATCTGTTATTGATTATAAATAATATTTAGTAAACAGTACGTTCAGTGTATGATAAAATAAAAAAAAAGGCAGTATTTAAAATATCTGTGTTTTACTTACCACATTTCACTTGATTAATCTGCGCTAATTATGGAATTTATTTTTTTTCCAACACCAAAACAAAGTAATAAAAAGTAACCCCCCACCCCCCGATGTAATGTTTTTTTTTAATGGAAGTAATTGTGTTTTCCTAATTTATGACTAAACTAGCCGTCCCGGCCAGGCCCTGCACTGGCCTCTGTGCACTAAAAGACTTTTGCAACCTTTCTTATCCATAGTCTATCGCACTTTTTAAAACGAAATTATGCACCATAGCGCTCACAGGACGGTGAACGGAAAAAAGTCACAGGAAAAAAAAACACAGAAAAAAGTCACAGTTTTTGCTAGGAAAAAAAGTCACAGAAAAAAAGTCTCAAAAGAAAAATTTTATCGGAAAAAAAGTCACAGAAATAAAATCACAGAAAAAAAGTCACACAAATATTCTAAGAAATATTTTGATTTAATTGTTGATAATTATAAAATGTTGGATGTTTATTACTGTGATTGGTATTTTTTTCAGTAGCATATTTGTAAACTTTGAAAGCATTATTGTTTATAACAATAATAAGTTAAAATGCTATAAGATAATGTACATAGCAACGTCAATAAATGTTACGTATCCAGTTAAATACGCGGTGGAAAACTATTTTAAAATAAATTTAGACTCGTCATTGTGTTTGCATATGTTTTTGACGTAGGCCTTATCTTGGTCGGCTTCTCCTCAGCCGGCTTTGTCCATCCATATTGTGTTTTGTTTACGTTTTGCGTCAAAGCCGAGAAGGTTCGAACATCATATTAAATTCTATTAAATATCATATGTAAAAAAGAATTACAATTAAAACCTACCAACTTTATACTAAAATCTTTTATGTATTATAAATATTACTATATGTAAACAAACTACGCATATATATCTAAAATGATTATATTACATTTAATAAATCACAAGTTGATTAGCGTAATACATATAAGTATTAACAAATTCATTGTAAATATACATTTGTGACTTTTTTTCCTGTGACTTTTTTTCCTGTGACTTTTTTCTGTGTTTTTTTTTCTGTTTTTTTTTTTTTCGTGTGACTTTTTTCCTACAATCCACAGGACAGTCCAGGGCGCCAAATCGAACCGTGCAGGGGCGCCGGCGAACGCGCCTGTTTCAATTTAGTGAACAATTAAAATACCCCAAGTTTATTCGCAAACGGAAAGAAGTAAAGATAGAGCAGCTGGCTTTTTAACTGTTATCGATTTAAAAAAAATATATTAGTAAACAGTACGTTCAGTGCATAAAAAAATAAAAAATAAAAGACAGTTTCTAAAACACCTAGCACATTGTACTTGATCAATCCGTGCTAGTTATGTAAGTATTTTTTCCCAACATCAAAACAAAATAATAAATCCTCCAATGTTTGTTTTTTTTATAAAGGGAAGTAGTTGTGTTTTCCTAATTTATCCAGGGACGTAATGTGTTCTAAAGGACTCAATGTAAATAATTTTCAGACATAATTAGAATTTGTGGGAAAGGTGCGACGTCACACTTTTACATTATGAAAAGCAATGTTAGGAAACGAATTTTAGACGTTATTTCGCGTTTTAGAAAACTTTTTTTAATAAATTGTAATAGGAATTGTTTAAAATACTCTTTTTCGACAGAGTTCTGACAAAATTTTAATAAAATATCAATGTTTTAAAAAATACGATATTTTTCCCAATTCTTGTCTGAACTCTGTCAACGTAGAGTATTTTAATCAATCCCTATTACAATTTATTAAAACAGTTTTCTAAAACGCGAAATAACGGCTAAAATTCGTTTTCTAACATTGCTTTTCATAATGTAAAAGTGTGACGTTACACCATTTGAACCCCCCCTCCCCCTCATCACACACTGTCACAAAATTACGGACCCCTCTCTCCCCCCCCCCCCCCCCCCCCCATTGAGTGTGACGTCACTCCTGCTTTATTTTCATCTTGAACTTCAACTAAAACTGGCGGGTATTTTCTCGCTTCGTCTGAATCATTTCTGCATCTACATGATGCAATAGAGGACTGGTGATTAAACCATCCACCGGAGAAGACGTGACGAAACAAAGAGTGGATTGTTCCCGAGTCAATGCCATTGATTCCCACAAGACTTGCTTGCTGCAGGCTATTCGCGGAGCAAAGCCGGAAAATTTCCTCCTCACAATTTTCGGTGTTTAATGGACCTTGAACTTTCACATTTTAAAATCGTCGATTTCTTCATCAACTTTAACATTTGAGCGTGTCAGTCTTGTGACGGGCGCGGCGTCAGTCTTGTGACGTGCGCGGCGTCAGTCTTGTGACGGGCACGGCGTCAGTCTTGTGACGTGCGCGGCGTCAGTCTTGTGATGGGCGAGTCAGTCTTGTGACGTGCGCGGCGTCAGTCTTGTGACGTGCGCGGCGTCAGTCTTGTGACGGGCACGGCGTCAGTCTTGTGACGTGCGCGGCGTCAGTCTTGTGACGGGCACGGCGTCAGTCTTGTGACGGGCACGGCGTCAGTCTTGTGACGTGCGCGGCGTCAGTCTTGTGATGGGCGAGTCAGTCTTGTGACGTGCGCGGCGTCAGTCTTGTGACGGGCACGGCGTCAGTCTTGTGACGTGCGCGGCGTCAGTCTTGTGATGGGCGAGTCAGTCTTGTGACGTGCGCGGCGTCAGTCTTGTGACGGGCACGGCGTCAGTCTTGTGACGTGCGCGGCGTCAGTCTTGTGATGGGCGAGTCAGTCTTGTGACGTGCGCGGCGTCAGTCTTGTGATGGGCGAGTCAGTCTTGTGACGTGCGCGGCGTCAGTCTTGTGACGGGCGCGGCGTCAGTCTTGTGACGTGCGCGCCGTCAGTCTTGTGACGGGCGCGTCAAATATGCGCTGCAAGCGACAGATTTATTTTTTTTTTGCCGAAAGAGCCTACTTTTTTACTCAACAATTCAATGGATTAAAATTCCGATCATGAAACTGAACTTTAGTAAATGTCTGTTATTATTTTAGTTTCAACTGAAAGCAAGATTGAAATTTGACATTGATTTTTTATCTACTGAAGAATCAGCTGGTAAAAAATCAAATGTTATAATTGCCATGCCCTTCATGCAGTGTTTCTTCCAGACTTTTTTCTCCGGGGGGGCACTTGAAATCTTCGGGGGTGCGGTAAACTTTCTTCGGGGGGGCGGACACTGTTAAAAATATATTTTTTCTATATAAAATATATAAATTTCATTTCGTTCGGGGGGGCGGTAAAAATTTTTCGGGGGGGCTTCGCCCCCCCGAAGAGATGCCTGGAAGAAACTCTGCCTTCATGCGGCCATACGTCACCATGACTACACAGAAAACAATACAAACGCATACTACACATCAACTGTTAACTGTCGGACACACTACACCACATCAACTGTTAACTGTCGGACACACTACACATCAACTGTTAACTGTCGGACACACTACACATCAACTGTTAACTGTCGGACACACTACACATCAACTGTTAACTGTCGGACACACTACACATCAACTGTTAACTGTCGGACACACTACACATCAACTGTTAACTGTCGGACACACTACACATCAACTGTTAACTGTCGGACACACTACACATCAACTGTTAACTGTCGGACACACTACACATCAACTGTTAACTGTCGGACACACTACACATCAACTGTTAACTGTCGGACACACTACACATCAACTGTTAACTGTCGGACACACTACACATCAACTGTTAACTGTCGGACACACTACACATCAACTGTTAACTGTCGGACACACTACACATCAACACGTGTGACGGTTGCACTATGATGGTGTCAGATTGAAGGAGAACTTTATATCTCAGATTCTTGAGACGAATTTCTTTTCCTGGGATGACCTACTTTTATTTAGATGACCTACTTTTATTAAGATGGCCTACTTTTCTTGAGACAACCAACTAAAGACAGCCACAAATTCTCTGTGAAAAGTTTTGAACTTTTTTATTAAAACTGTACAAATCTGACATTTAAACAATAAAAATCATCCCAATGGGCACCCAAGTTTAAAGACAACCTCTTTCTGGAACTCTCTACACTCACAGACCCTGGGCCAGCTTGCCTGTGCAGATGTTTCTAGCACCAGTAGGCACCTACAGGGCAGCACATTTATCATCAGGTAATGTTTGATTGACTCAAGTATGTAGGGCCAGACAATTGGAGCTCACACTCCATCAGGTAATGTTTGATTGACTCAAGTATGTATGGGCAGACAAGTGGAGCTCACACTCCATCAGTCCAGTTGATAATCTGGCCTACAGCACAGGAAATTTCAAACGTCACAGCCATATAAGCTACAGCCATAGAATCTCAACAGCCATATAAGCTACAGCCATAGAGCCAAACACATTACAGTTAGACATGTCAAAGCCAAACACTCTCGAGGCATGGATTGGTCACTCCCCATCGCGACACTCCAACACCATCTTCCTAAACCTGTCAGCGTGTGCCCCACTGGCCCGCAGAACTTCCTCCGAGCTGGAGGGGGAGGGGGAGGAGGAGAGGGAGGGAGAGGAGAAGTTGATCAAGTGCTGGGAGTGGTCGCCCTTGCTGAGCTGGTCGTCAACGATGTTGGAGACTCGCACCACTCTGACACGGGCGGGGCTGATAGTTCTTTTCTTGGCACCCAGCAGCACGGTGCCAGAACTTGACAGGGTGGCGCCACAATGGGCTGATCTGGGTGGTGCCGGCTGTCTGCTGACGCTGCTGTCACTTCTTGATGCAACTGGCACCAGGCCAGCAGATGTTAAAGTCTTGGAGTCAGCCAGGCGTGTCATGCTGGTGGAGTCAGCCAGGCGTGTCATGCTGGTGGAGTCAGTCAAGCGTGTCATGCTGGACGTGGATATTGTTGACACGGGGGACAGAAGCTCAGACTTAGGAGGTGGGGATGTCAGGTCGATGTCATGTCTGGCTCTCAGTGGCCCAACTCTGCTAGACCCAGGGCGGTGTGGAGGGGACATCTCTCTTGAGGGCGTCTTTGGCAGAATGCTGAAAATAAAAACATTTTAACATTGACTGCAACAATAAATATTTGTAAGCTAAAATTTCAACATGGGTATCCATTAATGATGTCCACACAGTGTGTGTGGGTGGGGGGGGGGGTGTCTGAAAATGTGGGGGTCTTTTGTGGACTGGGAGGTGCTTTGAGTGGGTGCTGGACATTACCCCTGGACATTATGTCTTGATAAGTAGATCTAGATCTACAAATCTAAATCAAATTTGAATGAAATAGTTCATTTCTTCATATTCTAAAATTGGAAGATGACGCCGTGAGTGTTGTGTTCTTTCCGTAGTTTAAACATGTGGCATGTGATGTCATTGTTTTTTTGCGTTCTTTTCATAACCATAAACACTTTTCTGGTTGCATAATCAAAAATGTGTTTCTACATTCGAATATGCCATTATTTTTATTTTCCTTCTTTAAATAAAATTTAGTTTATACATTTAATACATCCAGGATATTATTTTCAACAAAAGTTCATATCATTAAGTTCTCCATATATCGCTGAAGATACTGATCTCATAGCCTCGTAAAATATTGTGCGGTCGGAGAGAGAAGGAATTAAAGAAAGCCATTTATATTCATCTTTTATTACCTATTATATAAATGCTTGATATTATAAACATTTTAATAAACAAATGGTATGAAATTGTTTTTTGGACATGATGAATGGAAGAGCCCCATGTGAGAAAATCCCAATGAGAGTGAGAGAGAACTGTACTCACGTTTCTGAGCCAAACTTTGGCTTGTGGACGTCAGGGGTGGCTGTCAGACTACCAGTGGCCAGAAGCTCCTTCTCAAGCAAAGACCGCTCTTCTCTCAACTCTAGAAAATGTTAACATCATGTTAAATCTCTCAGCTCTAGCAAATGTTAACATCATGTTAAATCTCTCATCTCTAGCAAATGTTAACATCATGTTAAATATCTCAGCTCTAGCAAATGTTAACATAATGTTAAATCTCTCATCTCTAGCAAATGTTAACATAATGTTAAATCTCTCATCTCTAGCAAATGTTAACATCATGTTAAATATCTCAGCTCTAGCAAATGTTAACATCATGTTAAATCTCTCAGCTCTAGCAAATGTTAACATCATGTTAAATCTCTAGCAGATGTTTTAAATGAAGCTGGTATAAGATGCAGTTGGAATAAATTGTAGCTGGTATAAAATGTAGCTGGTTTAAGATGTAGCTGGTATAAAATGTAGCTGGTATAAAATGTAGCTGGTATAAAATGTAGCTGGTATAAAATGTAGCTGGTATAAAATGTAGCTGGTATAAAATGTAGCTGTTATAAAATGTAGCTGGTATAAAATGTAGCTGGTATAAAATGTAGCTGGTATAAAATGTAGCTGGTATAAAATGTAGCTGGTATAAAATGTAGCTGGTTTAAGATGTAGCTGGTACGAAAGTGCTACCTGTGAGGGTTGGCTCTCTAGATGCCAACCTGGGGGTGACACAGTCCCTGATATCCACCTCTGTGTCCAGACAAGTGTGCAGGAACTGGATGTCCTCTATCAGCTGGTCAATCTCTTGCTCCAGTGTTCTCCTACACCAGAGGGAGGGAGGGAGAGAGAGGGAGTTTATCTACAGGCAGAGATGCTTTTTGTCAGAACTATTTGTATGAAAAGTGAATCAACAATTCCAACATAAAGTCAAGAGCAATATCATGCTCGTAGTCATTGGTGACAGCCAACAGGGTTCTTACAGTAATTGTTCACATAAAAGGATTCTTACAGCAATGATAGGCAAAGAAAAGGGTGTTTACATGCCATGAACTGCTGGAACAGAAATTCTGATAGGCAAAGAAAAGGGTGTTTACATGACATGAACTGCTGGAACAGAAATTCTGATAGGCAAAGAAAAGGGTGTTTACATGACATGAACTGCTGGAACAGAAATTCTGATAGGCAAAGAAAAGGGTGTTTACATGACATGAACTGCTGGAACAGAAATTCTGATAGGCAAAGAAAAGGGTGTTTACATGACATGAACTGCTGGAACAGAAATTCTGATAGGCAAAGAAAAGGGTGTTTACATGACATGAACTGCTGGAACAAAAATTCTACTGACCGTAAACTGAGACACACTTGGTGGAAATCCAGGTAATTCAGTTGTTTGTTGACAGACTCTACTTCACCTGTAAGCTCATCAGCCAATGACTGCCTGGGGAATGGAAACCAACTGTTTATGTAGACCAGTTTACCTGTGTGTTGAGATGTTTACCTGTGTGTTGAGATGTTTACCAAGATGTTTACCTGTGTGTTGAGATGTTTACCTGTGTGTTGAGATGTTTACCTGTGTGTTGAGATGTTTACCTGTGTGTTGAGATGTTTACCTGTGTGTTGAGATGTTTACCTGTGTGTTGAGATGTTTACCTGTGTGTTGGAATGTTTACCTGTGTGTTGGAATGTTTACCTGTGTGTTGGAATGTTTACCTGTGTGTTGGAATGTTTACCTGTGTGTTGGAATGTTTACCTGTGTGTTGGAATGTTTACCTGTGTGTTGGAATGTTTACCTGTGAGTTGGAATGTTTACCTGTGTGTTGAGATGGGTACCATAGGTGTCTCCCTCCCATCTGATGACCTGGATGTTTTGCTCAATGATGATCCAGGTCCTGGTGACAGAATTTATTTACCAAAAAAAAAAAAAATTAACAATGTGTACATTGAAATCATCTTTTCATGTGGGGCCAGTAAGCATGTTGTTGGGTGTAGTATTAAAAAACGAAATCAAATTTAGACTTACACATGAATCTGTTTTATTTATTTTAATTAAGAGAGAAATAAAATTGGTGGGATTTGATTTTTTTAAAAACTAAACATTAATGCCCCACTGGACCAATTATGTACTTAATGCCGCACTTGACCAAGTATGTACTTAATGCCCAGATTGACCAAGTATGTACTTAATGATAATGCTTTATTAATCTTTCAGGTATTGCATTTTACATTAAAATTAAAATGGTCATTCAATTTATGTACAGTAAAATTAAAATGGAAGAGAACTAACTTGTCATTTCTGTGGCATATCCCAGAATCTCAGGGTTGTGTTTCTTTAGAATATGCTGAGGATCTCTGGAAAAGAAAAGGCTTTTAGTACCTTTTTTTCATCTTAAAATAGAATAATGTTAAAGAAAAAGGCTAGAAAACTAAACTTACATCCCTTTTTGCTTGGCTTTTTCTTTCACATTTTCAACAAAAAAACAAATTTCTTGGACAAGGCGATCTCTTAGATTAGGGGGCTCAGGCAATGTTGTAGGTGAGTGAGTCAAGTCATTTTGTTCATCTCTCATGTCTCTCCATATTTCAAGCAACATTGAGATCTGGTCAAACATAGAACAGTTTTAATATTTACATATATACATATATAGCAACATTTATTCTTTTATTTTGTAGTTGGTATCATCCCAAAGCAGGGAGCCACTTCAACCATTTAATAAAATAACAAGCGAACCTCCTGATGCAGCTCCAAACTTTGCTCTACCAATGATGAGCCCAGCATCTCTTTGATCTCATCCCGCTCATGGACTTGCACATTCTGCTCAACCAGTTGCCATAGCGACAATGGCTTTGTGTAGGCTTGCATAGTTCAGTTTTCTAAAATAAAGATTAAAACAAGTTTACCTTTCATTAAAGAGAGTGGATCAGTTCAAGCAATAAATGATTATAAAGAAACACACAAGGTGTAACAAAACATGGAGGCTGACCTGGATTAAGGTTCACTAGGACATCTCAGTGTTTGGTTGATGTCTGTCTCTTAATGCTGTCAAAATTATGGGTTAAAAAATAGCTGTCAAAATTATGGGTTAAAAAATAGCTGTCAAAATTATGGGTTAAAAAATAGCTGTCAAAATTATGGGTTAAAAAATAGCAGTCAAAATTATGGGTTAAAAAATAGCTGTCAAAATTTTGGGTTAAAAAATAATTTGATTGAAAAACTTGATCAGTAAAGTTTTGAGAACAAATTACTATGAAGTGGGGTTTTCAGAATACTGATGATGGAGTTCCTGTACAGCCAATCAATTTTTATCTTACGAAAGTGAAACTTCGGTTAATGATTTAGGTTTGATGAAAATAAATAGAGATGTAGCCTTAAACTCAAACAATTATTTTCAAGTTCTCTGAATTTGCAACTTTTATAACATTGGTTCTATTAATGCTAAAAATATTAAATTTCTGAATTATTTTCAGGATTGAGTTTTTTATTTTTTTAAAAGCTGTTTTGATGGCAAATTCTAAAACAAAACCCAATATTTATCTAATGGGGATTATCCATACATGACGTCACTCTTTTTTGACGATTTTTACCTCCCTCCTCCCCTCTGTCACAAAAAGCCAGACCCCCCCCCCCCCCTTAAAATGACGTCACACTTCAGCCTACAAACCCCCTCAAAATAGCTGTTGAATTTTTCTTAAAACATCAATATTTTTCCAAAATCTTGTCAGAACTCTTTCAACAGAGTATTTTGATCAATTCCTAAACTAAGTAAAAATTAGTTTATTAGTGGTTACTACTAATTTAGGCCAAGTACTAGATCTAGTTATAGTAGTTAAGTTAGCTATTTATTTAATATCAGTTTCCTAATTCATTGACGGACGCCTACCACAAAGCAACATCAGTTGTTTAATGTTTGTTTAGTAAGCCTAGGCCTAATACAAATTATAACTAATAGTTGCTAGACTAACTAATACTCTAAGTATTACTTTTAGTAATACTAATAGGCTAATAATCTAGTAGGCTTAGTTCTTATGTCTTATTATTATACTTTCTTATAGATTTAGTTATTTTTATCATTTTATTATACTATGTAGGCCTATTGTTTATGTTGACAGTTGATGATAGTAATAATAGGCCTAAGTAAAATAATAAAAATTAATTTGGCCTAGATGTTTACCCATTTATTTATTATTTAAGCCTTAATCAAGTGCAATGGTGGAGAAGATTATAATATTGCCAGTCCTTATTATTAACACAATTCGTAATTCACATTCAACATAGTTTTACCAACATCGATAATTAACAGAAGAAACATAGTACCTAATGATTTCTTTCGAGGTCCGCCATATTGTTTATCACAACGGTAACCTATCACTAAAATGTCTACCATAATTTGTTCCTGGCTGTTAGTATGTGCTGTGCTAAATTTAGTTGGCTCGATGTTTTATTGGCCGTTGGAATAATTTAAATATGTATGCTGTTAAATTTATATCCGTTTATAAAACGATTTTTTAATTAAAACTCTGAAAAAGTCACGATAACTCAGTGTTCAAAATGTGATTTAAAACATAATAAGCTTTAAAAACGTTTCACCGCAATTTGCGTGTCATCTATTACTTCCCTTACAATAAACAGAATTTTTACTTTAAGTTAAATCCAGGGTTTTAGCTCTCGACGTGTAAAAGGCTAGGAGCAAATAATTATTCCCCATTGGAAACCAGACAAACAAACAAAAATAATCTTTGGTCATTCTAACCCCTCCATAATCTTAATGTTTGCCGAATACTAAATAGAAAAGTTGTTAATAATTTTAGGCAGTTTAACTTGAAATTTGTAGTTCATCATAGGCCTAAAGTGTAGGCTTACTGGATATATCAATTTTAATAAGATGCTGGATAATGAATTCAAGAATTTAATTATGTCAATAAATAAGATTTCTTTACTTTGTCTACTTCTACAGACTTATGCGAATTTGCCGATGTATTTTGAAGGCATCTCAAATGATTTGCTAATAAAGAAGTAAAGCTTTTATGTTGATCGATGCTTCACAAACCATGTCTCTGAGCCATCATATGAAAACAAATTTTACATGTTTTCTAAGCATTTTAAGCTTTGTAATTCACGGCATTGTTTCACCACACTTGTTTTAAAAATTTAATTAGCTGAACGCTTGTCTATAAGTGCTATTTTTGGCTTGAATGGCCTAACTTGCCCCTGGAAACATTCGGTACGCTACTCGAGATTTCGCTAAAGGGGTCGTCCATAAATGACATACCATTCGTAGTGGGGAGGGGTCCGTTATTTTGTGACGGTGTGTGATTAGGGGTGGGGGACGGATTAAAATAATCTATGTTGACGGAGTTCAGGCACGATTTTGGAAGAATATCGATGTTTTAAGAAAAATTCAACTGCAACTTTGAGGGGGGGGGGGGGGGGGGGGGGGGGGGGTTGTAGGCTGAAATGTGACTTCATTGAGGGGGGGGGGGGGGGGTCTGGCTTTTTGTGACGTGTAACGCAGGGGTGGGGGAGGTCAAAATAAAGCGTGACGTCATATATGGATGACCCCTAAAGCACAGGACGCCTATGCTTACAAATGAACGATAATTTAAGGCCAACAATGTGTGCAAAATAGAGCTACAAATTAGAACTTAATAAAGGAAACGGTGATTAATTATTTAAAAATTAATTAAACATCTAGTTAAGTCGCAGTCAGAGTTTCTTCCAGGCATCTCTTCGGGGGGGGGGGGGGGGGCACTGCCCCCCCCCCCCCCCCCCCCCCCCCCACGGAGAAAGTCTACCACCCCCCGAACGAAATGGAATTTATATAGAAAATATAAACTTTTGACAGTGTCCGCCCCCCCCCCCCCCCGAAAATTTTAAGTGCACCCCCGGAGAAAAAAAGTCTGGAAGAAACACTGGTCGCAGTGCATTGTAATCGAATATTTACCTTCTTAGAATATTGAAATAAATCGGTCCGCTAAAATTTCTTATTTACTTATTTCTATATTTTAAAGATTTACTTTAAAACTAGAGAAATTACCTTATTCAAAAAACTTTCTCTAGGCCTAAGTATTTTAGATATAAGTTTCGATAAAGTCTACTGGTTCAGGCGAAAAGAGCCGGCTATTTTCAGTGGTCAAAGAGAAATAATCGAGTATTTACTAAATTTACTAAATTCGGTTAATTCCCTTTGAAAAGAGCAAAGGGGAACAAAGCTGCAGTTACCTCGCTTACATGGTTTTTTTTTTAGATATCTTATAAACTCAATTATATTAAACTTAATTGCGATTCGAAAAAATATACTTAGAGATTAATCTGAATGTATCTTCTTCTTCTTCTGAATATACATAGTTATTTAATATAAATAGTACTAAAAATATGTAAGTGAGCTAAACTATGAAGAGAAATAATTTCATGATTGTTGCCCTTTGATCATAAATTTGCAGCCATTTAAAAATAAAATGTGAGTGACCTCCCCTGAATTTTCTCGTATAGTGTAAGCCCTATTCTAATAAATAATAAAACAACTACAGGAAGGCAGATAGATCTAGCAGTCGTGCTACAGACAATTTAGTATTATTATTTTTTTGACACTTAATTTTTAAAAAAAGGAAATGACCGAGTGGAAAAAATAACTGCGCCCACAGCAATGTGTGCAAAATAGTCCTAAAATAAGTACTTAATAAAGGAAACAGTTAATTTTAAAAAAAGTTAAACCTCTAATTACATCTAAGTCACATTTTATATCGCAGTGCATTGTGATAGTCTTGACCTAATTAAAAATAATTGAAACAAATCTGTAGAAATTATTCTTTTGTTCTTGAGAAATCGGGAATAGTGTTAAGTAACTTTTCCAGTCATCGGAACTTATATAGAAAGAATGTTTTATATTTATAGGAGTGTTTTGAAACCCTAATCCCAATTTCTCTCTATAGTTGACTTCCGAGTGGTGGGGTGTTTCTGCACCTACTTCTTTTTTTTTTCCGGCTCTGAAAGGTTGTAAAACATCAGTTTGTCAAAATCTCAGATTTTCGCATGATACAATGCATCCTTTATATTTAGTACAAGATAAATAATGTAAGAAGGTGAAGACCAGGGTGCCAAAATTTTCCTGATGATTAAAATCTTTTTTCTAAACCAAGAAAACTTTTCAAATGCATCTCTTATTTTATCACTACACAAAAAGTACAAACACAGATGGGACCAGCAGACATGCAAGCAGACATACTAGCAGACATGCACTGCATAGAGAAGACTTACACTACATACAGCTTATTTTATTTCAAAACTTTCTATTTAGTAGTATCACTGTGTGTAGGGAAATCCCGTCCTGTTTCATCACGGTTATTAAATCACAATACATTCATGACATACATTATATCCAAACAGCAATGTTAAACTTTAACAAAAGATCAGTCATTTAGGACATTCTTCCCTCAGAACTAGTGATCATTTTTCACACTAAAAATACCCAATGTAAAAAGATTCAAAAGATGATATGTCAGTTTATTAAAAAAAAAAGTTCTGGATACATAAATTCATCTGTAACATAACTGGATCATGTCATCTGTAACATGCAAGGTAAATTGTCTCTTAATTAATAGTTAAACAAAACTTGTTTACAAACTGGAATGTCTGTTGGGGTGCCAAAAGTTGTAAAACTTTAGAAATTATTTTTCTTGAGACAGCTGATGTAGATGTGGGGATACACAATAAAAAAAATTTAAAAACAAAAAGGTCAAAAAAATAATAAAAATGTGAACCAATTTAATGAAGGAGTGTATGAAAGCAATCAGATATTTATGAGAAATATGTGCATTTTTCAAAGAATTATGGATTAAGTTAAATGTGTGACACAGCGTTTAAGATCTGACAAGCCTAAAACTTTTATTTCCTCATGTGTTTGTGGTGGCCAGATTTTTGTACGTCCAGTTCTCAATCTTCAGCTGTGATATCAAACTGTTTTATCTTGAATGACAAAATGTCTTTGATAATATAAATATAAAAAATGTGTGGATAACTAGGACAATTAAAAAAATACAAACATAATGAATGAATCAAGGTGTCAGGCAACACAGAATGTACTTAAAAAAATATGTGGTGGCCTGTGGTTTAACATGCTGCTGGTGAGTGATTGCTTGAATGGAATGCCTACATTTACATACATTAATTTGATTCTTGTAACTGTCTATCTTATTCATCATCATCAAATTTTTCCATTCGTCCCCAAGACACATGGGGTAGATAAAGTACAGTTCATCTGTTCGCATGCCCGGCCAACTTAGTTTCCCTAATGTGAGTTAGGTACCTATCAGAGCTGGGTGGACTCAGGGCCATCTACAGAATTGAGTCAAGAATGCAACCTTGAGACTTTCATGTTAGCAGTCTCAATTCCACAAATTAATTCCACATAAAAAGGGCTGTAAAATTTAGTTTCTAGCCTAGCTGAATTACGTCATTATGAAATCGCAAATGCCCCAAGGTAAGTTGTGATTTTTATCCAGCAGAATATGTAAAATGAAAGAGAAAAATAAAATAAGTTTCTCAATAAATGTTTACAAACTAAAACAAGTCTGTCAATAAATGCTTGGTTGTTTTTTTTTAATTTGAAATAAACTGCTTTGTGATGATTATCACAGATTCAGCTGGGTATTTGTAAAAGAAATAAATATAGTTGAGCTATTTACAAATGAAAAACAAAATGAATGGCATTTTTAAATATTTTGTTTTGGGATATTGATGCAACTCCTAAGTGAACACAGCAGAAATGGGAGCAAAATCTTTTCATCGGAAGAAGGGAATTCTTTCTAACAATGCGCGCAGTATATTGCCAGGGCACTTCTGATGAGTTGCAATTAGAGATTCCAAAGCACTTTTCACCTGAAAAAAAAATTATTTGACTTTGGGGTTGCTAGAATGGACTCACAAACAACTTTATAACAGCATTTCAAAGACAAAGTTTGAATTCTTGTAAAAGTACAATGGATATACAATTGTTTTTAAACTTACAGCTTCTGCAAGCTCCTCTGCTGTGAAGTTAGGGTTTGCCAGGATAGGCTCGCCAAATATTGTTCTAAAACAAAAATAAAATGGCATCTACAGCTTTATTTGTTGTACAGAGATTTGTTGCTGCCCTATACTCCACAGGGAGTGATGAGGATTAAGTAAGTAAGTAAGTAAGTACAGCTTTATTAACAAGGCTGTTGGGTGAGCAGGTGTTGTAAATACCAACTTCAGTCAAAACAATGTGTTAATACCAACTTCAGTCTAAAATTGTTGTAAATACCAACTAGAGTTTAGCAGGCTAAACCAATAAAATACCAACTTGAGTTTAACTGGGAATAATCCATAGACAGGCGCCAGCGGAAGTCTGGTCTTCTCATACAAGCCTCGGAACCATGCTGTGAACAAAGGGAGGAAACTCAATCATGCTGGTTTAAAATCATCAAACTGTTAATATTTGTCAACATTCTTTAAAGACTAACCTCTGGCCCAGTTGGGTGTTCTAAAAGCTTCTCTGATATTTACTGTAAACATTGGAATTATGGGCTGAAAATAGATCCATTGAGATGCAAATTTAGATTCAATACTTATGTACACATTTCTATAGAAAAAAATTATTAAAAAATACGCAAATTTAAAAACAAAATTTAATCACAGACTATGTCGCTTGCTTTGCCAGCACCTAAAGCAGCTTGAGGAAAGTTAGTGCCTTACCACGTTAGCCTGCAGGGCAACTTTAGCAAAGCCACATCTTTTGTTCCACATGATGCCATAGTTTTCATCACTAAAAAGTCCTTCTCTAACACCCCCTACAGGACAAATGTTTATTAATTATATTCAACATTTTTTTGCAAGTGATGCTGACATTTTAAAGAATGTTTAAAGGGAGACAATACAGAGGTTCATTATTTTAAGGGAAAAAAACTTATCTATGCACAGAAAGAAAATTCATCATTCAATTTGTTCTACATTTCATTCAAGCACCTGTATCATATTGAGTCATTGTTTATTTACGTCACAGTTGTCACTAAATCTGATATAAAACACACTATCTTTAGAATGTTGAAAAAACAAATCCCTTGAAAATTTTTGATAGAGTATTATAATCTACATGAATTAAATGATGTAATGACTAACCCACATTGAATATATTGCTACTTACAGTTATAACAAACAATTGTTGTTATGGAGTGGGGTGTTATTATTGTGAGCTGAGCCCACAGCGTGTAGTTATCTACTCACCACATCACCTATACGACATAAGATCTTACAGGACTTAAATTCAAAAGTTTCTGAACAATCACACTACTACCACAGTTGTACCTGGAGATATACACAGCAGATGGCCATTTTTCAACTGGTCGACACAGCTGGTCACGGTGCCAGGAGTCACATTAAACACTTCCATTAGCGTCTGCCAACCTGCCCAAATAGATATTGTAATCAAGTCATTAATACAGTCCTGCATCATATACATCTTTTTTCATGTCAGCTAAATGGGTGCACATTAGAGTTTCTGTTGTAGAATATGTTAATTGTAGAGTGGAGGGTCTACACAGTTGAAATTTTTTTTTTAATAAACAAATACCTACCTGGAATGTGAAATAAAAACTTATCACCGACCAAGTGAATTAGTCGGCCTTTCTCTAGCAAAACAGTTGTAAGAACATAATAGATGTCAACGGGGAGGACGCCGTGGTAGTAGATAATTAACGCAGGCCCGGATTCTGGGATGTGGTGGAGGCCTTCCACCTCATAACCTGAGGAGTACAAGAGCTTCAGGTCAATATCTTCTTTATATTGTTTAGGACTACAAGAGCTTCACATCAATATCTTCATCTCCTTCATATTTTTTACAAGAGCCAGAAGTTCAGGCCAATATTTTTATCTTCATCTCCTTCATATTTTTTAGGACTACAAGTGCCAGAAGAAAGTTTCACATCAAAAGCTTCATTAGGTAATGACTAAATAGTATGGGTAAGAATCAAATCTTTTTACCATGCCATGTTCTTGCTTGTGCCCACCAAAGTGCACCAAGGGTTTTTCTTGCGCCATCCCAGAAATCATGGTCATATGCAGCTTTAAGTTTCATGCGCTGCTTGTATATAAACAGCATAAGAGAAGAGAGGTATAGAAAGAGGATGATAAATGAAGGTAGTAAAAAGGTGATCAGAATGGGGTACAGAACCCACAGGACCCAAGAGACATAGTCAATATCTATGCTGTTTACATAATCTAGTACAACTGATATGGAATCCATTCTTTCACAAGCTTGTCATATCGTTAGATAAATAATTATTCCATCATCGAGCTTCACAGTGTTAAGTCCTTAGAGATTATCTTTCAATATCTTTATTTTATCATTGAGGTATCTTTCACCATCACAGTCACATAGAAATGGATTCCCACTGTTAACAGCTCCAGAATGGATTATCTCTGAAAAGTTGAATTTTAAAAATAGGCTTATTTGGGTAATAATTCTAAAGGCTATAATTATAAGTATATTTACATTTTTCTTAGAGAAATAGTAACCAAAGCAAAAATTGATATGATCTATAACAGGTAGGAGTGCATCATAACTTAATGAGGGCCTTTTAATTAGCCTAATAATAATTTTAAGTCTATTGATTTACTTTAAAAAATACTAAGCTTAATTTTAAAAAATCATTATTAAAACTAGACTTTTTAGCTTTGGTGAAAAGTCTTACAAAAATTTTTAGTCTAGTATTATTATAATAGTGACTGTGACATAAATAATTCAGTGACAAAAAAAAAACTATAAAAAGTATTATTACTTATTTCCAGTCCATTCACCACACCAAACTTACTGATCAATGTCGCTAGAATTTGATCTGATTTTAAATCAATACTTTTTGGCCTAATTATACTATTTAGGCCTAAATTCTAAATCTACTCCCTTCATCACATATTTTTATTAAAGGTCTACTGATTTTTTACTGATTACTGACTGACTCAGTGATTGTGATTATCATTATGCCGGCCCTATAGTGCGGCCTATAGTTATAGATTATATTATAGAGTATTAGAGTCTAGTTATAGAAATCGGTAATCCCTTAGTTTAGCGTCGGAAATTATCGGGTAATGTTTGTTGAGTTTCGGTAATTAGAGTTACGGTAAACCATGGTTTATTTGACCATTGAAATATAAATAAATTGAAAGTCGATTGTAGTAAATTAATGTTTTAATTTTTTAAGTTTAATCGACAAAAGGAAACAAGAATAAATATAATAGTACATTTAAATTAGTAGATCTAAAAATAAAAACATATATAAATATAAATAATGTATCAAATGTAATAATTTAATGTTTTTGGCTTGCAGCGGATTTGCGACCATTAATTAATTAAATCTAGATCAAGCTAGATATCTAGCTGCTAGGCCAAGTAAAAAAATCTAGATTACGAAAATAGTAAAAATGATTACAAAATGTAAAAATGATTACAAAAATAAATCTATCCAAATTTTAAACATTCTGTTTAAAAATAAAAGAAGACGCCAAATAAAGTATGGTTTACGGTACTTCCGGTGAATTCCGGAAGTGTGTGACAGACTTTGTTATTGTTTCACTGTTTTTTACTGCTATACGATTCCGGAATAATAACCGACGCTAAACTAAGGGATTACCTAGAAATCAATATATACTCCAACCAGTGTAGTAAAACTGTAGCTATATAATATATATTTATATAGATTTCTAAATAGTCACAGTATAGTCACTAGTGACACTATACTATAGTAACTATAGTCTAATTATAATATTAAATTAAAAAAAAATCATTTGGAAGGCCTAAGAAAAGATAAAAGTAAAAAAGATGCCAGGGTAATAGATCTAGTCTAGATCTACTAGCAATATAAATTATTTATTAATCTTTGATCGATTCCAGATCTGGATCAACTTTAAACAAGATGCATCTCCTCTAGATTACATTACTCGTTAGATCTCTAGATCTACATTCTGCAGTTTAGTTAGGCTACCCCCATCCTATCATAAATAAAATTAAAGTATAAGGAAAAGCTTGTAAAAGGGGATGCTACTCTTCCAATACAAAAAAGGTTGGGATATGTACCGATCTAAATAAAATGTAATAAAACGATACATCGCAGTTAATGTCTCTGGGATTTTTTACATTACATTTTCTTCTTTAGGCTTACAATACTCAATAAAGCATTTTAGATCTGGTATATAGGACCTATATATCTAGATCTAGGTGTAGATCTCAAATCAGAACTAAATCATTGTAATCTCTTTTGCAAGTAGACTCTCTCTAGATCTAGATCTAGATTCTCTAGATTAAACATAAAATCCCAAGATTTCGTCTGATAGAGAGACCTCACCTGTACCTTAAAAATAACAACCAGAATCTAGAGATCTAAATCTTTTATCTAGATCGCTGAATACTCTAGTCTAGATCTAGATCTAGATCAAAAAAGTTTAGGTAGGGTCTACTCGAAATAATGAAATATCGTCCCATTAGGCCCTAGTCATTTAGAATTATTCTAGATCGTAGTACTATAGTAATACTAGATCTAGTAGGGCACTTTCGGGGGGGGGGGGGGGGGGGGGGGGGGGGGGGGGGGGGGGGCTAATTTTGCCTAATTTATAAATTTAAATTTTAGGTTTTTAAAAATATTAAAACTAATTTTAATAGCTGTGCAATGGACTCAATTTATTATTTTATAGCTGCACAATGGGATATATTAATTAGGCCTAAGTTTTACTTTTAGCTTCATAATTATTAATTATTCTTCTGACAAAACTAGATCTAGTAGATCTATCTGTACTGTACTGTGTGGTCAAGCAGTTTCGCTTTGACTTTGTGCGGGTCGTCAGGGGTTGAAGGTTTAGTTTATTGTATGTTGTATAGGCCTATATACTATATATCTATCTAGTATAGCTAGCAAAGAGTTCCAGTCTAAAAGTTAGTTAAGTAGGCTACTACACCTTTCATCCAATCGCCATGAAACTGGGAAGTTGTTGACAACTTGTTGATAATACTTCTGTGAAGGTTTCTGCGAGAAAAAAAAAATTCAAATTCGCATGAAACTTTTGGAAGTTGTTGAGAACAGATCTTCTTCCAGGCATCTCTACCGCACCCCGAACGAAATGGAAAATTTCCCACCCCCTGGAAAATTTTGTCGTCGTCCCCCCGTCCCCCGAAAATATCAAATATCAATATGCAAAACAATGACCTCAATAGCTGCTGTATGGGCTCAAATTAAATTATATTAATAGCTGCGCTGTGGGCTCAAGTTACTCTTTAATAGCTGTGCAAAGGAATAAAATGACTATTCTTTGGGCAAAATTGAGGTCGAGCATTTGCGCTTCGGGTGGGACATCTAAGGGTGAGGGTTCATAGTATATTTATAGTATACCTGGCAAAGAGTTCTAGCCTATTTGTTAAGTATAAAATATTTTTTAAAAATCTATTTTAATAGCCTCTTTAAATCTACTATTTAAGTATTTGTGTTAATCCCTGTCCCATCAAGACAACGCATAGGCCTAAACAGCGAACGTTTAGTTGACGAGAAAAATAGGTAATTGTAGAGCCATGCACATCTTTTTCCTGCTAGAATCGGCCTTAAATATTTAAAAAATCAAGCACGGTGTAACTTAATTAAAACTAATACAAAGCTGATCACTGAGTTCCTGTACAGTCAATAAATTTTTGTCTTGCCAAAGTGAAACATTGGGTTATAACTTAGGCTTGATGAAAATACTAACTCATATATGATCCAAATAACTTGTTATTAATAAATAGCATATAATAAGCTGATAAATCCCTAGCAGTTGAATGAAATCTTCAGGAAGGCCTCAGACAACTTAATGGCCTAATCATCTAATGTTAAATCATTAATCATTTATTCGTAAGTAATATATCTAAATTCTACTAATACATAGTAAAGCACTCATTTCTAAATTTTCTGCCATTAGGCTTACTTTAGCTTGATTAGAATTTAGTATTTGGAATACTAAAACTAAAAAATTCAATAAGCTTTTAACCTATGGATCTGCTAAGCTACAGAAACAGAGACAGTCATGCTCATAAAAGCAAACATTTAGTGACTTACTCAACTGTCATTAGCCTGGGACTTATCAAAAGTGATGAGATAATTATCTAGAGATAAGCAATCATGGTGAGATAAAGATAATAAATACCAAGGACAATCAGAAGGAAAAAGTTAAATGTTTTGTTGAATACTAATTTAGACAGGGATACTAGGCTATGGGAGAAAAACTTAATAACATTACTTTTATTTCAAGGCTATGGGAGAAAAACTTGATAACATTACTTTTATTTTAAGGTTATAGGAGAAAAACTTGATAACATTACTTTTATTTTAAGGCCATGGGAGAAAAACTTGATAACATTACTTTTATTCTAAGGCTATGGAGAAAAACTTGATAACATTACTTTTATTTCAAGGATATGGGAGAAAAAGTTGAAAAACTTCAGAAATATGAATCAACCATTCGTGAGCATGTGGCTTGTGAAGAAAGAGCATTTCGAATTGTTAACAATCTGATTGATGCCTCAGTTCAGGAGGACTATCTCAAACAATGTGTATGTAGTCTTAGTTACTCTCTGGCCAAAATTACAGTTATTACAGTCTAAAGAAAGTAAAGCTCCACTTTGTGACCCAACAATACTAGAGCAGATGAAGTAGAGTTCCTGTTCTTTGACCTCCATATGGAATGGTGTGATCAGCACTGTATCCAGTTTCCTTTACTTTCCCCAATGTGAGTCAGGTACCTATCAGAGCTGGGTGGACTCAGGGATGTCCAGCAGTCCTGAGTCTGTACTGAGATCCCAACTTTAGACCTTTGGACCAGCAGTGGAACGCGCTACCATTTGATCATGCCGTCCTGCTTAACAGAGCGTTCAGTTTAATAGTTTTATGTTTTTTTACTGCTTTTTACTTTCTGCTCTTGTTGAAGTACCAGATAGATATCTTATTTATAATTGTTTATGTTTAATAAGGTCAATGTAATATAAAAATGTTGAGTGTCAAGGAATCTTTTCTTGTATCGACTTAGGGCCAGCTGATCAGCAGAGACCACTACAGGGATGTCACCCAGGAGAGGGCAATAACCTTTCTCTGTGGTTATCCTCTTTGTGAGAATACCTTAGAAAAGGTACAGTGGCTTAAATGGAAAATACACTTATTTATATGCACCCGTAGCTAAATTTCTATTTATTTCACTATATCTGTATTCTGTAAAACTAAAAGGAATTCAAACCTCATAATAATAAACTTTGTATATTTTATTTCCTTAGATTCCCTCCAAGAGATATCATATATCAACAAAAACTAATAGAGTTTATGACATCTCAGAAAGGAAGGTAAAAAAATAATTTTCTCACAGTTTTACTGTGTTCAATAAAAGCTTCACAGTTTGTAGTTTTTTTTATTTAGTTCAATATTTGAGAAGTGTGTTAGAGTGCTCCCAACACGTCTAAAAGTAGGCAGACTCCAACTGTATTCCTGGTGCTGTATTTAAATGTAGGGCTAGTCCTACTGTATGCCTGGTGCTATATTTAAATGTAGGGCTAGTCCTACTGTATGCCTGGTGCTATATTTAAATGTAGGGCTAGTCCTACTGTATGCCTGGTGCTATATTTAAATGTAGGGCTAGTCCTACTGTATGCCTGGTGCTATATTTAAATGTAGGGCTAGTCCTACTGTATGCCTGGTGCTATATTTAAATGTAGGGCTAGTCCTACTGTATGCCTGGTGCTATATTTAAATGTAGGGCTAGTCCTACTGTATGCCTGGTACTATATTTAAATGTAGGGCTAGTCCTACTGTATGCCTGGTGCTATATTTAAATGTAGGGCTAGTCCTACTGTATGCCTGGTGCTATATTTAAATGTAGGGCTAGTCCTACTGTATGCCTGGTGCTATATTTAAATGTAGGGCTAGTCCTACTGTATGCCTGGTGCTATATTTAAATGTAGGGCTAGTCCTACTGTATGCCTGGTGCTATATTTAAATGTAGGGCTTCTCATATTGTATTGTGCTATGAGCGACTGGAATGTTTTTCAGAACTTTTGTAGTAACCAGTGCTTCAAGGCATCCAAACACTTCTGTAACCAGATTCCTGAGTCCCCCTTGTGGTCTAGAGAAAGGGAGACCGTCCCAGAGTTAACACTTCTATCTCACAAAACTATCAAGTAAGTCTCAATTCTGGTACCTAACACTTCTATCTCACAAAACTATCAAGTAAGTCTCAATTCTGGTACCTAACACTTCTATCTCACAAAACTATCAAGTAAGTCTCAATTCTGGTACCTAACACTTCTATCTCACAAAACAATCAAGTAAGTCTCAATTCTGGTACCTAACACTTCTATCTCACAAAACAATCAAGTAAGTCTCAATTCTGGTACCTAACACTTCTATCTCACAAAACTATCAAGTAAGTCTCAATTCTGGTACCTAACACTTCTATCTCACAAAACAATCAAGTAAGTCTCAATTCTGGTACCTAACACTTCTATCTCACAAAACTATCAAGTAAGTCTCAATTCTGGTACCTAACACTTCTATCTCACAAAACTATCAAGTAAGTCTCAATTCTGGTACCTAACACTTCTATCTCACAAAACAATCAAGTAAGTCTCAATTCTGGTACCTAACACTTCTATCTCACAAAACTATCAAGTAAGTCTCAATTCTGGTACCTAACACTTCTATCTCACAAAACAATCAAGTAAGTCTCAATTCTGGTACCTAACACTTCTATCTCACAAAACAATCAAGTAAGTCTCAATTCTGGTACCCACTCACATAATAAAAGTGTATGTTTTGTTGACATGCAATACTTGCTCACATAATAGAAGTGTATGTTTTGTTGACATGCTATACATTTGCTCATTGATTTGATAGTGTGTGATATGTTGACATGCTATACATTTGCTCATTGAATTGATAGTGTGTGATATGTTGACATGCTATACATTTGCTCATTGAATTGATAGTGTGTGATATGTTGACATGCTATACATTTGCTCATTGAATTGATAGTGTGTGATATGTTGACATGCTATACATTTGCTCATTGAATTGATAGTGTGTGATATGTTGACATGCTATACATTTGCTCATTGAATTGGTAGTGTGTGATATGTTGACATGTTACCCACTTGCTGATTGGTAAAAACACAAATACTGAAATAGCTGCTGCTGTATTGTGGTGTTCACTTGCTGTATTGTGGTGTTTGCTTGCTGTATTCTGGTGTTTGCTTGCTGTATAGTGGTGTTTACTTGCTGTATTGTGGTGTTTACTTGCTGTATTGTGGTGTTCACTTGCTGTATTCTGGTGTTTGCTTGCTGTATTGTGGTGTTCACTTGCTGTATTCTGGTGTTTGCTTGCTGTATTGTGGTGTTTACTTGCTGTATTCTGGTGTTTACTTGCTGTATTGTGGTGTTTGTTTACTTACTGTGGTGTGGTGTTCACTTGCTGTATTCTGGTGTTTGTTTACTTACTGTGGTGTGGTGTTCACTTGCTGTATTCTGGTGTTTGCTTGTTGTATTGTGGTGTTTGTTTACTTACTGTGGTGTGGTGTTTACTTGCAATGCCTTCTGATTGATCACTTTTGACTTGCTATCTAAACATGTTATTATCTGTAACATTCAGTAACTTTTCCCTTCTAACCAAGATCCTGATGTAGCTAACAGCCAACTTTGGCTCACCATTTTGATTGCTCCATTCACAGAGGGATAGTTGGTGATGAGATAGTTGGGGAATCCCCTAAAAAGCTGCTGGAAGTTGAAGTCCTACAGCTTGAAGAACTGGACAAAAGATTTTCCTCCTCATGTCAAGTGTCTGATGCTTCATTAGCCAGAAAAAAATGTACACCTTCAAGTGTAGTTGGAGCAGATTGTAGCAAGTCATCTACAGCAGGAGCAGATTGTAGCAAGTCATCTACAGCAGGAGCAGATTGTAGCAAGTCATCTACAGCAGGAGCAGATTGTAGCAAGTCATCTACAGCAGGAGCAGATTGTAGCAAGTCATCTACAGCAGGAGCAGATTGTAGCAAGTCATCTACAGCAGGAGCAGATTGTAGCAAGTCATCTACAGCAGGAGCAGATTGTAGAAAGTCATCTACAGCAGGAGCAGATTGTAGAAAGTCATCTACAGCAGGAGCAGATTGTAGCAAGTCATCTACAGCAGGAGCAGATTGTAGCAAGTCATCTACAGCAGGAGCAGATTGTAGAAAGTCATCTACAGCAGGAGCAGATTGTAGAAAGTCATCTACAGCAGGAGCAGATTGTAGCAAGTCATCTACAGCAGGAGCAGATTGTAGAAAGTCATCTACAGCAGGAGCAGATTGTAGAAAGTCATCTACAGCAGGAGCAGATTGTAGAAAGTCATCTACAGCAGGAGCAGATTGTAGCAAGTCAGCTGATTATGTGAGGCCAATAGGTGGAGCAGAACATAGTGACCAGGTAGCTGACATACAAGGTGAAGCTGGTCCTAATCCAACTGTCCTATCTGGTGCTGTTGAATCTTGTCCTGGAGAAAATGCCGGTGTAAACCTGAGAGTGCCTGAAACAGCAACAAAGAGAGACAACTGTGAAGACTTGACACAAGGGAGGTCAAAGGTTGAACAACCCTGTGGCTCAGTGTCTGAACTTTGTTTGCCCACAACAACTTGTGCTGCCACTAATGTTGAAGGCTCTAAAATGGATCAGCTAATGAAACTTTTGGCCCAGAGAAAAAATCTTCTGTCTGGAATGGTGGACATTCAAGCCAGCGTGCCATCTCCCAGCGCTGGTACTCTGGTCAACCAGAGACAGCAGTCTGGAACTCTTGAACTGGCTGGCTCGCAACTAGCTTCACCTCCACAAGATTCTACACATGTTCACAACCCCACCACAACCACACACACCTCCACCACAACCAAACCCACACACACCTCCACCACACACAGATCCTCCACACACAGCTCCTCCACACACACCTCCACCACAACCAAATCCACTCTGGCCTCCGCTGAGAACCTTGGGCCACCCAGGCCACCAAGTTCCCCTGTCCAGCTGATCAGCCAGGTGATCAAATCTTGGGTGACCCAGGAAACCTTGTCTTACCTCAGGTCACTCAACGATGGGGGTGAGCCCCGGGGTTTCAATGACCCTCAAGTCCAGCTGCGCTATGCAGATTTGTGTCGACGCCTGGACATGCAACAGAAAACTTTTGAAAACATTCTAAACGAGCCTGACGATGATGACATCAAGCATAAAACTGGGCTAAAGCCACCCCCAGATTATCAGCTGCTGAAGCAAGAGACAGAGGCCTTTCAGCTGAAAGTCACTGAGTTTATCACTGGGAAAAAACCAACTACTCTGTTGGATAAGGTAACACAGATTTATCCATCATAATGATAAAGTAAGGTAAAGTTGTCTTGCCACATTGATAGAGTAAGGTAAAGTTGTCTTGCCACATTGATAGAGTGAGGTAAAGTTGTCTTGCCACATTGATAGAGTAAGGTAAAGTTGTCTTGCCACATTGATAGAGTAAGGTAAAGTTGTCTTGCCACATTGATAGCGTAAGGTAAAGTTGTCTTGCCACATTGATAGAGTAAGGTAAAGTTGTCTTGCCACATTGATAGAGTGAGGTAAAGTTGTCTTGCCACATTGATAGAGTAAGGTAAAGTTGTCTTGCCACATTGATAGAGTGAGGTAAAGTTATCTTGCCACATTGATAGAGTAAGGTAAAGTTGTCTTGCCACATTGATAGAGTGTGGTAAAGTTGTCTTGCCACATTGATAGAGTGAGGTAAAGTTGTCTTGCCACATTGATAGAGTAAGGTAAAGTTATCTTGCCACATTGATAAAGTAAGGTAAAGTTGTCTTGCCACATTGATAGAGTAAGGTAAAGTTGTCTTGCCACATTGATAGAGTGAGGTAAAGTTGTCTTGCCACATTGATAGAGTAAGGTAAAGTTGTCTTGCCACATTGATAGAGTAAGGTAAAGTTATCTTGCCACATTGATAGAGTGAGGTAAAGTTGTCTTGCCACATTGATAGAGTAAGGTAAAGTTATCTTGCCACATTGATAAAGTAAGGTAAAGTTGTCTTGCCACATTGATAGAGTAAGGTAAAGTTGTCTTGCCACATTGATAGAGTAAGGTAAAGTTGTCTTGCCACATTGATAGAGTTTTATTATTACAGAGACAGCATTAATTAACAAATTAACATAGAGTTTTAACCTTGCAGAGACAGCATTAATTAACAGAGTTTTGATCTTACAGAGACATCATTAATTAACATAAGTTTTAATTTTACAGCCAGAGCTGGAAGACCCCGTGTTTATTCCTCCTGTTGATGCTTATGACCAACAGCAGATCAGAAAAAAAATTGTCCTTGAAAGATTAGATAAAGCGTAAGTTTACCATATTTTATGTTAATTTTACAAATAATCTTCGTTAACATAAATTAATTGCAGCATATTTTTAATATTCAACTTATTAATTTTTTCACAAATAAAATCTTTATTTTTGAAAAATCCATCCTTGAGATAGTTCCAGCTTAGCTGTTTACACTTATTGATAGCTTTGTAATTTAAGTAATAGCAGCTGGACATTTAACTAGTTCCACAGTCCTTCCATGTGGTCTGGCTGGACATTTGCCACAGTCCTTCTCTGTGGTCTGGCTGGACACTTAGCTTACCATAAAATCCCTTCATCTATTTGCCTAACTTGAATTTATGTTTCACAGGATACCCCCGCTGCTGGCTCCACTTGAGCTGTCTCTCATTGATGTCTCTACCCCAGTCCGGGAATTGGTGCACACCTTTAGGTACGCTACCACCCCAGATACACCTACACACCACACTACCACCACACTACCACCCCAGATACACACCTCACTACCACCCCATATACACACCTCACTACCACCCCAGACACAACACACTACCACCCCATATACACACCTCACTACCACCCCATATACACACCTCACTACCACCCCATATACACACCTCACTACCACCCCATATACACACCTCACTACCACCCCATATACACACCTCACTACCACCCCATATACACACCACACTACCATCCAGACACACACCACACTACATACCCAGATACAACTACACACCACACTGCCACCCCAGATACACCTACACACCACACTGCCATCCAGACACACACCACACTACATACCCAGATACAACTACACACCACACTACCAATCCATTTTTTTGTATTGAATATTTTAAAGAAATTTTTTTTTTAACTTCCAGACTTCAGAATAATAACATTGTGTTCAAGCCTTCTGAATGGATGATAGTTTCTTTATTTATTTTAAAAATGTAAGTACCGGTAATGAATAAATTACACATTTTCTCATTGTTAAAACCAAATGTTTTATAAGACCTAACTACAGTGTCATGTATTGCTTGTACAATCTTTCCATTTTTTCCTAGGCTAGCAAAGAGAATTAAACCCATAGCATCAGCATTTTCCAAAGACTCGTCAACTCGCTTTTTCTCAATCTTGTTGCAAGGTGTAGGGCACACACCTGCTGATGTGGATTTCATGACAGAACTTATTTTAAATACAGACTGCGCCACTCACTTGTCTTGATATTTGCACATGTTGTTTTATCTGTTATGTTTATGAGTAATAAATTTATCTGGCCACATTATGTTGGTGTGAAATAAATGTGTTATGTTTGTGTGTTGTAAATTTGGTTTTGTTGTGTTATACATTTATCAAACTGTTGTCTGTCACATTGAGACTAGGAGCCAAAATGTTCCAATATGGTCATAATATTACTATGTGAGATCCACTGTCTCACAATATTACTGTGTGAGATCCACTGGCTCACAATATTACTGTGTGAGATCCACTGGCTCACAATATTACTGTGTGAGATCCACTGTCTCACAATATTACTGTGTGAGATCCACTGTCTCACAATATTACTATGTGAGATCCACTGTCTCACAATATTACTGTGTGAGATCCACTGTCTCACAATATTACTGTGTGAGATTCACTGTCTCACAATATTACTGTGTGAGATCCACTGTCTCACAATATTACTGTGTGAGGTCCACTGGCTTAGCAAGCGTTGTCAAAAATTATGAAACTTCTAGTGTTGTGTTGAATAGTAGGCTACCATTACGGTCAACATTTGCTGTCAAAATGAATGTGTTATGCCCCTTACTAAAAAAAAAAAAAAATACGGCAAAAAAGTGGGAAATTACTGCCACAATTAGCATGGGGGTAAAAATAATAAGCCTATGATTGTGACACTGCCGCTCAGGGTTTCTATTCAATAGGCCCTAAATATTAAAAGTATAGGGCCGATTAGGACTAATTTATTAAATTAATTTTACTAAATTTAATTAGGCCTAATTAATATTAATTAGGACCTAAAAAGGCAAGTGGCCAGTTAGATAAAGTAGTCTACACCACACTTAGATCTGTAATATCAACATTTATTTTTACTCCATACAGTGCTTTGAATTATTTAAAAAAAAAAATTTAATGACTATGAGAACTACTAGATTACATTGAAGTTACATTAAAAGATCTAGAATCTAGTCTAGATCAAACTATAGCGTTGTCATAACAACTGCATGGTAAAAAATAGTAACTTATAAATTTAAGATGCGAAATCCAAAAACACATCAACAAGAATTATAAAAATAAAATAGAATATTAATTAATGGTGTGTTGTTGCTTGTTAATTTATAATTTTGTTTGATTCAAATAATACTCTATTTGTAAATCTACCGGAATCGGTCTAACTACTTCTAGAATCAAGATCCGGATCACGACTTAGATTCTAGATAGACTTGTCTGAAATAACGAAATAATATTTTTTTTTTTAAATTATTTACCAAGGGAAAGTACTCTCATGAACAAAATGCCATAAAATAGTTAAGTAAGTCTAGATTTTATAGATTTAGATCTAGCTAATATAGATCTAGATCTAGATCTAGATCTAATAGCTGCTATATTCTAGAGACCCTTGCTGAGCTAATAACTTAGATCTACTTAGTAGTACTTACTTAAGTAGGCCTATACACTATAATTATAATACTAGTATATACTAACTAGATCTAGATTCTAGATCTAGATCTAGTAATATTGACAATCTAGAAAATCTAGATTTTGTTAGAGTCTAGCTCTAGCTAGTAGTAGCTAGTTTAGTTAGCTAGAACTCTAGATTTTGTCCAAAAATCTTGTTTTCATTTAAAATTTAAAAGCAGAAAAATCAAAACTCTAAGTCTAGTAAAAAAATAAAAAATAGATCTAGAATCTAGTATTAGGCCTAGATTCTCTAAATACTAAATACTAAAAATAGGCCTACATGTACATAGTACATAGACATAGTATACTAAATACTGAATGGGTAAATAAAAATATAGTAAAAAAATAGGGCAATAGGCCCTAGGCCTAATAAATAAATTAATAATAAAAAAATCAAAATGACAAAAATAGATCTAGAATCTAGACTACTACTTAACTACTAGACTAGTAATAACTACTAAATAATAAATAACTAGTACTAGTGTTCAGAACAGCTATCTTAGCACTTGATAGCGGGTAAGGTGTACTACTAGATCTATATGGCATATGGTGCCTACGTTCACTTTATAAAAAGGCTATACTTACTTAATGTTTAAATACACCAAAGACTCGATGGGCAACAATAATTGTTGACTATCGAATCAGGGTGCACCGATAAATATGATCCAAGCACAGGCATTGTTTACCTCAGTTTTAGAAAAGAAGGTCACGCCTCTACTAATTGGTAACGAATTGATGAAACCCTCCCAAGTCCTAATATATTTTGTCAGACTTAATTATAACCCAGTGGTAACACGCGGGGACGGCACTCTAGTCGTTAAATGAAAGTTTAGACCCGGATCCTAGATCAAGAAAAAAACAACATACAACACTCATGATAGATTGACTTGTTAAGTTTTTATCTTCTTTTTCACATCTTAAGAAAAAAAAAAACAACCACAAGCATAAAATCAAAATGTCTATCAAATTGTGTCTAGCTGTTTACGCGTAATTCTGCATTTTCTTCTGACGTTGTACAGCATTTTACCAAGACCATAAATATTAAGCCAAATAAAAATTTAGCCTAGGTCTAGAATTTTAGAATCTTGATCTTGGCCTAATGTCCAAATCATTTAACTAGTTAGTAACTTACAGTAACTATCTTTTTAATACTCTTTCATTATTAATATTCATTATTAATAATAGCATTAATTATAATAATTAACCTACTTTAGCCTACTTAATTTGCCCATTTATTTGTAATTAAAAGTTGATTTCAATAATATATATACTAGTTATAATTATAGTTGTGTTTAGGTACTACAATTATTACTATTAGAAATGACAAAAGTCATGTAGGCCTATTTTTATGTAGACTCCAATTAAAACTTTTTTGTCTGTGGTATGACAAACTTAAATTTAGCTGATCTCTAGCTTTTTGTCATGGCATATTAAAGGGAAGGCAGAGGGAGCTCTGCCCTTAGAGGCACTTTTTTAATAGGCCTTACTTAATGCTGTTCAACTAAATTAAGAGGGTTTCCTATTTGATGAAATGTGTATTGTGAAGCCAAGCCCTTGTTGTATTACTAGATTTGGCCTGTATATTTCCAGAGTTGGTCCCCTACATAGAGTGGAGTGCTTGATGGCACCTGTAGAGCTGTGTCTGTGTACACGTCGCAGCCCAACTGGTGAGGAATGTCTGAGCTGTTTGCGTACAGCATACTTGGTCGGCCTGATGATGGAGCCATGTTTGTGCCCATGGAGATGCTGACTAGAGAGGAGAGCTTCTGTACTCAAGAGAATCTTTTACTTTCCATAGCTTACATCAATCAGGTAAACTGTCAGGTGCCATAGCTTACATCAATCAGGTAAACTGTCAGGTGCCATAGCTTACATCAATCAGGTAAACTGTCAGGTGCCATAGCTTACATCAATCAGGTAAACTGTCAGGTATAAAAGATTTCTAGGTTCAAGGAAGATAGTAAAAATATGAAGTCAATTCTTTATAATAATGTAGATATGTATGTAAGGAAGGTTATTGGCTTGCTTTCTTACATAGTTGCTAGCAGTTGTGTCAGTGAAGTAAAAAATTTAGTTGTATGTAATTGTATTATGATATGTAGTGACTCCTAGACTAATTTGACTTAGTGTTGGAGTATTGATATACAATTTGTTTTCTCACTTATCATCATAACATATAACGTAAAAAATCTACTCATTCACTAGGTCCATACATTAAGAGTCCATTTATTGACATCATAACATTTAACATTAAAAAAACTACACATTTTCTAGGTCCATACGTTAGAGTCCATTTATTGAATAACTCTAAAGGGAGAACTTTTTAATTAATTGGGGATGGGTGGAAGGGTAGAGGAGTATGTTTAAGGGGGATGGGTGGAAGGGTAGAGGAGTATGTTTAAGGGGGATGGGTGGAAGGGTAGAGGAGTATGTTTAAGGGGGATGGGTGGAAGGGTAGAGGAGTATGTTTGAGGGGGATGGGTGGAAGGGTAGAGGAGTATGTTTAAGGGGGATGGGTGGAAGGGTAGAGGAGTATGTTTAAGGGGGATGGGTGGAAGGGTAGAGGAGTATGTTTGAGGGGGATGGGTGGAAGGGTAGAGGAGTATGTTTAAGGGGGATGGGCGGAAGGGTAGAGGAGTATGTTTAAGGGGGATGGGTGGAAGGGTAGAGGAGTATGTTTGAGGGGGATGGGTGGAAGGGTAGAGGAGTATGTTTGAGGGGGATGGGTGGAAGGGTAGAGGAGTATGTTTAAGGGGGATGGGTGGAAGGGTAGAGGAGTATGTTTAAGGGGGATGGGTGGAAGGGTAGAGGAGTATGTTTGAGGGGGATGGGTGGAAGGGTAGAGGAGTATGTTTAAGGGGGATGGGGGGAAGGGTAGAGGAGTATGTTTAAGGGGGATGGGTGGAAGGGTAGAGGAGTATGTTTGAGGGGGATGGGTGGAAGGGTAGAGGAGTATGTTTAAGGGGGATGGGTGGAAGGGTAGAGGAGTATGTTTAAGGGGGATGGGTGGAAGGGTAGAGGAGTATGTTTAAGGGGGATGGGTGGAAGGGTAGAGGAGTATGTTTAAGGGGGATGGGTGGAAGGGTAGAGGAGTATGTTTAAGGGGGATGGGTGGAAGGGTAGAGGAGTATGTTTGAGGGGGATGGGTGGAAGGGTAGAGGAGTATGTTTGAGGGGGATGGGTGGAAGGGTAGAGGAGTATGTTTAAGGGGGATGGGTGGAAGGGTAGAGGAGTATGTTTAAGTGTGCCATCATTCTAGGGGTGATTTGACATCAAGTTTACTCCAAATTTCAGGAGTTCCAGTTGCTGCGCTTCCCCTGCCTGCAGTATGGTGAGCAGAAATCAGACATCGTGTTCTTCATCAACCGCCTTCATGACCTGCTCAAGCTGTACCATAAGTCTCAGTCTGTCAGAGATGAACTAGAGAACAAGTAAGTCCCAAGTCTGTAGAAGTTGGTCCCAAGTCTGTAGAAAATATGTTGGTCCCAAGTCTGTAGAAAATATGTTGGTCCCAAGTCTGTAGAAAATATGTTGGTCCCAAGTCTGTAGAAAATATGTTGGTCCCAAGTCTGTAGAAGTTGGTCCCAAGTCTGTAGAAAATATGTTGGTCCCAAGTCTGTAGAAAATATGTTGGTCCCAAGTCTGTAGAAATTATGTTGGTCCCTAGTCTGTAGAAAATATGTTGGTCCCAAGTCTGTAGAAATTATGTTGGTCCCTAGTCTGTAGAAAATATGTTGGTTTCAAGTCTGTAGAAAATATGTTGGTCCCAAGTCTGTAGAAAATATGTTGGTCCCAAGTCTATAGAAAATATGTTGGTCCAAAGTCTGTAGAAAATATGTTGGTCCCAAATCTGTAGAAAATATGTTGGTCCCAAGTCTGTACAAGTTGGTCCCAAGACTGTAGAAAATATGTTGGTCCCAAGTCTGTAGAAAATATGTTGGTCCCAAGTCTGTAGAAAATATGTTGGTCCCAAATCTGTAGAAAATATGTTGGTCCCAAGTCTGTAGAAAATATGTTGGTCCCAAGTCTGTAGAAAATATGTTGGTCCCAAATCTGTAGAAATTATGTTGGTCCCTAGTCTGTAGAAAATATGTTGGTCCCAAGTCTGTAGAAAATATGTTGGTCCCAAATCTGTAGAAAATATGTTGGTCCCAAGTCTCAGTGACTTCTCACACATTTGCTGAAGCCTCAAAAGGTCAGTCTGCCAGTAAAATATTTGACTGGCACAAAAATGTCCCGTGTCTGTAACCAACCCACAAATTCTGTCTTTTGGCTCTTCTATTTACCTTATGACAATCTTATTTTTATGATGGTTCTTCTCAAATGTTAAGCTGAAGTATTTTTAAGGCTAGCTGTTGACTTAAAACCAATTTAACTACCCATGTTTTGTAAAGAGTTCATAGGTTGACCAGTGAAACTGACCACTACAAATCTGCCCAGTTGCGCATGAGCAGACAGCAAGAACAGACAGACAGAGAGCTTGGCCAGGAGAGGGAGAAACTTCGACAGCTCAATGAGAAATACAAGCAAGTCTTTATCAAACTGAAGGCAGAACAGGAGGATGTAAGTCTTTAGCCAAAAGTTAGCCACATTCCATAAACATCTATTTACTTTCAGACACTAGTTCAGTATAATCAATAGCTTTCTTGCTACTTTATAAAATCAAGAATAATTTTGTCAGTACCTATTAGTCCATAGACAAAAAGTATTTAAGATTTTTTTTGTCTTTCTGTTTTTGCTACACCTAACTCTGATTGTAACCCATACCCTAACATTAATACCTGAAAAGTACTTACAATAAAGTACTTTAATAAGCTATTATTATACTGCCTGCATCCATTTTTCCCATTGTGTTAGGTGAAAAGGTTGAAAGCTGTTCCCCCATTTTTACTTTCCTCGTATATACAAAGTATAGAGAAAGTCTTGTAAAAAATAAAAATCGAGATTTTTACAAATCTTGACGTTTTACACCTCACTGATACAGAAAAACATAATTTTGCAATCTTGTCTGTATGTCTGTGTGTGTGTCTGTGCGTGTGTGTGTGTTAACACGATAACTTGAGTACCGTTACAGCTAGGTTGATGAAATTTCATATATAAGTATTTTATCAAAATCGTAGATCCTGATCAACTTTTGAGCGATTTTCGATTACCGGAAGTGGTACTTTTTCTACTTTGAATTTTTCAAAAGCCTATAACTTGAGTACTTTTTCAGATAGATAAATGAAATTTCACATGTTAGTAAAATATCTAATTCTCTACCTTCTTTCAAATTTTGAGTAATTTCCGTTGACCAGAAGTACTAATTTACGCTATTTCGGATTTCTCAAAAAATGCATGTAAATTTATAAAGTACTAATAATATTATGCACATTTTGTTTTGGCCAATCCTGTCTATATTCCAAGTTATATAAGAATATTCGAGAAAGTTTAGGGGAGATCACTCCAGGTTTATTTGTGTTAGGTGAAAAGGTTGAAAGCTGTTCTCCCATTTTTTGTGTTAGGTGAAAAGGTTGAAAGCTGTTCTCCCATTTTTTGTGTTAGGTGAAAAGGTTGAAAGCTGTTCTCCCATTTTTTGTGTTAGGTGAAAAGATTGAAAGCTGTTCTCCCATTTTTTGTGTTAGGTGAAAAGGTTGAAAGCTGTTCTCCCATTTTTTGTGTTAGGTGAAAAGGTTGAAAGCTGTTCTCCCATTTTTTGTGTTAGGTGAAAAGGTTGAAAGCTGTTCTCCCATTTTTTGTGTTAGGTGAAAAGGTTGAAAGCTGTTCTCCCAATTTTTATGTTAGGTGAAAAGGTTGAAAGCTGTTCTCCCAATTTTTGTGTTAGGTGAAAAGGTTGAAAGCTGTTCTCCCATTTTCTGTGTTAGGTGAAAAGGTTGAAAGCTGTTCTCCCATTTTTTGTGTTAGGTGAAAAGGTTGAAAGCTCTTCTCCCATTTTTTGTGTTAGGTGAAAAGGTTGAAAGCTGTTCTCCCATTTTTTGTGTTAGGTGAAAAGGTTGAAAGCTGTTCTCCCATTTTTTGTGTTAGGTGAAAAGGTTGAAAGCTGTTCTCCCATTTTTTGTGTTAGGTGAAAAGGTTGAAAGCTGTTCTCCCATTTTTTGTGTTAGGTGAAAAGGTTGAAAGCTGTTCTCCCATTTTTTGTGTTAGGTGAAAAGGTTGAAAGCTGTTCTCCCATTTTTTGTGTTAGGTGAAAAGGTTGAAAGCTGTTCTCCCATTTTTTGTGTTAGGTGAAAAGGTTGAAAGCTGTTCTCCCATTTTTTGTGTTAGGTGAAAAGGTTGAAAGCTCTTCTCCCATTTTTTGTGTTAGGTGAAAAGGTTGAAAGCTGTTCTCCCATTTTTTGTGTTAGGTGAAAAGGTTGAAAGCTGTTCTCCCATTTTTTGTGTTAGGTGAAAAGGTTGAAAGCTGTTCTCCCATTTTTTGTGTTAGGTGAAAAGGTTGAAAGCTGTTCTCCCATTTTTTGTGTTAGGTGAAAAGGTTGAAAGCTCTTCTCCCATTTTTTGTGTTAGGTGAAAAGGTTGAAAGCTGTTCTCCCATTTTTTGTGTTAGGTGAAAAGGTTGAAAGCTGTTCTCCCAATTTTTATGTTAGGTGAAAAGGTTGAAAGCTGTTCTCCCATTTTTTGTGTTAGGTGAAAAGGTTGAAAGCTGTTCTCCCAATTTTTATGTTAGGTGAAAAGGTTGAAAGCTGTTCTCCCATTTTTTGTGTTAGGTGAAAAGGTTGAAAGCTGTTCTCCAGTCCAAGGAGGTTCACTACAAGCATGAGCTGAAGAAGAAGGAGAGAGAGGTCAACAAGCTCAAAGAGAGGCTCAATCAGCTGTTGTCTGACAAAGCTCCTGAGAGAAAAATAGGTAGGGAAATAGCAGAGTGGTTACACGTTTCAAACATATTATAAGCAAACCAAAGATTAACTGAATATTTTTAAAAATCTGGAGTAGATTATTTAGCAAATTTAAATTTTACTTGTTATTGAAGAATTTTACAATTTTTTAATATTTAAATAGGGTGTTTTATTTTTAGGAATGGATCTAATGAATGTAGTGAGCCATACTGAAGGTCGAAGGTCAACTTGGAAGTCAGTATCTGGAAAGTAAGAGTTGTCTTCCTTGTTACAACTTTCATGTCAGTCTTTGGTCAACCAAGAATGTCAGGCAAAACACTGTCACAACACTTCTGATGCAGGCTGTCATATTTCTCTCACTCTTGTCCTGTTGTCTTATCATGTCCACTCATGAACAAATGTTTACCTTGTCCACACATGAACAAATGTTTACCTTGTCCACTCATGAACAAATGTTTACCTTGTCCACACACGAACAAATGTTTACCTTGTCCACACATGAACAAATGTTTACCTAGTCCACACATGAACAAATGTTTACCTTGTCCACACATGAACAAATGTTTACCTTGTCCACACATGAACAAATGTTTACCTAGTCCACACATGAACAAATGTTTACCTTGTCCACACATGAACAAATGTTTACCTTGTCCACACATGAACAAATGTTTACCTAGTCCACACATGAACAAATGTTTACCCTGTCCACACATAAACAAATGTTTACCCTGTCCACACATGAACAAATGTTTACCTTTGTTCAGACATGAACAAATGTTTACCTTTGTTCTGACATGAACAAATGTTTACCTAGTCCACACATGAACAAATGTTTACCCTGTCCACACATGAACAAATGTTTACCTTTGTTCAGACATGAACAAATGTTTACCTTTGTTCCGACATGAACAAATGTTTACCTAGTCCACACATGAACAAATGTTTACCTTTGTTCAGACATGAACAAATGTTTACCTTGTCCACACATGAACAAATGTTTACCTAGTCCACACATGAACAAATGTTTACCTTTGTTCAGACATGAACAAATGTTTACCTTCTCCACACATGAACAAATGTTTACTTTGTTCACACACAAACAAATGTTTACCTTGTTCACACATGAACAAATGTTTACCTAGTCCACACACAAACAAATGTTTACCTTGTTCACACATGAACAAATGTTTACCTAGTCCACACATGAACAAATGTTTACCTATACCACACATGAACAAATGTTTACCTTATCCACACATGAACAAATGTTTACCCTGTCCACACATGAACAAATGTTTACCTTTGTTCAGACATGATGAGGAAGTGTTCCGTCACATGATCAGCAACCTTGAAGAGAAACAAAATGAGCTGCTGCTTGAGAATGGGGAGTGGAGGGACTGTGTGCTGGTTATACAGAGGGAAGTCACAGCACTGCTCCACAAGGCAGTGAGAAACATACCTGTAAGCTGATGCTCTTAGTCCCACTGTCATCTGTCAGCTTTACTGTCATCTGTTAGTCCCACTGTCATCTGTTAGCCACACTGTCATCTGTTAGTCCCACTGTCATCTGTTAGTCCCACTGTCATCTGTTAGCCCAACTGTCATCTGTTAGCCACACTGTCATCTGTTAGTCCCACTGTCATCTGTTAGTCCCACTGTCATCTGTTAGTCCCAATGTCATCTGTTAGTCCCAATGTCATCTGTTTGTCCCACTGTCATCTGTTAGCCACACTGTCATCTGTTAGCCCAACTGTCATCTGTTAGCCCAACTGTCATCTGTTAGCCCAACTGTCATCTGTTAGCCCAACTGTCATCTGTTAGCCCAACTGTCATCTGTTAGTCCCACTGTCATCTGTTAGCCCCACTGTCATCTGTTAGTCCCACTGTCATCTGTTAGTCCCACTGTCATCTGTTATACCCACTGTCATCTGTTATACCCACTGTCATCTGTTAGCCCCACTGTCATCTGTTAGTCCCACTGTCATCTGTTAGTCCCACTGTCATCTGTTATACCCACTGTCATCTGTTATACCCACTGTCATCTGTTATTCCCAATGTCATCTGTTAGCCCCACTGTCAACTGTTAGTCCCACTGTCATCTGTTAGCCCACTGTCATCTGTTAGTCCCACTGTCATCTGTTTGTCCCACTGTCATCTGTTAGCCCAACTGTCATCTGTTAGCCCAACTGTCATCTGTTAGCCACACTGTCATCTGTTAGTCCCACTGTCATCTGTTAGTCCCACTGTCATCTGTTAGTCCCAATGTCATCTGTTAGTCCCACTGTCATCTGTTAGTCCCACTGTCATCTGTTAGTCCCAATGTCATCTGTTAGTCCCACTGTCATCTGTTAGTCCCAATGTCATCTGTTAGTCCCACTGTCATCTGTTAGTCCCAATGTCATCTGTTAGTCCCACTGTCATCTGTTAGTTCCACTGTCATCTGTTAGTCCCAATGTCATCTGTTAGTCCCACTGTCATCTGTTAGTCCCACTGTCATCTGTTAGCCCCACTGTCATCTGTTAGCCCCACTGTCATCTGTTAGTCCCACTGTCATCTGTTAGCCCCACTGTCATCTGTTAGTCCCACTGTCATCTGTTAGTCCCACTGTCATCTGTTAGCTTTACTGTCATCTGTTAGCCCCACTGTCATCTGTTAGTCCCACTGTCTTCTGTTAGCCACACTGTCATCTGTTAGCCACACTGTCATCTGTTAGTCCCAATGTCATCTGTTTGTCCCACTGTCATCTGTTAGTCCCACTGTCATCTGTTTGTCCCACTGTCATCTGTTAGCCCAACTGTCATCTGTTAGCCCAACTGTCATCTGTTAGTCCCACTGTCATCTGTTAGTCCCACTGTCATCTGTTAGTCCCACTGTCATCTATTAGTCCCACTGTCATCTATTAGTCCCACTGTCATCTATTAGTCCCACTGTCATCTATTAGTCCCACTGTCATCTGTTAGTCCCACTGTCATCTGTTAGCTCTTTCTCACACAGTGACCTATTGATATCTAAATAAACTCTTGCACACCCCCCCCCCCCCACCTAGAAGACTGGCCGCCATGAATCCCCCACCTCCACAGATGAAGATCAGCCAACAATCCCTGACCTTGGTGAAGGTATGTTTTAAATGTTTGTCTAATGGAGAAGTTTCATTGTTATCATGCCTCAGTTGATGTGTAAGCTGATGTATGTCAAGTGTAAGCTGATGTATGTCATGTGTAAGCTGATGTATGTCAAGTGTAAGCTGATGTATGTCAAGTGTAAGCTGATGTATGTCAAGTGTAAGCTGATGTATGTCAAGTGTAAGCTGATGTATGTCAAGCGTAAGCTGATGTATGTCAAGCGTAAGCTGATGTATGTCAAGCGTAAGCTGATGTATGTCAATTGTAAGCTGATGTATGTCAAGTGTAAGCTGATGTATGTCAAGTGTAAGCTGATGTATGTCAAGTGTAAGCTGATGTATGTCAAGTGTAAGCTGATGTATGTCAAGTGTAAGCTGATGTATGTCAAGTGTAAGCTGATGTATGTCAAGTGTAAGCTGATGTATGTCAAGTGTAAGCTTATGTATGTCAAGTGTAAGCTTATGTATGTCAAGTGTAAGCTGATGTATGTCAAGTGTAAGCTGATGTATGTCAAGTGTAAGCTGATGTATGTCAAGTGTAAGCTGATGTATGTCAAGTGTAAGCTGATGTATGTCAAGTGTAAGCTGATGTATGTCAAGTGTAAGCTGATGTATGTCAAGTGTAAGCTGATGTATGTCAAGTGTAAGCTGATGTATGTCAAGTGTAAGCTGATGTGTAAGCTGATGTATGTCAAGTGTAAGCTGATGTATGTCAAACAAGTGTAAGCTGATGTATGTCAAGTGTAAGCTGATGTATGTCAAGTGTAAGCTGATGTGTAAGCTGATGTATGTCATGTGTAAGCTGATGTATGTCAAGTGTAAGCTGATGTATGTCATGTGTAAGCTGATGTATGTCAAGTGTAAGCTGATGTATGTCAAGTGTAAGCTGATGTATGTCAAGTGTAAGCTGATGTATGTCAAGTGTAAGCTGATGTATGTCAAGTGTAAGCTGATGTATGTCAAGTGTAAGCTGATGTATGTCAAGTGTAAGCTGATGTATGTCAAGTGTAAGCTGATGTATGTCAAGTGTAAGCTGATGTGTAAGCTGATGTATGTCAAGTGTAAGCTGATGTATGTCAAGTGTAAGCTGATGTATGTCAAGTGTAAGCTGATGTATGTCAAGTGTAAGCTGATGTATGTCTGATGAATGTCACAACTGCCCTATGTCTCTGCCCTTGACTAGGCTACCAGCAGATGCCCTGTGAGTTTGTCAGGCTGGACATTGAGAGGACTGTTGGAGACGCGTGTAAAAAGATCTCTAGGATCATCAAGAAACTTGCAGGACAAAGTAAGAAAAACATGGATTAGAAAAGTTTCTCTTTTTATTGAATAATAAATAATTCTCAGATTTTTTCTCCAAATCTTGAATTCGACATTATACAAAATTTTCAGAAATAAAAAGTCCAGTGCAAGTTAGTACCAGCAGACCATTTGTAGGACACAAGCAGGACATGTCCTCCCGGAGACACACACAGGACATGTCCTCCAGGAGAAATTCACAGGACCATCTAGAGTTGGAGAAGCTGCGGAAACGAATGAGCAACTACAAATTGATCATACAGCAACAGGAGGATTTGATCCAGGTACCCAGCGCACTGACAGCTCAGTTTTATTTGGTACCCAGCACACTGACAGCTCAGTTTTATTTGGTACCCAGCACACTGACAGCTCAGTTTTATTTGGTACCCAGCGCACTGACAGCTCAGTTTTATTTGGTACCCAGCACACTGACAGCTCAGTTTTATTTGGTACCCAGCACACTGACAACTCAGTTTCATATGGTACACAGCATACTGACTGTTACGGTGTGAGATCTGTACAGGGTTGATGCTTGAAGTTGAAGGACAACGTATGACGATCCGATACAATTTAATTGAACTGTTTAATTACATAACAAACACGCCCATATCGACATCGACGGACGAAGACATCCGCTCTCTAATACCACAGGGCGAAGACTGATCTAAATTATTTTCCCTAATAACAAAATTCTACTCTCCCACGTCACATGCTTACGTGCCTCGTCACACATTCATTATCTTTTATTAAAATCAAACATTCCACAACACACATATTCTCATAACCATGCAGTACACTAAATTACCATGCATAACACTGACAGCTCAGTTTAATTTGGTACACAACATACTGACATAGTTTCATTTGTCAGTGAGCCTTCTTGTGTACCCACCAATATTGAAGTCTTGTTAAACAACTTTTCCAGCAGTCCCTGCGATCCCAGAGCCAGTCTCTAGAGAGCAGCTCCCTGCAGCAGACACAGCTGCAGCTGGAGAAGGAGGACTTGTCTGAACAGAGGAAACAGCTGCTGGAGGAGAAAAGAGTTTTAGAGAGAGAGAAGCAGTTGCTGAGAGAAGTCGGACTAGGACCAGAGGTTTCTTTTTTATATTCTTAGATGTTAAGTAGCATGTACCTACCAACCCCTAACAGTCCATTCTAAGTTTACCAAATATCCCATGTTAAGTAGCATCTACCTACCAACCCCTAACGATCCATTCTAAGTTTACCAAATATCCCATGTTAAGTAGCATGTACCTACCAACCCCTAACAGTCCATTCTAAGTTGACCAAATATCCCATGTTAAGTAGCATGTACCTACCAACCCCTAACAGTCCATTCTAAGTTGACCAAATATCCCATGTTAAGTAGCATGTACCTACCAACCCCTAACAGTCCATTCTAAGTTGACCAAATATCCCATGTTAAGTTAAGTAGCATGTACCTACCAACCCCTAACAGTCCATTCTAAGTTGACCAAATATCCCATGTTAAGTAGCATGTACCTACCAACCCCTAACAGTCCATTCTAAGTTGACCAAATATCCCCTGGGCGTCACCTGCTCACAAGATATGTCCCATTCCATCGTCATCTAGCCCTGCACTGTCCCTGTGTCTGAATTCACCCTCCTTTAGTTGCTCACATAGACACCAGGTGTGGGGCAATTATCTACCACAAGTGTCTAATTAATGGTCTAGTCTGGCCTGACCCAAGCTTGGCCTTTTCCCATGGTCACTGCTGGTCAATTGACGAGCACGTGTCAGTCACTAATCACATGGTCACTGCTGGTCAATTGACGAGCACGTGTCAGTCACTAATCACATGGTCACTGCTGGTCAATTGACGAGCATGTGTCACCCACTAATCACATGGTCACTGCTAGTCAATTGACGAGCATGTGTCAGCCACTAATCACATGGTCACTGCTGGTCAATTGACGAGCACGTGTCAGTCACTAATCACATGGTCACTGCTGGTCAATTGACGAGCATGTGTCACCCACTAATCACATGGTCACTGCTAGTCAATTGACGAGCATGTGTCACCCACTAATCACATGGTCACTGCTAGTCAATTGATGAGCATGTGTCAGCCACTAATCACATGGTCACTGCTGGTCAATTGACGAGCACGTGTCAGTCACTAATCACATGGTCACTGCTAGTCAATTGACGAGCATGTGTCACCCACTAATCACATGGTCACTGCTAGTCAATTGACGAGCATGTGTCACCCACTAATCACATGGTCACTACTGGTCAATTGACGAGCATGTGTCAGTCCACTAATCACATGGTCACTACTGGTCAATTGACGAGCATGTGTCACCCACTAATCACATGGTCACTGCTAGTCAATTGACGAGCATGTGTCACCCACTAATCACATGGTCACTGCTAGTCAATTGACGAGCATGTGTCACCCACTAATCACATGGTCACTGCTAGTCAATTGACGAGCATGTGTCACCCACTAATCACATGGTCACTGCTAGTCAATTGACGAGCATGTGTCAGTCACTAATCACATGGTCACTGCTGGTCGATTGACGAGCATGTGTCACCCACTAATCACATGGTCACTGCTAGTCAATTGACGAGCATGTGTCACCCACTAATCACATGGTCACTGCTAGTCAATTGACGAGCATGTGTCACCCACTAATCACATGGTCACTGCTAGTCAATTGACGAGCATGTGTCAGTCACTAATCACATGGTCACTGCTGGTCAATTGACGAGCAAGTGTCAGCCATGAATGACATGCTGAGCCTGACAACATCAGTCATGCTCTGGTCACCCCATATTTGTGTCATATCACTGACCCACCTTTAGGGTCAATCCAGGTCAAACACCAGCTGGTCATAACAATATAGCCTATGTATAGACACGTACATATATGTGTATATGAAATGTATTGATCTCTCCAGAAGAAAGTTGTCCAAGAGCAAAAGACCAGCAGCCACAACAAGCAGGAGCTTCTCAGCACAAGTCCACTGAAAGAGTTCCATGTTAGAACTGGAGGTAGGCCTACACTTGTATTTGATACTTGAGTCAGTTAGCACAGAGGTAGGCCTACACTTGTATTTGATACTTGAGTCAGTTAGCACAGAGGTAGGCCTACACTTGTATTTGATACTTGAGTCAGTTAGCACAGAGGTAGGCCTACACTTGTATTTGATACTTGAGTCAGTTAGCACAGAGGTAGGCCTACACTTGTATTTGATACTTGAGTCAGTTAGCACAGAGGTAGGCCTACACTTGTATTTGATACTTGAGTCAGTTAGCACAGAGGTAGGCCTACACTTGTATTTGATACTTGAGTCAGTTAGCACAGAGGTAGGCCTACACTTGTATTTGATACTTGAGTCAGTTAGCACAGAGGTAGGCCTACACTTGTATTTGATACTTGAGTCAGTTAGCACAGAGGTAGGCCTACACTTGTATTTGATACTTGAGTCAGTTAGCACAGAGGTAGGCCTACTGATACTTGAGTCAGTTAGCACAGAGGTAGGCCTACACTTGTATTTGATACTTGAGTCAGTTAGCACAGAGGTAGGCCTACACTTGTATTTGATACTTGAGTCAGTTAGCACAGAGGTAGGCCTACACTTGTATTTGATACTTGAGTCAGTTAGCACAGAGGTAGGCCTACACTTGTATTTGATACTTGAGTCAGTTAGCACAGAGGTAGGCCTACACTTGTATTTGATACTTGAGTCAGTTAGCACAGAGGTAGGCCTACACTTGTATTTGATACTTGAGTCAGTTAGCACAGTGTGTGGACCTTGCTGTAGCATTAATATTGTAGGCGTGGACCTTGCTGTAGCAGTAATATTGTAGGCATGGACCTTGCTGTAGCAATAATATTGTAGGCATGGACCTTGCTGTAGCATTAATATTGTAGGCGTGGACCTTGCTGTAGCAGTAATATTGTAGGCGTGGACCTTGCTGTAGCAGTAATATTGTAGGCACACTAAAGTTTCCATTTGACCTGTGAGTTAAATGCCTGGTGTTTATTCAGGTGGAGCCTCGCCCAGACTTCTGCCAGCCACACCTGTGCCGACCACACCTGTAGTGACCACATCTGTAGTAACCACATCTGCAGTAACCACACCTGTAGTGACCACATCTGTGCTGACAACATCTGTGCTGACCACACCTGTAGTGACCACATCTGTAGTGACCACACCTGTAGTGACCACATCTGTAGTAACCACACCTGTAGTGACCACACCTGCAATGATCAGCCCAGCAGCCCATGATTTGGTTCCAATTGAGTGAGCCAGATTTTTCTAATTTTAACTTTTACATTTTTTAGAAAATTTTTAACCTCAGTCAGAACTTTCTTCTTCCCCCTCCAGTGTAAAGCCAGACTCAACAACAGGTCAGATATGATGGCACCTGCACAGAGTGACCAGTTGGACACATCACATGGTTATGGCTGACCAATCATTTGCTGGACACATCACATGGTTGTGGCTGACCAATCATTTACTGGACACATCACATGGTTATGGCTGACCAATCATTTACTGGACACATCACATGGTTATGGCTGACCAATCATTTACTGGACACATCACATGGTTGTGGCTGACCAATCATTTACTGGACACATCACATGGTTGTGGCTGACCAATCATTTACTGGACACATCACATGGTTGTGGCTGACCAATCATTTACCGGACACATCACATGGTTGTGGCTGACCAATCATTTACTGGACACATCACATGGTTGTGGCTGACCAATCATTTACTGGACACATCACATGGTTGTGGCTGACCAATCATTTACTGGACACATCACATGGTTGTGGCTGACCAATCATTTACTGGACACATCACATGGTTATGGCTGACCAATCATTTACTGGACACATCACATGGTTGTGGCTGACCAATCATTTGCTGGACACATCACATGGTTATGGCTGACCAATCATTTACTGGACACATCACATGGTTGTGGCTGACCAATCATTTGCTGGACACATCACATGGTTGTGGCTGACCAATCATTTACTGGACACATCACATGGTTATGGCTGACCAATCATTTACTGGACACATCACATGGTTGTGGCTGACCAATCATTTACTGGATACAAGCCTGGCCTGCTGCCCTTTAGTTTGTATGGGCCTGTACTACACCTGATTGTGATAGAACATATTGTTGTGGTCTTTCAGAACATATCTCATAACATATCTCATAACATATCTCTCTATACAAAATGGTGATCTATTTATGATCTTACATTGTCAATCATATCATTTTTTAAAAGTTGTTCATTTTTTAAAACTAAAATATATTGGACATTTATAAATGTATACCAGAACTGTGACATGTCTATGTGGATGTGACATGTCTATGTGACCATCTCATGTCTATGTGACCATCTCATGTCTATGTGACATGTCTATCTGACCATCTCATGTCTATGTGACCATCTTATGTCTATGTGACCATCTTATGTCTATGTGACCATCTCATGTCTATGTGACATGTCTATGTGACTGAGACATGTCTATGTTACCATCTCATGTCTATGTGACCATCTCATGTCTATGTGACCATCTCATGTCTATGTGACCATCTTATGTCTATGTGACCATCTTATGTCTATGTGACCATCTCTTGTCCATGTGACCATCTCATGTCTATGTGACATGTCTATGTGACCATCTCATGTCTATGTGACCATCTCATGTCTATGTGACATGTCTATGTGACCATCTCATGTCTATGTGACCATCTCATGTCTATGTGATCATCTCATGTCTATGTGATCATCTCATGTCTATGTGACCATCTCATGTCTATGTGATCATCTCATGTCTATGTGATCATCTCATGTCTATGTGACCATCTCATGTCTATGTGACCATCTCATGTCTATCTGACCATCTCATGTCTATGTGACCATCTCATGTCTATGTGACCATCTCATGTCTATGTGACCATCTCATGTCTATGTGATCATCTCATGTCTATGTGACCATCTCATGTCTATGTGACCATCTCATGTCTATGTGACCATCTCATGTCTATGTGACATCTTTATGACAGCCACAGCTGGTGCCTCAATGCCTTAGTTTAATAATTGATTGATTTTTTTGCTTGCTGCAAGTGCCGGGGTTAAATTGACTGATCCTTGCCTTAACAATTTTATAGCTGTTAAGCTCCTGACCTACATTCCACAATTTAGCCACCTGATGTTACCTTTTGAAATGCATTATTTAACATTGAATTTGCCTGAATCCATTGTCTTATCTCTGTCCTCGTTAACTCTCATCTTGATTGTATTCACCAGTTATCTCTTAAGGTGCTACAAATTTATTGGAACTGTTTCTTTGAATCATTCTTATAAAATACATTGTATATATTTGGCATTGTTTAAAATAACCCAGTTCTGATTGTATCTAATCATATTGATTGGGTGATGTCATTGTCACCAAACTAGAGGCTCACCAGGATACTTCACATGGTGATGTCGTCGTGAAAAACATGCTGATATATTTTCTTTACCTGTAATGCCTGTATTTATGTTGGAATACAATCTTGGTTTGGCTCTTGAACCATGGAAGAATTTTTCTGTAGTATTCTCTCAAGGTAAATGTTTAGATTCATGTTTGAAAAAAGACTTTGTGGTATTCTCTCTAGGTAAATAATTAGATTCATGTTTGAAAAATGTTTCCACACATGTCCCTCTCAGCCCACATTATTTGTATTATAAACAAAAAAGTCAGTGATTACCAGTATTGCTTTATAACTTGATGTATCTATATTAACAAAACTCAGAATATGTTTTTATAATCTCTTATCTGAGAATACCACTGCAGAACATAATTTATTGGTTTATCCAACTAGTTAGGTGTCATTGACTGTACCACTGCAGAACATACTTTACTGGTGTATCCATCTAGTTTGGTGTCATTGTGTAAAAACAAAAACTTTATTTTCTGTTTTTTCACCGCCATTATATTTCTAGGGTTTGCATCACTAAAAATGTACATTCCATGTAAATGTTGATTTTGGAGGCGATTTAAATAATTTTTTTTTGATGATTTTTAAAAGCTGACTTAAATATTTTGTGCTAAGCAAGTGGTTGTGTCACTTGCTGGTATTTTTAGTACCTCTCAAAGTGTAGTCTGGGTTCAGACATTCAGTACGTTCTTGTGTCATGTAGCATTGTTACTTTTTCTTTTCTTATCATTCAAGACTACCTCCTGGACCTGGTTTGACAACTTTTTCTCTTCCTTTGCTAAAACTAATTTACTGTGAAAAAAAGTTTGTTAGTAGATTTAAAACAATTTAGACAATAAATTTTTGCTCAATTATTGTTTGCCATCATTGGAGCTGCTTCTATTGCTACATGTATACAAACACTTCTCACAGCATACACAAGGGAAACAAGATGTTGAGCCTTTTGTTTTTAATGTTCTCTCACTGACAGATAAGTAAATGTCTATGTGCAGACAAAAAAAGTTCAAACAAGTCTCAGCTAATCAGTAGCAGCAGAGCAGTTTGAACAGAACAGTTTCTGCTAAATAAATGGCAGAAATCCACTGACAGTAAGTTTAATAAAACATGTTGACATAACACTAATACATTTGACTGTTGTGAGTTAACAAATGTTAGCAAACACACAAGTCACATGGATACAGACACAGAGCACAAATGCATAGAAATGATTCACTTTGGTTAGATAGCATTCACCACTTCTAACAAGGTTAAGTTTCTTTGCCATGTCCACTCAAAAAGTAGAAGAAAATATAAAACAAAAGGAACTTAGGAATTAATTTTAACAAGTTATTTCATCTAGAATTATTCATCAGTCTACCAGCTGTTCCCATAAAAAAAAACCCTCACAAAATCAAGTACAGACATACCATAGAACTGATGCCATACACACCATGCGAGCACCATAAAGCTGCACACATACCATAGCAGCCACTTGTCCAACCTAGTCTTCACAAAGCTTGATAAAAGATGTATTTACAAAGATGTACATGACATGGGAGAACGGTTAGTGTGAAAAACATGAATTCAACTAAGACTACCAGATTTTTATTTGTTGCACTCAGCACTGGAAGTAGTCCAAACCACTTGGCACATTATTTCCATCCAGGTTGGGCAATTTAAAGTACTTACAATCCACAAACTAATAAATATATATATAGAAATCTAACTATCACAAAGCAAATAAATAGACTATCTTGTCCATAAGGTTTCAGTTAGTAGCAAAATGGGGGAGAGCAAGTCAAAAGGTAAATGCACTATTTTACACATTGGCAATCGAGATCCATTTTGCTTTCAAGCCTTTAAATATTTTTTTTTTGGGACTTCAGACAATTTAAACAATTTTTTGCTTTCAAAGATCTTTGACCACTTCTACTTTCTTTTCTTACACAAAAAAAACCCAATGAAACAAAAAGTAATAACAACCACTGGCCGTAATTTGAAGGTATAACACACAGAATAAACACGCAAAAGGCAAAATCATTTTGTTTTTACATTAACAAAACAGGATCAACAATGCACTCTTTCCATTAAAAAAAATATAACCTATTAATGAGAAAGTGTAAAATTCTGATTAAGGATTACATTGTAAGATATCAAGAGATATGGAAGTTCATGATTCTAGAGCCAGGAAATAGGGAGAAAAGGTGTCTGACTTACTGCAAGATATAAACTATGTACCAACTATGACATTCAGTCTTTCAATCTTACATATGTATTAACTATGACATTCAGTCTTTCAATCTTACATATGTATTAACTATGACATTCAGTCTTTCAATGTTATATATATGCCAACAATGGCATTCAGTCTTTCAATGTTATATATGTACCAACTTTGACATTCAGACCGAACTTGACACAATATTTGATTGTTCCTTCATAAGGACAATGAAAAATGATTAAGCCAGTTATATAATCTTGTCTATCATAACTAACAGAAAAATAACCAGCTAACCATCACATTTGTGAACCATACACTAGCTAGCCAGCAACATGAACAAGTCATATCTGAACAAACAGCCAGCTAGCTAGCAAGATGAACAAGTCATATCTGAACAAACAGCCAGCTAGCCAGCAAGATGAACAAGTCAAATCTGAACAAACAGCCAGCTAGCTAGCCAGCAACATGAACATGTCATATCTGAACAAGCATCCAGCTAGCTAGCAAGATGGACATGTCTAGCGTGCTAGGGCACAGATGAGGTTGGCGCACATCTCAAAGAACTCGAGGGTCTGATGGGTCTGGCCACCACTGTCCTCATCTGTCTCCATGCGGTCATCAATGGACAGCAGGGATGCTGAGCTGGAGGGGCTGGTGGTGAAGGATGTGGGGCTCATCTCCTGGGGGTCGCTGCAGTTGTTCAGACTCTTGAAGTCCAGCAGGAAGCTCTTCTGGTCCACCTGGTACAGCTGCAGGCTCAGGCGCGTCTGCAACAAAATCATTTCCCAATCACTGCCACTATTATCAAAACATCCTTGGTGCAACAACAAGATGTAACTAATTTTAAAATTACATATTCTTGTTTATGTTTTTTGGCTCCATAAAATAACTAGCTAAATACACTGTTTAAAAGTGTGTTGTTTCCTAACACCATAGATATAGTTTTAAATATTAAAATAGTAAGCTGGGGACAGTGTACTGTACTTAGCAATAGCGTGCTAGGCTACTAACCCAAAAATCTAGAGTATGGATCCTGGGTTAGAATCTGTAGGACTGTTTACCACTACAGACATTGTGAACTAAATAATAGGTTATTTCTGACAAGCAAGAAGGGGAGAGAACTCACAAATTTTTGTGTGACCTGGTTCTTTCTCCTAACTCTCACATGCCATTGGTTGATGACTTTCCATTCCTTCAATACAAACAAAATTTAGATTAAGACATTTATTTTTAATTTTAGAAAAGTGTAGTAAAGAATTCAGCATTAATTAATGAAATTATGTCCTTTTTCTGGATTCTCTGTGATGCCAGCTCCTCACTATTTTCATGTTAAAATCTAGTTAATAATCCAGGATATAATTAAACATAGTCCAATGTTTTCATGGCCCTGTACACCTCATGCATGAATCCAGCAGTAAAAAAACTTACATAGTCCAATGTTTTCATGGCCCTGTACACCTCATACATGAATCCAGCAGTAAAAAAACTTACATAGTCCAATGTTTTCATGGCCCTGTACACCTCATGCATGAATCCAGCAGTAAAAAAACTTACATAGTCCAATGTTTTCATGGCTCTGTACACCTCATACATGAATCCAGCAGTAAAAAAACTTACATAGTCCAATGTTTTCATGGCTCTGTACACCTCATGCATGAATCCAGCAGTAAAAAAACTTACATAGTCCAATGTTTTCATGGCCCTGTACACCTCATGCATGATGTCTTGGGGCTTGCTCTGGGAACGTATACCTGAAACACAAGAGTCAGCTTATGTAGAAGAACAATGTGTACCAAATTTTTCTGGCAAGTGAAATTAGATTTTTCATATCAGCTTTTACATGAGCACCAAATTCAGGGGGACAACTCAAACAACACTGTGGGTGGGAGATTGATACAAGTACACCAAATCAATTATCTTTCCTTGAATGCCATTTGCAAACCATTCTCTACGACATCCCATTTTTACAAGCTTTTACTAAGTCACAATGTCTGTAAGTGTGAAGTCAATTCTGGTAACTCAATCTTCTCATTATCAGCAGTATTATCAGTGTAATGATACTAGGTGAATAAGTTCCTTAGCATACGCAAAACCAAGTGTCAAATTACTGGAGCATATTTTAAATAGTTTGACCTTACAAACGATGCTCACATAATTACAGTGGTAACGACTCAACAATCTTGTTGAAATCTTGAAAACATACTAAAAAATTCTAGCTAATGATTTCAAATACACTAAAAATTCTAGCTCATGATTTAAGTAAAATAAACTAAAAATTCTAGGCTCATGGTTTAAAATTTTGTCTAAAATATGAAAAAAAAAAAAATTAGTTTGTGATTTAAAAAAAAAGTGAAATGAGACAAATAGCAGATATACTTTCACATAAACACCTGTGAAAAGTTGGAATCCCAAAGACTACTGTTTTTTAGATCAAACAACTAATAAAAATAAAAATGTGGAGATGGTCGGATTAGCAAGAATAAAAATGTGGAGATGGTCCAATTAGCAATAAAAATGTGGAGATGGTCCAATTAGCAAGAATAAAAATGTGGAGATGGTCCAATTAGCAAGTGTGGAGATGGTCCAATTAGCAAGAATAAAGATGTGGAGATGGTCCAATTAGCAAGAATAAAAATGTGGAGATGGTCCAATTAGCAATAAAAATGTGGAGATGGTCCAATTAGCAAGAATAAAAATGTGGAGATGATCCAATTAGCAAGAATAAAAATGTGGAGATGGTCCAATTAGCAAGAATAAAAATGTGGAGATGGTCCAATTAGCAATAAAAATGTGGAGATGGTCCAATTAGCACAAATAAAAATGTGGAGATGATCCAGTCAGTGAGAATCAAAATGTAGGATCCTACCCAAGTGCCACTTGGCCTTCTTAGCGTGGCCACTGTTCTTGTTTTCAATGACTGGGTCCAGAGTGTGACTGGTGTTCTTTAGTTCTGAAACAATCAAGTACAATAATCCATGGTAACACAATTAGACTTCCCTCCCCTGGTTGTCAGTCACATCAGAATAGAATTACATAAAAATATGTCAAAGGGTCAACATGTGTAAAAAAAAATGGAAATTGATTGCCACAGGTTTAAGCTTCACAATTACAAGGCTAGGTAAGGTAAGAACAGGGGACAAAATGTCAGGCAAATAAAGCAATAAAGTCTGGTTGCTGGGGTGAAGGGTTAAAGGTGAACAGCTGTGAGTACCTGGCATGCGCTCAGGGTGAGGCCTTAGTGGACTTGATGCCTGGGGAAAAGAAAAAATAGTGGGTGAAAAATTGTAACAATTTTATAACAATGGTTGATGGTGGAGTGAAAAAATTCCACACAAGATGAGCCTGAAACTAACAAAATTCTATGTGTCACCAGTGACTTATTTTATTATGTGTCATCATTTTGTGTTTAATACTGTGTGTCATCTATATTAGGTTAATACTGAGTGTCATCACTGTATTATATTTAGTGTCATTAGTGTGTTATTTTACTATGTGTAATCATTGTATTATTTTACTAGCTAAATACTATAAGCCACCATTGTGTTATTGGACCATGTGTCATCATTGTATTATTTGACAACCTATATGTGACATGTTATCAATGTAATTTTATCGAGTCAATGTTACATCTGATCAACAAGTTGTGTGACAAACTAAATCATGTGTTATCTAGAAGACTACAAGAGAGAAACGTACCAAGCTGAAAGCTTCAGGGGGTGGGCTGGATGCCAGAAAAAAGTCCTGATATTCACTGGACACTGTGGACACAGATTTCAATTGGTTTATTCCTTAAACACTAAACTAGTGACAGTAATAACATATCCAATATAAAGACATTTCACTAAGACACCAAACAGCCGCGCTCATTGTGGCTTACCTTTCTCATGCATCAGCTGATTGTCCAGGATCAGATGATAGGCAATGTACAGCTGGTCATGTGGGTTGTCATTGAGCAGAGCTCTGTGGACCTCGTTGTCCTCAACATTAAATTTCTGGGGACACAATGTTGTCATCAACATTAAATTTCTGGGGACACAATGTTCTCATCAACATTACATTTCTGGGGACACAATGTTGTCATCAACATTACATTTCTGGGGACACAATGTTCTCATCAACATTACATTTCTGGGGACACAATGTTCTCATCAACATTACATTTCTGGGGACACAATGTTGTCCTAAACATTAAATTTCTGGGGACACAATGTTCTCATCAACATTACATTTCTGGGGACACAATGTTGTCATCAACATTACATTTCTGGGGACACAATGTTCTCATCAACATTACATTTCTGGGGACACAATGTTCTCATCAACATTACATTTCTGGGGACACAATGTTGTCCTAAACATTAAATTTCTGGGGACACAATGTTCTCATCAACATTACATTTCTGGGGACACAATGTTGTCATCAACATTACATTTCTGGGGACACAATGTTGTCATCAACATTACATTTCTGGGGACACATTTTCTCTAACAGGCCCATGCACACACCACCAAATGTCGCAGAATAAACAAGTCACCTCACAGATCTCCCTGACAATGTCTGTGTTAACAATGGAAGCATCTTGATCAGCAGAGCTGGGAAACAAATACTCAGGCAAGCTGTTTTTAAACCACTCTGTTTCTCTGTCAAATAAAATATTAATTAGCAAACACAGATCATCACAAAAACATCAACAAATAAAGATCATCACCCATACATGAACAGAGAACAACACGAGCATAAAAAACAAAGGAGCACATCACTAAAACATCAACAATAGAGAACATCACTAAAACAACAACAGAGAACATCACTAAAACATCAACAATAGAGAACATCACTAAAACAACAACAGAGAACATCACTAAAACATCAACAATAGAGAACATCACTAAAACAACAACAGAGAACATCACTAAAACATCAACAATAGAGAACATCACTAAAACAACAACAGAGAACATCACTAAAACATCAACAATAGAGAACATCACTAAAACAACAACAGAGAACATCACTAAAACATCAACAATAGAGAACATCACTAAAACAACAACAGAGAACATCACTAAAACATCAACAATAGAGAACATCACTAAAACAACAACAGAGAACATCACTAAAACATCAACAATAGAGAACATCACTAAAACAACAACAGAGAACATCACTAAAACATCAACAATAGAGAACATCACTAAAACAACAACAGAGAACATCACTAAAACATCAACAATAGAGAACATCACTAAAACAACAACAGAGAACATCACTAAAACATCAACAATAGAGAACATCACTAAAACAACAACAGAGAACATCACTAAAACATCAACAATAGAGAACATCACTAAAACAACAACAGAGAACATCACTAAAACATCAACAATAGAGAACATCACTAAAACAACAACAGAGAACCTCACTAAAACATCAACAATAGAGAACATCACTAAAACAACAACAGAGAACATCACTAAAACATCAACAATAGAGAACATCACTAAAACAACAACAGAGAACATCACTAAAACATCAACAATAGAGAACATCACTAAAACATCAACAACAGAGAACATCACTGAAACATCAAAAATAGAGAACATCACTAAAACATCAACAACAGAGAACATACTGAAACATCAAAAATAGAGAACATCACTAAAACATCAACAACAGAGAACATCACTGAAACAACACCAAGTACAGAACATCACTAAATCATCAACAACAGAGAACATCACTGAAACATCAAAAATAGAGAACATCACTAAAACATCAACAACAGAGAACATCACTGAAACATCAAAAATAGAGAACATCACTAAAACATCACTAAAACATCAACAACAAAGAACATCACTGAAACATCAAAAATAGAGAACATCACTAAAACAACACCAAGCACAGAACATCACTGAAACATCACCAAGTACAGAACATCACTAAAACATGACCAAATGGCAGAGATGATAATAACCTGATTTCTTTAATGGTGGCACGTTTGACAGGATCAACCTGCAGCATGTGACACAAGAGGCTCACCACTTCCTTGTTCAGGTACTCTGGGATAGCAAAGATTCCAGCTGACAAAATATAACAGTTATATTACATATACAGATGACATAATATAACACATTTCATTTACAGCTGACAAAATATAACACAATTATATTACATATACAATTGACAAAATATAACACATTTCATTTACAGCTGACAAAATATAACAGTTATATTACATATACAATTGACAAAATATAACACATTATATTTAAAGCTGACAAAATATAACAGTTATATTACATATACAGCTGACAAAATATAACACATTTCATTTACAGCTGACAAAATATAACACAATTATATTACATAATGACATATACAATTGACAAAATATAACATTTTATTTAAAGCTGACAAAATATAACACAATTACAATTTATATAGAGCTGACAAAATATAACACAATTACATTTCATATACAGCTGACAAAATGTAACACAATTACAATTTATATATAGCTGATGAAATATAACACAATTACATTTCATATACAGCTAATAAAATATAAGTTATATTTCATATACAGCTGACATAATATAACATAATTATATTTCATATACAGTTGACAAAAAAAAACCCCACCAAAATCATACTTTTAAGTACAGCTAAAAATAAAGCGAAAATTTGATCTAATACTTATACATGAAATTTCCTAAACATAAATGAAACAGCACTGTATTGTGCTTACAGACACAGACATAACTGACTCAGGGAGGGTAAAATGTCAAATTTGGTAAAATCATTTTTTATTTTTCTTTTGCTTGATTACAATGCTTTCTCTATACTTCGTAAACGAGAAAGTAACAATAAAACAGAAATAAATTACCTATCAATCCCCCCCCCCCCCCAAAAAAAAAAAATTAAACATGTTCAGAAATGATTGTTAAAGTTAGAGTAGACAAGTTGTGAACTTACATTTGATTTTCCTGAATAATGTTGGAACATGCTCATCATCAAATGGTAGCTGGAATATTTTGAAAATAAAAAACCAATCGACAATTATACTTTTTCAGAGTAATCAATATCCCCACAAATATAGACATATGAATACACAGAAATATAGGTAAAATAACGAGGAATGATCTGACAGAGAAATAACTAGCTAAAAACTACCGTGCCACACAGGAGAGCGTAGAGAATAACACCGCAGCTCCATATGTCCACCTCTGGCCCTGCATACAGCCTGCATAAACAAAATGTCATTTAAAGCTAATCAACATAACATGCTACTTATTCAAATCTTAAAATAATACAAACTTTTCACTCAAATTTGAAACACAGCTACCCATTAACATCTTAAAAATACAAGCATCAGATTCACATCTTAAAATATAACTAGCTACCCTTTCTCATCCAAAGATATAGCTAGCTACCCCATCATATCCTAAAAATATATGCTACCTAGCTTTTTTCCGATCCATAAATTATAATTAGCTAATCAATTACATTCTATATATATATAATTAGCTAACCATTCACATTTTATAAATATAACTAGCCACCCATTTACATCCTAAAAATATGGGTGCAGTATAAAAACCCTTGAGATACAAGACTGGGTGCAGTATAAAAAGTCTTGAGATACAAGACTGGGTGCAGTATAAAAAGTCTTGAGATACAAGACTGGGTATAAAAACTTACTTTCCAGAGATGACCTCAGGTGCAGCGTAGTTTGGGGAGCCACAACTAGTTCGCAGGAACTCTCCATCAGTCATCATGTTGGATAGACCTTAGGAAAGATACAACTAAGCTTTTACTCGCCTTCTTCACAGTATTGAGTTTTGATACATGCCTGCATAGCATATTGAACATCAGGTAATTTGAAAAAACTACCATTACTGAACTATGGAGAAAAACCGGATAAAATTATATTTGCAAAGAATGAGTACTGACCAAAATCAGCAATTTTGACATTATTGCTGGAGTCTAGCAGCAAGTTCTCAGGTTTGAGATCCCTGTGGACCACCATATGTCTGTGGCAGTAGTCCACACCTGAGATGATCTGCTGGAAGAAGCGGCGAGCTTCTGGTTCCTTTAGCTAGTCATCAAAGATAACAAGAAAACAAGGTTCATCAGCAGGAACAAAAACACAGCAGTCAATCAATTCAATGCTTGTACAGACTCAACAACAACTAAACAAGAAATCAAGGTCAAGGTTCATCAGCAGGAACACAGCAGTCATTCAATTCAATACTTGTACAGACTCAACAACAACTAAACAAGAAATCAAGGTCAAGGTTCATCAGCAGGAACACAGCAGTCGATCAATTCAATACTTGTACAGACTCAACAACAACTAAACAAGAAATCAAGGTCAAGGTTCATCAGCAGGAACACAGCAGTCATTCAATTCAATGCTTGTACAGACTCAACAACAACTAAACAAGAAATCAAGGTCAAGGTTCATCAGCAGGAACACAGCAGTCGATCAATTCAATACTTGTACAGACTCAACAACAACTAAACAAGAAATCAAGGTCAAGGTTCATCAGCAGGAACACAGCAGTCGATCAATTCAATACTTGTACAGACTCAACAACAACTAAACAAGAAATCAAGGTCAAGGTTCATCAGCAGGAACACAGCAGTCATTCAATTCAATACTTGTACAGACTCAACAACAACTAAACAAGAAATCAAGGTCAAGGTTCATCAGCAGGAACACAGCAGTCGATCAATTCAATACTTGTACAGACTCAACAACAACTAAACAAGAAATCAAGGTCAAGGTTCATCAGCAGGAACACAGCAGTCATTCAATTCAATGCTTGTACAGACTCAACAACAACTAAACAAGAAATCAAGGTCAAGGTTCATCAGCAGGAACACAGCAGTCATTCAATTCAATGCTTGTACAGACTCAACAACAACTAAACAAGAAATCAAGGTCAAGGTTCATCAGCAGGAACACAGCAGTCATTCAATTCAATGCTTATACAGACTCAACAACAACTAAACAAGAAATCAAGGTCAAGGTTCATCAGCTAGAACACAGCAGTCAATCAATTCAATGCTTATACAGACTCAACAACAACACTAACCCTTCCATGCTTGACAATGTAATCAACAAAAACACTAACCCTTCCATGCTTGACAATGTAATCAACAAAAACACTAACCCATCCACGCTTGACAATGTAATCAACAAAAACACTAACCCATCCACGCTTGACAATGTAATCAACAAAAACACTAACCCTTCCATGCTTGACAATGTAATCAACAAAAACACTAACCCATCCACGCTTGACAATGTAATCAACAAAAACACTAACCCTTCCATGCTTGACAATGTAATCAACAAAAACACTAACCCTTCCATGCTTGACAATGTAATCAACAAAAACACTAACCCTTCCATGCTTGACAATGTAATCAAAGAGTTCGCCTCCTGCAACATGTTCCATCACCATAAAGATGTCAGTAGGTGTTGAAATCACCTGATACCTGGTGAGGGGTGGGTATATCTTTTTAATGTTGTAATAGATCCCTATGTTAAGACAATAAAGCCAGGACACTGGAAACCTACTTAACTTAATAAACAGCATAGTTATATTGTCGCTGTTGTGTGAAGAAAGCAACAAACATGTCAGCTTAATTTCTTAATATGTAAGGAAACAAAGTTAATTAAAGAAACAGTTTAATTATGCGTAAAAATCAAATAAATGAAATAAACAGCTTACAGTTTAATTATGTGAGGATGACGAAACAACTTGAGATTCTGGATCTCTCTCCTGATTTTTCCAACAACATCGAGATTTTTAATTTTCTGCCTGTTTAAGATTTTCACAGCCACCTTGTGCCCAGTCATCTGGTGGGTGGCAACTGTAGAACAAATTTGGTCACATCAGATCCAGGCTTTGTGTAGGCATACAACACAAAAACTTGCATGTTTGATTCCGTATCAAAGAATATTTTGTTGGTATCTTTCAAACAATATGTTGAATCTGTAGCTAATGCCATGGTTTTTTTAACAAGTACAACTAAATAGAATGTATGTTAAATTTCTTACTTCTACAGCATGTAAAGAGCTTCATATTATTAATATTTATTTTTGTTTCTACTTACAAAAAAGCTTTTCAAGATTGTGATAAGATTAAGCACATTATATTTTAGAAGTATAGCTATTTTATAGGTCTGGGGCACCAGCAGTTTAATTTTTTCAGCATGGCGATGCCCAAAACTCATAGTAGCCTGTCTCAAAATATTTTAATGACATAATTTTATCATTGGATCTAATCCATTTTTTTTTTTACTGCTTTAATTTAAAACACTAGGCTGGTTTAGTATTACCTTGTTATTACTGTTATCTATTTCATCAAAATGTAGCAAAAACAAAACCATCTCATCTGTCCCGCCCACCATATATCGAATATTCCAACATTTAACGCAAGAAAACATCTCTGCCATCATAACAGTAATATGCTTGTTTCTATCAATAATAAGTAACCTCACTTTACCCCCATTAACTAGTTTGCGTCCTTTTGCACCACTAAAAATTACTCAAGCATTTATGTACATCCATATTAAAAAAAACACAAACTGGTAACTTAATTATTAAGAATGGTTTAAAAGTTATTTAAAACTAAATTTAATGTTTTCAAGCTTCATTTATTGCTAAACCAAGTACTCAACAATAAAGGAGCTTGATAGCTCCTTTTAACAAGCTGCATTTGCAACTTGCTATGGTAGTAATATAATACAATTGGCATAGGTAATAGAGTCCGGAGTTTTTATTCCTTAATGGAAATATACTGATTCTTTTGTCAAAAGTCTGAAATTCAAAAAGTTGGCATGAAAAAGGTTTGGAAAGGCCTATAGCGGGACATAAACAAAAGGGTAGACATCCCTAAGCCTATTATATAAAACGAGCGTATCATACGCCGCTATTTTGTTGTTTTATTTTCTACTTTTCAGTAATTCATAATTTGTGAATTCGGCAGTACCAATGCTGCCACTGAAAATATTTGCTTTAAAACACTACCCCCCCCCCCCTTTCCCCCAACCCTATACCCCCCCCCCCCCCCAGTGAAAGCAGCCTCCTCTTAGTTACCTCCTCTAAGTTTAAAATCGTTTCAAACTAAATTATATGCCCCTAATAGCCGTCACTAAACCCGGCTTTACGATTGTAAACATTTAGAGTGAACCACAGCTCACCAGACCATGTGGGGGGTGGGGGTGGTAGTGATAGAGAGGAAGAGAGGGGACTGCAAGGCGCGCTTGCAGCTTGTTTTCTAAAGTCTCCCAGAAGAGAATTATATACATCGATTGTAAATGTATCCAATAATTCTCAAGGAAATAGTTAACTTCATGAATGAATAAGTCCAGAAGTAGCTCAGATCTTAAAAAAAAAACATACTATCAATAGGCCGCCAGACTATTTTAAATTTCTTTCACTGAAATTCAATTTCTTGCTTTTTAAAAAAAAAAAAATCACTTCTTCTGATCTGTTTTTCATTAGTCCCTCCTCCCTCCTCCAGAGTGTGAGTAAACTTTTTACAGACAACCCCTCACTATATTTTTACTTTCTTGTATTTACGAAGTATAGAGAAAGTCTTGTAATTGTGCATAAAAAAAAAAAAAACGTTTTACAGTTCCTGAGTTGGAAAAACATAGTTTTGCAACCTTGTCCGTATGTCTGTAAACACAATAACTTGAGTACCATTACAGCTAGGTTGATGAAATTTCATACATAAGTATTATATTATTATATCAAACTCGTAGATCCGTATCAACTTGTGAGCGATTTCTGATAACTTGAAGTGGAAACTTTTTCTACTTTGACTATTTTTCAAAAGCCTATAACTTGAGTACTATTTCAGATCGATAAATGAAATTTCACATGTAAGTTAAAGATCTAATTCTCTGCCTTCTATCAAATTTTGAGTAATTTCTGTTCACCGGAAGTAGTAATTTTCGCTATTTCTGATTTCTCAAAAAAATGCATGTGAATTTATAAAGTACTAATAATATTCCGCACTATTATGCACATTTTATTTGGCGTTCAATTTGTGTGCAATTCTTTTTTCTACGAGATTTTATTCTAGTTTAAAAAGTATTTAAAATCATGTCTATATCCCGAGTTGCCATCCCCTGTTGTTTCATATAAGAATATTAGAGAAAGTTTAGGGGAGATCACTCCCGGTTGAATTTTTTCAACACTACAGGAGGAGACAGCCTGACACCTGAGTGAGACTGCAGAAGAGACATTGTTGTTCATTGTCATTGCAAGGAGACAAATACTTTAGGCCTTCTCGTACTAAAAATTACCCAAGCCTAGATCTATATTCTATATCTAGCTAGACTCTAGATCTAGAACCTAAGATCAAATAACAGCACCCATTACTGGCCAGTAGCGGAGTACCATATCAAGGCCCGTAATTTAAAAACAAACAAACGCTTGGCCTAATTCTTAATGAAATCTTTAGGCAGCTTTGTTGACTTAGTCTCAACATCATTTTATATTACAGAAAATGTAACATTAGTTTCTTACTTTTAACTTTACCAAAGGTTCCGACACCTAACGTGTCACCTAATATATAATGCCCTATTTTAACCTGGGCCGAGGACAAACCACTTTTGTCAGCCATGTTTATTGACCCCTGAAAATGAAGGGGACGTAAACATCAACATAAGTCCACCTTGTCTGATTTCCCCAAAAAGCAAAACCAAAATAATAATGTACATTCAGACATTTGGAATAGGCCTAATATGATACATTATACTAAATTATATATTTCTGTTTCATTACTTAAATCAGATTATCATCCGTCAAAAAATCTGTTGTTAGACAATTACTGCATGGTAGTTCCAATTTTGAAACGGAAAATAAGCACATAGATCTAGATCTAGCCTATAGGCAATGTAAACAAAAAAACAACAAAAAAACAACAACAATATAACTAACAGTTTTAAGTGTACTAAAATTTTGAACAAAAAAAAACCTTTATTAAATTAGTGTTAAATTTTAGAAAGTTAACGAAAACTTCTAGTTGCAAAAATTAATTAGCAATGTAAGTTAAATAATATGAACTTGCAAAACAACACTTTTAGGCTAGGTGCTACCTTACTGCGCATGCGTATCCGACATAGTTGTTGTCAAGAGAAGCCTGAGAAGCCGCGAATAAACAGATTTTCCTTAAATAAATAATGCAGGTAGATTGATAATATTAAAATAATTTATTACCTGCCATACAGTGTATTTAATGCACCAAACAGCAAGTCGCATACTGGAACGTTATTAAAAGTTATAAGTATCGTTTTTTTTTTGTTTTGTTTTTCGAGTCTTTACTCGTTTGAACACGATCGCTCTGAGTCTGAAGTCGGAGTCTGAGTGATTCCCAGAGACAAGATACTTTTTTTTTAAGATACTCACTCAAGAGATACATTAATTTCAAGATATATGAGGACTAATCATTGACTAATACTAATGAGTAGATCTAGACTAGTAGAGACAGTTAGTTAAGTTTCATTGTGAGTGTAAAAAAAAAGTTTAGTAGATATACTACACAGTGTACACACACTTAACACTACACTACACACAACATTGGAACTAATAAAACTAATAAAACCTATTGATATTGTTTTTAATTGTTCAAAGTCTGGCATTCATTTTCAAAGATTGTCAAAGAAGAAGACCGTATGAATTTTGACAGAATAAACTCAAAACTGTAAACTACAGTCACTATAACTATAATCTTATGAGTACTGTACATTGAGTAATGACTTACTTAACTTAACTTAACTAGTGAGTACAAACACAATGAACAAAAAAATAGTTAAAATAGGCCTACATTATTTTTGTTAATTAATGTAAGTAGTAAATGATGCTATCATTAGTATCATATGATGTTGAATGTTATTTTAAATTTATGTGGTGGGATTTCTCAAAATTTACATAATTTAGAAATTTGACCTATAGGCCTAATGCTAATATAATAAAATTATATTAGCATAACATAATACCACAAAAAATACATGAATGTATTAGCACCACCCTCTACCACACGTTTTTCTTTAAAATCATAGGCCTAATGAGCAAGATATAATTATTAAAAAAATTAGGCCTACTTTTTTATACATACCAATGTTGTGTCCAAAGAAATGTTTACACTTTATTCATACATTGTATTATCTTCTATGTAAAAAAATTGATATTCCTGCGCCTGTGACTTGCTGTAGTTTTACGCCTCAACACCTGCTCAAAAGAAATTGAAGTCTAAATGGTCCTTTTGCTTTATTGATTGTAGATTTCCAATAAGTATATAAACATAGCTTTGATTACAGCTGAATGGAGGACCATAAAATCTAACATACTTACAAACAAGTATTTCATGATGTAGAGAATAGCAGGTGTAATAACATATTTTTTTTACAAATTTCACATTAAATTTTTACATACTTTCTTACTGATTTGAATATAAAAATACAACAATACTTATCATTAGTACTCTTTAGAATATTAACATTCAAAATGAGTAAATCCCAATTTTTTACAGTTGAGATATTAAATATATGTAAAGAGTGATGTTATTTTCAGTAAAATGATGAACTATTTTAGGACAAGTAAAACAAAGGAATAAGATCAAGTTATTGTCAGGTTAAGTGAGGAAATTTATTATTGCTGCCCTTATGCTAAATAAACCACAGGTTAAGGCTTAGATAGAAAAGAAAGATGTTGCTTTGGAAAGTGATATGCTGGACTGTCATATAAAAGTTTGTTTACCATTTATTTTATTTATAACCTTTGAACTATCGGTTTTGTTAAAAGCAAGTATTTAATTTTTGATGCAACTTTTCAGCTTGAAATCATGTAGACTGAGTCTAGCACACACAAGAATGACGGCGGTTGACTCTGATCTGGACTCTTTTATTAGACAGCAAAAAACAAAGCTTGCAAATGAACGACAAACATTAAAAAATGTAAGTCCATTTATCATTACATAAACTAATTTGCTGAATTAGCCAATTTTGAGATTGGCATTCAGCCATTATATAAAATTTGGGAAAAACTCAACCTACAAATTACAAATAACTGATTCAAACAGATGAATTTCTAAAAAATAAAAAAAAATAGTAAAATATCTTTGGTACTTTTTAAGATTTAATTTAAGATTAAAGTAATATAAGCTACATTTTTGAACCAGTCTAAGAAAGCCATGATAAAAAAATGTTTGTAGTGTGTCCTGGTTTTAGAAACTTTCTGTGTGAAAAAGCTTGAGTGCTAATTGAATGGACTGTATCATTGTATATATCATGCGTTAGTAGTGATAGTATCTTTTTTTTGTGGGCATTATACATTCATATATTAAATATTTAAGTTTCCAGGCCTACATACCCAGCTATATGATATGCTACTCACTGTTGTTTGCTTTAGCATGTATCTATTAGTTTTTACTTTAGATTTTATTACCATCATTATTTTGTGAAACAAACCACATCTATCTTTAGATCTCTCTTAAGTAACATTTTGTTTCATTTTTTTGATATTATAAATCTTCAACAATCTGCACAATGGATCTGTAGTTGGTCCATGTGCTGTACACCTGCTTACCTTCTCCATAAATGACCTTACACTTTTTTGATGATTTATATCACCCCCCCCCCCCCCCCAATGCACATCATCACAAAAGCCAGACCCCCCCCCCCCGCTAAAATGACATCATACCTCATCCTACAACCCCCCCCCCCCCCCCCCCCTCAATGTTGCTGTTCAATTTTTCTTGAAACATTGATATTTTTCCAAAATCTTGTCTAAACTCTGTCAACATGAGTATTTTAATCAATTCCTATTACAATTTATTAAAACATTTTTCTAAAACGCAAAATAACGGCTAAAATTCATTTTCTAACATTGTTAATTATAATGCAAAAGTGTAAAGTCTGAACCCCCTCCCCCTCATCACACACTGTCACAGAATTACTGACCCCCCTCCCACCTAGGAGTGTGACTTCATTTATGGACAACCCTTATTACAAGTTGTCACAAAATTATGACTTCTTTCTCCCAGAAGTGTGACATTATTTTGTGACAACATTTTGTGACAACATAGTAATAAAGAGGTTTATTAAAAACTAATTTCTATTACTTCAAATAACAAATGTGTATCTTTTGGCTCACCGTAAAAAACATTTAATAATATTTTTTTACTTTTAGTCAGTGAAAACTTTGTTCTGAAAATGATGTGATGTAACATTAACACGTTAAATGTAGCACAATGTTGACAAATAAATTAAATGTGGCACAATATTGACAAATAAATTAAATGTAGCACAATGTTGACAAACAAGTTAAATGTAGCACAATGTTGACAAATAAATTAAATGTAGCACAATGTTGACAAACAAGTTAAATGTAGCACAATGTTGACAAACAAGTTAAATGTAGCACAATGTTGACAAATGAATTAAATGTAGCACAATGTTGACAAATAAATTAAATGTAGCACAATATTGACAAACAAGTTAAATGTAGCACAATGTTGACAAACAAATTAAATGTAGCACAATGTTGACAAACAAGTTAAATGTAGCACAATGTTGACAAATAAATTAAATGTAGCACAATGTTGACAAATAAATTAAATGTAGCACAATGTTGACAAATAAATTAAATGTAGCACAATGTTGACAAATAAATTAAATGTAGCACAATATTGACAAACAAGTTAAATGTAGCACAATGTTGACAAACAAATTAAATGTAGCACAATGTTGACAAACAAGTTAAATGTAGCACAATGTTGACAAATAAATTAAATGTAGCACAATGTTGACAAATAAATTAAATGTAGCACAATGTTGACAAATAAATTAAATGTAGCACAATGTTGACAAATAAATTAAATGTAGCATAATGTTGACAAACAAGTTAAATGTAGCACAATGTTGACAAATAAATTAAATGTAGCACAATATTGACAAATAAATTAAATGTAGCATAATGTTGACAAACAAGTTAAATGTAGCATAATGTTGACAAACAAGTTAAATGTAGCACAATGTTGACAAATGAATTAAATGTAGCACAATGTTGACAAATAAATTAAATGTAGCACAATATTGACAAATAAATTAAATGTAGCACAATGTTGACAAATAAATTAAATGTAGCATAATGTTGACAAACAAGTTAAATGTAGCACAATATTGACAAATAAATTAAATGTAGCATAATGTTGACAAACAAGTTAAATGTAGCACAATGTTGACAAACAAATTAAATGTAGCACAATGTTGACAAACAAGTTAAATGTAGCACAATATTGACAAATAAATTAAATGTAGCATAATGTTGACAAACAAGTTAAATGTAGCACAATGTTGACAAACAAGTTAAATGTAGCATACTCAACAAACAAGTTAACTCTACCACAATGTACTAGCATGAATATTCAAGAGGGCGAGCCATTTGAGAACACTGTCAGGCCACAAACATATTGTTTCCACCAAGATGTAAGATGAAGTTTCACTTCAAATTTGTTCTTTTTTGGAATTGGCAATTCTTTATTTTTTTGTCACTCCTGTGGTATTCTGTCACTTCCTGTGCTACTGTTGTTGTCATGTCACTTCCTGTGCTACTGTTGTCATGTCACTTCCTGTGCTACTGTTGTCATGTCACTCCTGTGCTACTGTTGTCATGTCACTCCTGTGCTACTGTTGTTGTCATGTCACTTCCTGTGCTACTGTTGTCATGTCACTTCCTGTGTTACTGTTGTCATGTCACTTCCTGTGTTACTGTTGTCATGTCACTCCTGTGCTACTGTTGTCATGTCACTTCCTGTGTTACTGTTGTCATGTCACTTCATGTGCTACTGTTGTCATGTCACTTCATGTGCTACTGTTGTGAAGTCACTCCTGTGGTATTCTGTTGTCATGTCACTCCTGTGCTACTGATGTACTGTTGTCATGTCACTTCCTGTGCTACTGTTGTCATGTCACTCCTGTGCTACTGTTGTCATGTCACTTCCTGTGTTACTGTTGTCATGTCACTTCTGTGCTACTGTTGTCATGTCACTCCTGTGCTACTGTTGTCATGTCACTTCCTGTGGTATTCTGTTGTTGTATGTCACTTCCTGTACTACTGTTGTCATGTCACTTCCTGTGCTACTGTTGTTGTCATGTCACTTCATGTGCTACTGTTGTCATGTCACTTCCTGTGGTATTCTGTTGTTGTATGTCACTTCCTGTGCTACTGTTGTCATGTCACTTCCTGTGCTACTGTTGTTGTCATGTCACTTCATGTGCTACTGTTGTCATGTCACTTCCTGTGGTATTCTGTTGTTGTATGTCACTTCCTGTGCTACTGTTGTCATGTCACTTCCTGTGGTATTCTGTTGTTGTATGTCACTTCCTGTGGTATTCTGTTGTTGTATGTCACTTCCTGTGGTAATGTTGTCATATGACTCCTCTAGCACTCTTGTACTAAATAAATCACTTTCCATTTCCCTTTCATATAACTGTTACCTTTCTTTATAAAGAGTTTAAAGTCATTTACTGTTATTAATTCTTAAAGACCATATCAATGCTCCCAGGGTCCAAAAACATTTTCTCTATTCAATTCACTGTTTTCCCTGATCCAAGTGTTTAATCATAAATCTAAGTCATGATACCGCTAGAGCGGCCAAAAACATTTTCTCTAATTCACTGTTTTCCCTGATCCAAGTGTTTAATCATACATCTAAGTCATGATAACACTAGAGCGGCCATCAATTCACTGTTTTCCCTGATCCAAGTGTTTAATCATACATCTAAGTCATGATAACACTAGAGCGGCCATCAATTCACTATTTTCCCTGATCCAAGTGTTTAATCATACATCTAAGTCATGATACCACTAGAGCGGCCATTTTTTTGTTCTACTTTCTCTTTTGTAAAACCACTCCCAAAACTATCAAATTAACTAAAGATAAGTATTAATGCTAATAATATTCTGATCCATGATTTTTTATGTAAAAGTTTAACATACTTTCATTTTCCAAAAATATGAGCTCGTGAAAAATAATTCTTATCATTAATGTTTCTGACATAAGCCTATTTTTTTTTCCCCATAGACACTTTATTTTTCTTCGTTAAAACTAATTAATTATCTTCATTCAATAAATAAATAATTACCTTAAGGGGATATGCTATGTTTTTTTTCTATTTTTTACAGTTTAAGATCTAAAGCCTTTTTTTGAATACTTTTATCATATTTGGCATATAAAAGTAAGTATTAAATAGCAAAAAAAAAGGGTCGAAAACAATTTTGGTTGTCATGGAAACCCAAAAAACCTCCGCCATTTTGAATTTTTCGGTACTTTTAAAATTACTAAGGCTATTTTATTTATGCACCTATAGCAATCAAATTTAAACTGCATATATTTCATTATTTATTAAAACTTTTGTCCCAACAACTTTTTGAAATAATTACTAGTAAGAATTTTACAAGGTCTAAAAAATCGTACCCTTTTTAGTATTCAAAAGTTTCAAAATGTGCATATTAATTACCAAATACTTTTTTTCTATGAAAGCAATCACAATTCCCTCGTGACAAAAGTTGTATTTTTGCATCAAGAACATTTACTGAAAATATGGTTGGCATTGTTTAATAAATAAAAAAGAAGTAGGCTTTTTAGTGTTAAAAACATGCAAACTGAGAAAAACAGCAAAAAGTAACGAAAACTAGGTCAGGAAAGTACCATATCTGTGTAAACTGCAAAGCCGATTGTAAGCTTTGGGTGTTTCCAAGATGTAGGAAATTAAGTTTATTAGATACATGAGAAATCCAGCTTTCCAATGACGTCAAATACAATATAATGACGGATATAAAACTTTTCAAAGAGAGCTTGTAAGATTGGGAAAAATTGATTACTTTTTAATTAATAGGGTCATAAAAATCGTAATTCAAACACATAACATATTTTTTTCTCTTTAAAGTTATTATTTTCTTTATACAAAATGGACAAAGTATCCAAAAGTGCAAGAAACCCATCATGACGAAAAACAAGAAAATTTTGTGATTTTTTTTCCGCGCATATCCCCTTAAGATTATATAAATGTGTAGGACATTGAACATGAAAATAACTCCAGTCTTCAAGAGTTAAAAAATATAGTATTTGCTGCCTTTTTTGTTTACCCTGTGCCTCAACCACTGTTTTGATAAACTACAATTTTAGTTTTATAACACATTGGTTAACTTATTTTTAACATTTTATGGCATTTCATTTTGTTGTAATCATGTTATTTGCTAAAATTGTTTCTTTTTTAGTTGTAGTATTTTACCACTTTTATGTTTTAATCTGGTTATGTGCTAAATTACTATCTTTTTAACTAATTACAGGAGAATATAGTTTTTATTATAATTTAACTTTAAATAATTGATCTGATTGCCCGAATGTTTTCTGTAGAGATATTGAAAAATCAGGTTTTTTGTTGAAGTTATTCTTTCTTGAAGAAATATAATGGTTAGTTTGTTAAGTAAACAGATCAGCATGAAATGTATTGTTATTGTTAAACTGTAATGTTTAAAAAAATATATAAATGGTGTTTTTCCACTTGATATTTTATACTCGTTATACTTGGATGTAATTTTAAAATTTGTGCTATAAAAAGATTTCTTTTTAAACAATTAAAATAGATGTTAAAATTGTGTGAGTGATGAATATAGTTGGACAGTGGGTTGTTATTGATTAGAGAGGAAATAAATTAATTCAATATACATATATAAATATATATTTTTAAAAAATCTAACAATTTAAGTTTAATATTCTTTCTTTAGCTTCTTGCTGATTAACTAATTTTAAAAGATACATTAGCTTAAATTTGTGTTCATTTCATATGCAATAGGCTACTTTGGTTTGTTTATCCATTTATAATTTTTTTCACCCTTTTCTGGAAAAAAAATGTTCTTTTGGTTTTTTCCTATTCCTTTGATGAATTAAAAATGTAGGTTTAACTAATTAGTGCTAATCTTCCAGCATCTTGGCAAACTATTTTATCTGTGTTGATGTACATTTTTCTTTAATAACTAATTAAAGATTAATTATAATTAGATGATCCAGAATGTCCCCACTCCCATGATTTCTTAAATTAGTTGCTTGTCCCTTATGTAGCCATCAGCATGTAATCCAGCTGTAGTTCTGTAGAGATGCTGACTTTTGCTTTAGTTTAACTGGCATGTTTGCTTCCATTGACCTCCATGTAATTCAGCTGTAGTTCTGTAGAGATGCTGACTAGCTTTAGTTTAACTGGCATGTTGACTTTAATCCAGCTTAAGTTCTGTAGAGATGCTGACTAGCTTTACTAGTTTAACTGGCATGTTGGCTTTAATCCAGCTTAAGTTCTGTAGAGATGCTGACTTTTGCTTTAGTTTAACTGGCATGTTTGCTTCCATTGACCTCCATGTAATTCAGCTGTAGTTCTGTAGAGATGCTGACTAGCTTTAACTAGTTTAACTGGCATGTTGACTTTAATCCAGCTGTAGTTCTGTAGAGATGCTGACTAGCTTTAACTAGTTTAACTGGCATGTTGACTTTAATCCAGCTGTAGTTCTGTAGAGATGCTGACTCTAGCTTTTAGTTTAACTGGCATGTACGCTTTCATTGACCTCCATGTAATCCAGCTTAAGTTCTGTAGAGATGCTGACTTTTGCTTTAGTTTAACTGGCATGTATGCTTTCATTGACCTCCATGTAATTCAGCTGTAGTTCTGTAGAGATGCTGACTTTTGCTTTAGTTTGACTGGCATGTTTGCTTCCATTGACTTCCCTTTTGCACCTCCATAAAATGTGTCTAGCCATAACTGATTTATGTGGATCAGAGTCCAGATAACTTTGGGGTCAAGGTTAGGCGCAAGTGGGGTCCTCCCATTGAAGCCACTAAGGAGATAGAGAGAGAGAACTACAAGAAGCTCTGGTACCAAGTGAAGGGCAGATACTTAGAGGTACTGTCTTGCTCATTAGAGGACATTAACTCTCTTATTACTGTCTCATGCTGGTGTTCCCTCAGAAATTGGTGCTTTCTCAGTTAGAGCTGAGATATTTTAGGTCATTAACTCTCTTATTACTGAATCATGTTGCTGGTGTTCCCTTAGACATTAGTTTACTTTACGCACAATTTGGTCCACTGTTAAAAAAAAAGAATAAAAATAATCACATCTGAAATAGAATCGCACAATGCTGCTTCTCTGTGTGCTGTGTTAGGGGCAAAGTTCTGTGGCACTAACTCACTTCCTGTTTGCTTGCCAGGTTTTTGTGCACTGTTAAAGGTTGCTTTCTCTGCCATTTCCTTGGGCTGTCAGCTTTTTTTTTCTGGGCAATAATGGGCATGCTAATAATGCAGTAATAATGTGTGGCTGTTTGATTTAATTTGGGTTGTTGGGTCATCCTGATGGGTTGGGTTGTTGGGTCATCCTGATGGGCTGACCTTGAATGAAGGAGAAGGGGATGTTGATGAGGTGAATGCTTTAGTAGCCTGCTCAGGTTGTGAGAGCTTTAGTATCTCAGTGTTGACCTCTCAGGTCCTAAGCGCTTTAGTATCTTCAGTGTTGACCTCTAATCCATCTTAGTGCTGTAGTTAGCTGTAACACAGGATAGAGCCTTTGATGTAGCTAGACCTTTGTTGCTCCTTGACATAGCCAACAGCTGCTCGCAAGCAATGGGGGTCCCCGGTCAAGCTGTCCCCTAGAGGTTTGCTGGACACCAACGCCCTGATCTTGGATGTCCAGAAGGAGAAGGAGAGGGCGGAGTATGAGGAGATGTGGCGACTTCAGCATGGGATGGTAAGCTCCCAGTATGGGACAGTTGTGTTAGGTTTGATAATGGGATGGTAAGCTCCCTGTATGGGACAGTTGTGTTAGGCTTGATAATGGGATGGTAAGCTCCCTGTATGAGACAGTTGGGTTAGGCTTGATAATGGGATGGTAAGCTCCCAGTATGGGACAGTTGTGTTTAAGTGTTAGGTTTGATAATGGGATGGTAAGCTCCCAGTATGGGACAGTTGGGTTTAGTTTGATAATGGGATGGTAAGCTCCATGTATGGGACAGTTGGGTTAGGCTTGATAATGGGATGGTAAGCTCCCAGTATGGGACAGTTGTGTTAGGTTTGATAATGGGATGGTAAGCTCCCTGTATGGGACAGTTGGGTTAGGCTTGATAATGGGATGGTAAGCTCCCAGTATGGGACAGTTGTGTTAGGTTTGATAATGGGATGGTAAGCTCCCTGTATGGGACAGTTGGGTTAGGCTTGATAATGGGATGGTAAGCTCCCAGTATGGGACAGTTGGGTTTAGTTTGATAATGGGATGGTAAGCTCCCAGTATGGGACAGTTGGGTTTAGTTTGATAATGGGATGGTAAGCTCCCTGTATGGGACAGTTGTGTTAGGTTTGATAATGGGATGGTAAGCTCCCAGTATGGGACAGTTGTGTTTAGTTTGATAATGGGATGGTAAGCTCCATGTATGGTACAGTTGGGTTAGGTTTGATAATGGGATGGTAAGCTCCCTGTATGGGACAGTTGTGTTAGGTTTGATAATGGGATGGTAAGCTCCCTGTATGGGACAGTTGGGTTTAGTTTGATACAGCTTAGTGTCGTATACATCATAGGTCACTGTTCTATGTTGTGCTAGTCACATGATGGTCAATGATCTATGTTGTGTTAGTCACATGATGGTCACTGATCTATGTTGTGCTAGTCACATGATGGTCACATGATGGTCACTGATCTATGTTGTGCTAGTCACATGATGGTCACATGATGGTCACTGATCTATGTTGTGCTAGTCACATGATGGTCACTGATCTATGTTGAGTTAGTCCCATGATGGTCACATGATGGTCACTGATCTATGTTGAGTTAGTCACATGATGGTCACTGATCTATGTTGTGCTAGTCCCATGATGGTCACTGATCTATGTTGTGCTAGTCACATGATGGTCACTGATCTATGTTGTGCTAGTCACATGATGGTCACTGATCTATGTTGAATTAGTCACATGATGGTCACTGATCTATGTTGAGTTAGTCACATGATGGTCACTGATCTATGTTGTGTTAGTCACATGATGGTCACATGATGGTCACTGATCTATGTTGTGCTAGTCACATGATGGTCACTGATCTATGTTGTGCTAGTCACATGATGGTCACTGATCTATGTTGTGCTAGTCCCATGATGGTCACTGATCTATGTTCAGTTAGTCACATGATGGTCACTGATCTATGTTGTGCTAGTCACATGATGGTCACTGATCTATGTTGTGCTAGTCACATGATGGTCACATGATGGTCACTGATCTATGTTGTGCTAGTCACATGATGGTCACTGATCTATATTGTGCTAGTCCCATGATGGTCACTGATCTATGTTGTGCTAGTCACATGATGGTCACTGATCTATGTTGTGCTAGTCACATGATGGTCACTGATCTATGTTGAGTTAGTCCCATGATGGTCACTGATCTATGTTGTGCTAGTCCCATGATGGTCACTGATCTATGTTGAGTTAGTCACATGATGGTCACTGATCTATGTTGAGTTAGTCACATGATGGTTACTGATCTATGTTGTGTTAGTCACTCATCACAACCTGATGTTTACCAGCTCACTCTGCCTATTGTTGGGTCAAATTATACATAGCCCATATAAAAACAGTTCAATTTGTCTTATAAAAACCTCTCCTCCCCCTGCACACTTAATCTGCATGTGTAATGAGGTACTAAGGATAAGACAAGCAGTGCCATCCAGCACCAAGCTAATTGAGCACTGGATGCAAGAGCATGGGAGATAACTCTTTCAATATTTCAGGGGGAAATCAATACAAGTCCCAGCTGTCAAGCTACCATCATGTGATCACCTACCACATCATCAACCACGTCAAAATGTGTTTTAAGACTTAATTTTCTTAAAGCTCTATTTTATAAATTGATTGTTTACTATTGAAATAAGTTTTTTTACAAAAAACAAAAATTGTAAAATGAAAAAGAGATGAGACGTGTAAATACTGTTGCCTAGGAGCCATCACCACGTGGTGTAAACAATCCCAGCAAGCCCACCGCACCACCTGCCCCGCAGTTTGATAGCACACGCACACAGGAGGGAACAGAGCGGGACAAGTATAGAGAATTGTGGCAACAACAGCATCGTGAGGTAGTTATTGTAGTCAGGTAGTTACTGTAGTCAGGTAGTAAAAACAGTCAGGTAGTAATAGCAGCCAGGTAGTTACTGTAGTCATGTAGTTACTGTAGTCAGGTAGTTGCAGTAGTCAGGTAGTTACTGTAGTCAGGTAGTTACTTTAGTCAGGTAGTTACTTTAGTCAGGTAGTTACAGTAGTCAGGTAGTCATTGTAGTCAGGTAGTAAAAACAGTCAGGTAGTTACTGTAGTCAGGTAGTTTCTGTAGTCAGGTAGTTACAGTAGTCAGGTAGTTACTGTAGTCAGGTAGTAACAACAGTCAGGTAGTAACAACAGTCAGGTAGTTACTGTAGTCAGGTAGTTACAGTAGTCAGGTAGTTACTTTAGTCAGGTAGTTACAGTAGTCAGGTAGTCATTGTAGTCAGGTAGTTGCAGTTGTCAGGTAGTTACTGTAGTCAGGTAGTAACAACAGTCAGGTAGTAACAACAGTCAGGTAGTTACAGTAGTCAGGTAGTTACTGTAGTCAGGTAGTTGCAGTAGTCAGGTAGTTACTGTAGTCAGGTAGTTGCAGTAGTCAGGTAGTTACTGTAGTCAGGTAGTTACAGTAGTCAGGTAGTTACTGTAGTCAGGTAGTTACTGTAGTCAGGTAGTTACTGTAGTCAGGTAGTTACTGTAGTCAGGTAGTTACTGTAGTCAGGTAGTTACTGTAGTCAGGTAGTTACTGTAGTCAGGTAGTTACAACAGTCAGTTAGTTACAACAGTCAGGTAGTTACAGTAGTGAGAATATTACACTAGTCAGGTAGTTACAGTAGTGAGGCAGTTACAGCTGTCAGGTAGTTACAGTAGTCAGGTAGTTACAGTAGTCAGGTAGTTACAGTAGTCAGGTAGTTAAAGCTGTCAGGTAGTTAAAGCTGCTAGGTAATTACACCTTTCAAGTGGCTTTCATCCATTTTTATAAGCTTTTATTGAATTTGCTACTCGTCCAGTGTGTCCACATTTTGTCTGTTGTCATAGATCGGAAAACTCGAGCAAAATTTTGGGCACTTTTAACTAACAGATTTGGCTCAAAGTTGGCACGTAGGTCAAGACATAAAAACAGTGCAATCTGACCTTAAATTTGACTTAATTGGATGCCTAATTAATTTTTTATGAATTTGTTAAAATTAGTAGACTGTCTTATCCAACTATTCCACACTATTATACACAAGTTTTCATGTTCATGAGGTGTGCAATAGTTTTTAGTCATGCAACTCTATTGTAAATTTTAAAAATTTAAAGTACTGAAAAAAAATTCATAAAAAACATTTTAATAACAATCTTTTATGTAATAATGCATTAAAAAGTAGAAAATAAATGAATTTCTTTAAATATATTATAATACTCTACTATTTAAATAACTATAAAGAAAAACGTGGGTCACTTCCCTAAATATTAGTAAAAGTATCCAATAGATAGTGACCCGCCCTTTTCTTTATAGTTACTTAAATAGTAGACTATTATATTTTTAAAAATTCATTTATTTTCTACTTTTTAGTGCATTATTACATAAAATCTTATTAAAACATTTTTTTAAATGAATTTTTCTCTTAGCTTTTAAACACAAAAATTTTCATTTAATATTTGTTTAGTGATTACAATAATTTGATACATGTGTTAAGATATAGTGTTTTTAAACACAAAAAGTTTCATTTAGTATTTGTTTAGTGATTACAATAATTTGATACATGTGTTAAGATATATATATTGTGTCAAGAAAAGCTATTGTTTTTTAAAAGCTTTTTTAGTTCACAACATGTTTGTAAGTGTAAGGGTGTGGTTAATCTTGCAACTTAATTTCAACACTTTAAAAATGCAGCAATTTTGTTCAAACTTTCCAGATGCAATTGTCTCCAATACTAGAATATAATTTTTGTAATATCTAATGAAACAATGTTAGAAACTCTAGCTGGATGACATGAAGGTCTTGTCACATAGAACATCTAGGTAATGTGTACATAGGACATCTAGGTAATGTGTACATAGAACATCTAGGTAATGTGTACATAGGACATCTAGGTAATGTGTACATAGAACATCTAGGTAATGTGTACATAGGACATCTAGGTAATGTGTACATAGAACATCTAGGTAATGGACTTACTATGAGCGTACATAGAACATCTAGGTAATGGACTTACTATGAGCGTACATAGAACATCTAGGTAATGGACTTACTATGAGCATACATAGAACATCTAGGTAATGGACTTACTATGAGCGTACATAGAACATCTAGGTAATGGACTTACTATGAGCGTACATAGAACATCTAGGTAATGGACTTACTATGAGCGTACATAGAACATCTAGGTAATGGACTTACTATGAGCGTACATAGAACATCTAGGTAATGGACTTACTATGAGCGTACATAGAACATCTAGGTTATGGACTTACTATGAGCTTACATAGAACATCTAGGTAATGGACTTACTATGAGCGTACATAGAACATCTAGGTAATGGACTTACTATGAGCGTACATAGAACATCTAGGTAATGGACTTACTATGAGCGTACATAGAACATCTAGGTAATGGACTTACTATGAGCGTACATAGAACATCTAGGTTATGGACTTACTATGAGTGTACATAGAACATCTAGGTAATGGACTTACTATGAGCGTACCTAGAACATCTAGGTAATGGACTTACTATGAGCGTACATAGAACATCTAGGTAATGGACTTACTATGAGCGTGGAGTGAAACAATTTACTCCTAACCATGACCACCTCGTTGGATACATTTAAAATTAATTTCTTTCACCTTGTAGCCTGTAACCTTCATGTGAGTTTGACCGTGTAACCATTGACCTTCTTGAGAGTTTGACCTTGTAACCTTTGACCTTCTTGTGAGTTTGACCTTGTAACCTTTGACCCTCTCGTGAGTTTGACCTTGTAACCTTTGACCTTGTGGGTTTGACCTTGTAACCTTTGACGTTCTCCCCAGGCCCAAGAGACCAACATGAAACGTGGAGCTGGGGTTTTAGACACCGCCCAGATCATCCGGGAGGTGGAGCGTGAAAAACGTGAGGAAGAGGAGCGCCTCAGACAACACAATCCACTGCTGGGGGGTGGGGGAAAGCCCCCTGTGGGGAAGGTGCGAGGAAATGTTGACAGGGATGAGTACCACAGACTGTGGGAGCAGCAGAACTCTAAGGTAGATAACTCATCTTTTGTGTCAGTTCTTTCCCCTTGGTATTGATTGTGTTTTGATTATGACTGAGGTCTATTACACTTTGATAGAATAACTTGAAGCTTGGGAAAGTTTTGTCAGTATGGCATTTACTGCAGTATAACTATTTTATCTTGGCATAATACAAAACTATTTACCTGTTCATTACATTGAAATTTAAAATTATAAGTGACAAATTTTTTCTTTTTCATTTCACAATGTTTATTTTTTGCGTTAAAACCTTCTATCTCCCATGTTGGTAAAATCATGTTGCATTCATCACACTTTGTTTCTTATCCAACTTCTTTTATAAGTAGCCACTTTTTGTTACCTATTCTGTCCTTACTGCATGGCGAAAGCTTGAGCTAGAAATGATTCAGCTAGTCAGTAGCTAGAAATGATTCAGCTAGTCAGTAGCTAGAAATGATTAACTACCCACCTAGGTAGTTTAACATAGTGCTAAACAAAATATGTTCAGGCGTTTTTCTTATAACTATATAACCAATTAACAATCCCATAGCACTTAATGAACATTTTCTGTCATAATGCATTTGATTTAATGTGGATAGTGAACAGCATATTTGAATGTAAAGTTGTAAGAAAATATTTGTCAACAACACATAGCATGCAGGCAAGCCTCCTCCATATCCTGGCAAAAAGTCCCCTGAGAAAGTGAACAACAAAGATGTTAGCAGAGGAGATACAAAGCAATTAGCCAAGGTAGAAACCTTTAGTTTGAATAGCACTATGTCCACTTGATGTAAGGACTTGTAATGCTCAGCCATAGAATCTGGTGTCTCATTGAAGTTTGGAATTTCCTCTGGGCTATAAAACTTGGTGGCTCTAAAACTTGGTGGCTCTAAAACTTGGTGGCTCTAAAACTAGTTTTATTTTTGGCTGCAGAGGATGGAGGAGCCAGCAGCCGACCAGCAGTTTGATGATAGTTTAAAGAACATTCAGGATAAAATAGCTGAGGCCAAAGATGAAGCAGACAGATATCGTAAGCGCTGGGAAGAGCAAAAGAAGGTAGTGGCCTACACATTTTGTACCTGCCATCTGCTTGCCTCAAAAATTTGGTGATGGTTCAAGATGTCTTTCTATTTTGCTTTTATTTCTGTAAAACTTTTTCTGTGGCTTTTAGAATATTGATGTAAAAACCATTTGTTCTTTTGCTTTTACTCTAGTTGATGTAATTGCCATTTTTATAACTAGAGAATATAACACCCCTGACGGTTTTTTGCTCAATGATTTTAGTTTTTAATGCAGAACTTTTGATGTTACTTATTTAATGAGTCATCATCAGCTTGAGGTAAAATTTTACAAGCTTCTATTTAACTCTCTAAGCCCGTAATTATTTTCACGTTTTACCGGAATTATTTTTTTCACTCATTTTTTTCAGTACCCCTGCGGCTAAATGACAAATATCTTTTTACCCATTGATTTAAACCCCACACATTATGATAAAAATTAATCGTAATTGAATGCCCTACACACTGATATTAATTTTAATTATTTATTTATTGAAGAAAGGTAATTACTTAGTTTTAAAGAAGAAAAAATAAAGAGTTGATTTTTTCAGGCAATAAATACACTTCTGTCTGGAAAATTAATAATAAGATTTATTTTTCATGAGTTCTTATTCATAGAAAATGAAAGTCCGTCCATTTTTCTACAAAAATCATGGATCGGGTTAGTCTTTAAAATATTTATACTAATTGATTTTTTTTATAATGTGGCAACGTAAACGTCTCGACGCAGCCGCTGAACAGCATTCAGCAGTGATTAAAAAATGCAGTTTTTCGAGTTGTTTTACAAAAAAATTCTATAAAATACAAAATCAATCTAACGAGAAAACGACAAGAAGTAAATACAATGAAAAATGGCCGCTCTAGTGTTATCATGACCAGATTTACAATTAAAAACTTGGATTGCGAAAAACAATGAATTAAAGAGTTAACTTGCTTCCTATGTCATCATAAATCAAAACTGCCGAGTGAAATGTCAGGCACTTCTAACTCAGATACGTTTCAAAGTCACGCTTTTCATTATAATTATTTAAATAGTAGTGTATTATTATATTTTTAAAGAAAATCATTATTTTCCCCTTTTTAGTGCATTATTACTTAAAAGCTTGTTATTTAAACGTTTTTATGGAATTTTTTTGTACAAAATTTGTTCTAAAGCAATTTCTCAATGGAAGTCAAATGACATGTACAATTTGTTAACTTGATGTAGTAGCAGAACATCATCCTGGCTTTGTTTTTAACTACTCTCTTCTTTAATTCGTTACAAAGGTCATTTTTAATTAGATTTTTTAAATTTATTACTGGAATAGATTTACTGATTTATTTCAAATGTAACTCTAGTCATCTCTTAATGCTGCTTTTTGCTAACATTTCAAGTATATTTTGCTTGTGTTTCTTCTTATTAAATAAAATCAGAAACAACATATAATTGGCTAACAACACATCAAATTTTATGAACTTGTTGATATCAGGCCTACTTATAAAAATTGTATGAACATGTCAATTTTAGACCTACACATTAAAATTTATGAATTTGTTATTAGGCATACACATTTTAAAAAGAAATCCACAATCAGCTTTTTAATAGCGAAAGATGTCTGGTAGGCCTGCTTGTGAGTGCTCATAATGTTTAGGAACAGTTGCTTTAAAAACTTGAAGGTAGAATAAAATGATAAAATGAGAACTCGCTTATACAGGAAGGAGTTTCTAATAACCGGCCACACACAGTAGCAGTAGAGGAAGATGTGCTGCCAGTGGGTGGGTACGAAGATTACAGGAAAAAACTAAACCTTGAGCGCCAGAAAGAATATAATGAAATGCTCAGACAGGTAGCTTGGACTGTTATTTTTATTTATTTTTCATTATAAAAATCTTTTTTATTTTTTGAGTTCAGTTTGACAGAAATTTGAGATCTGTTATGTGTTGAAAAAAATGTGTTTTAAATAATTTTAAAAATAATGGTGACCCACTTTTTTATAATTTCACTGCTTTAGGCAGTGATGACCCACTTTTTGATAAGTTTGTACTTTAGTCAGTAGTCACTGAGTAGTGGCCCACTTTCTGATCAACTTAAGGAAGATGTGAACCAATTTACATATTGTAACTTGAACCAGGGAAAATTAAGTAGAAGATCCAATAAAAGTTTGACATATTGTAACTTAAACCAGGGAAAATTAGGTAGAAGATCCAATAAAAGTTTGACATATTGTAACTTGAACCAGGGAAAATTAGGTAGAAGATCCAATAAAAGTTTGACATATTGTAACTTAAACCAGGGAAAATTAGGTAGAAGATCCAATAAAAGTTTGACATATTGTAACTTAAACCAGGGAAAATTAGGTAGAAGATCCAATAAAAGTTTGACATATTGTAACTTGAACCAGGGAAAATTAGGTAGAAGATCCAATAAAAGTTTGACATATTGTAACTTGAACCAGGGAAAATTAGGTAGAAGATCCAATAAAAGTTTGACATATTGTAACTTAAACCAGGGAAAATTAGGTAGAAGATCCAATAAAAGTTTGACATATTGTAACTTGAACCAGGGAAAATTAGGTAGAAGATCCAATAAAAGTTTGACATATTGTAACTTAAACCAGGGAAAATTAGGTAGAAGATCCAATAAAAGTTTGACATATTGTAACTTGAACCAGGGAAAATTAGGTAGAAGATCCAATAAAAGTTTGACATATTGTAACTTAAACCAGGGAAAATTAGGTAGAAGATCCAATAAAAGTTTGACATATTGTAACTTGAACCAGGGAAAATTAGGTAGAAGATCCAATAAAAGTTTGACATATTGTAACTTGAACCAGGGAAAATTAGGTAGAAGATCCAATAAAAGTTTGACATATTGTAACTTAAACCAGGGAAAATTAGGTAGAAGATCCAATAAAAGTTTGACATATTGTAACTTGAACCAGGGAAAATTAGGTAGAAGATCCAATAAAAGTTTGACATATTGTAACTTGAACCAGGGAAAATTAGGTAGAAGATCCAATAAAAGTTTGACATATTGTAACTTAAACCAGGGAAAATTAGGTAGAAGATCCAATAAAAGTTTGACATATTGTAACTTAAACCAGGGAAAATTAGGTAGAAGATCCAATAAAAGTTTGACATATTGTAACTTAAACCAGGGAAAATTAGGTAGAAGATCCAATAAAAGTTTGACATATTGTAACTTGAACCAGGGAAAATTAGGTAGAAGATCCAATAAAAGTTTGACATATTGTAACTTAAACCAGGGAAAATTAGGTAGAAGATCCAATAAAAGTTTGACATATTGTAACTTAAACCAGGGAAAATTAGGTAGAAGATCCAATAAAAGTTTGACATATTGTAACTTAAACCAGGGAAAATTAGGTAGAAGATCCAATAAAAGTTTGACATATTGTAACTTAAACCAGGGAAAATTAGGTAGAAGATCCAATAAAAGTTTGACATATTGTAACTTGAACCAGGGAAAATTAGGTAGAAGATCCAATAAAAGTTTGACATATTGTAACTTGAACCAGGGAAAATTAGGTAGAAGATCCAATAAAAGTTTGACATATTGTAACTTAAACCAGGGAAAATTAGGTAGAAGATCCAATAAAAGTTTGACATACTGTAACTTAAACCAGGGAAAATTAGGTAGAAGATCCAATAAAAGTTTGACATATTGTAACTTAAACCAGGGAAAATTAGGTAGAAGATCCAATAAAAGTTTGACATATTGTAACTTAAACCAGGGAAAATTAGGTAGAAGATCCAATAAAAGTTTGACATATTGTAACTTAAACCAGGGAAAATTAGGTAGAAGATCCAATAAAAGTTTGACATATTGTAACTTAAACCAGGGAAAATTAGGTAGAAGATCCAATAAAAGTTTGACATATTGTAACTTGAACCAGGGAAAATTAGGTAGAAGATCCAATAAAAGTTTGACATATTGTAACTTAAACCAGGGAAAATTAGGTAGAAGATCCAATAAAAGTTTGACATATTGTAACTTAAACCAGGGAAAATTAGGTAGAAGATCCAATAAAAGTTTGACATATTGTAACTTAAACCAGGGAAAATTAGGTAGAAGATCCAATAAAAGTTTGACATATTGTAACTTAAACCAGGGAAAATTAGGTAGAAGATCCAATAAAAGTTTGACATATTGTAACTTAAACCAGGGAAAATTAGGTAGAAGATCCAATAAAAGTTTGACATATTGTAACTTGAACCAGGGTAAATTAGGTAGAAGATCCAATAAAAGTTTGACATATTGTAACTTGAACCAGGGAAAATTAGGTAGAAGATCCAATAAAAGTTTGACATATTGTAACTTGAACCAGGGAAAATTAGGTAGAAGATCCAATAAAAGTTTGACATATTGTAACTTGAACCAGGGAAAATTAGGTAGAAGATCCAATAAAAGTTTGACATATTGTAACTTAAACCAGGGAAAATTAGGTAGAAGATCCAATAAAAGTTTGACATATTGTAACTTAAACCAGGGAAAATTAGGTAGAAGATCCAATAAAAGTTTGACATATTGTAACTTAAACCAGGGAAAATTAGGTAGAAGATCCAATAAAAGTTTGACATATTGTAACTTAAACCAGGGAAAATTAGGTAGAAGATCCAATAAAAGTTTGACATATTGTAACTTAAACCAGGGAAAATTAGGTAGAAGATCCAATAAAAGTTTGACATATTGTAACTTGAACCAGGGAAAATTAGGTAGAAGATCCAATAAAAGTTTGACATATTGTAACTTGAACCAGGGAAAATTAGGTAGAAGATCCAATAAAAGTTTGACATATTGTAACTTGAACCAGGGAAAATTAGGTAGAAGATCCAATAAAAGTTTGACATATTGTAACTTGAACCAGGGAAAATTAGGTAGAAGATCCAATAAAAGTTTGACATATTGTAACTTGAACCAGGGAAAATTAGGTAGAAGATCCAATAAAAGTTTGACATATTGTAACTTGAACCAGGGAAAATTAGGTAGAAGATCCAATAAAAGTTTGACATATTGTAACTTAAACCAGGGAAAATTAGGTAGAAGATCCAATAAAAGTTTGACATATTGTAACTTAAACCAGGGAAAATTAGGTAGAAGATCCAATAAAAGTTTGACATATTGTAACTTAAACCAGGGAAAATTAGGTAGAAGATCCAATAAAAGTTTGACATATTGTAACTTAAACCAGGGAAAATTAGGTAGAAGATCCAATAAAAGTTTGACATATTGTAACTTAAACCAGGGAAAATTAGGTAGACGATCCAATAAAAGTTTGACATATTGTAACTTAAACCAGGGAAAATTAGGTAGACGATCCAATAAAAGTGCACCAGCCAGTGAAATAGTGGAGGACGAAGCACTGCCAATAGGAACATACGACGACAATAAAAGGAAATTAAATGAAGAAAGGCGCAGAGAATACAGAGAAATGCTAATGAAGGTACCATGATTTTAACTTGCTCAAAGTTTTCTATCCACTTACTCTGTGAACTTTTCTTGGAGCTGAGCGCGACCTGATGAGTCTAGAACAAATAGAGCTGATGAGTCTAGAACAAATAGAGCTGATGAGTCTAGAATTAATAGAGCTGATGAGTCTAGAACAAATAGAGCTGATGAGTCTAGAACAAATAGAGCTGATGAGTCTAGAACAAATAGAGCTGATGAGTCTAGAACAAATAGAGCTGATGAGTCTAGAACAAATAGAGCTGATGAGAGTAGAACAAATAGAGCTGATGAGTCTAGAACAAATAGAGCTGATGAGTCTAGAACAAATAGAGCTGATGAGTCTAGAACAAATAGAGCTGATGATGAAGTCAAGTGTTAATGCTTGTCTCTTGTACTACTGTAGAAAACAGCAGGCAACAAACAGGCCAGGCTGAGTACAGAGGAGGAGCCTCTTCCTCTGGGAGGATATGAGGAGAACAGGAGGAGGTTGAATGAGGAGAGGAGGAAGGAGTACAATGAGCTGCAGCAGAGGAAGGTATAGGCCACTAGATTTGTCTTGCTGCTTCATGTACACGCTACCAGTGCTTTGGTCTGCCTGACTAACCTGACCCCACCAAACTAACCTGACCCCACCAAACTAACCTGACCCCTCCCAACTAACCTGACCCCACCAAACTAACCTGACCCCTCCCAACTAACCTGACCCCTCCCAACTAACCTGACCCCTCCCAACTAACCTGACCCCTCCCAACTAACCTGACCCCTCCCAACTAACCTGACCCCTCCCAAGTAATATCTCCACCTTTACTGTTAAATGTTACATGTATAGCAGTCTGTAAAATGGGCTGAACTATCAATATGTTTAGTTGTACTTCTGTCATTGTCAGCTAACCTTGATATATGTATGTCAACTAACCTTGATATATGTATGTACAACTAACCTTGATATATGTATGTCAACTAACCTTGATATATGTATGTACAACTAACCTTGATATATGTATGTCAACTAACCTTGATATATGTATGTCAACTAACCTTGATATATGTATGTCAACTAACCTTGATATATGTATGTCAACTAACCTTGATATGTGTATTTCAACTAACCTTGATATATGTATGTCAACTAACCTTGATATGTGTATTTCAACTAACCTTGATATATGTATGTCAACTAACCTTGATATGTGTATTTCAACTAACCTTGATATATGTATGTTAACTAACCATCAATATATTGACTTTCATGTAATATGTGTACAACTAACCATGATGTGTATGTGTACGCATACATTTGAATTGTGTTGGTATACACTTGCTATGTGTACACAGCTGCCCCCCCCCCCCCCCAAAGTTTGGGTAAAGGGAAAAAGTTCTCCTGTCTAGAGTACATTGAACTGATTTGAAACATCTCTGGTTGAGTGTGAAACCAAATGAAGGGATATCTCATGAGGAAACTAATAGATAACACTTTCTTGATTTTTTTCTTGGCCTTATTATATTTATTATTTTAAAAAATCAACATGACATCTGACCTTCAGTGTTTACACACAACGACTAATGTTTGATAATCTTATCCAGCTCATTTCTCTTTATTAGAACAATGTTTCATTTGATTAGATATATTGTTACAAACTGCATCTTAAAAATGATTGGGAGTAAAGGACAAAGTTTCAATTGAAAGCAAAGTAATGAATATTATTCAACATAAAAGATAAAGGAGTAAACTATTGTACAAGTTAAATGTAAAAAGGAGTAAACTATTGTACAACTGCAATTAGCAGAAGAGACATGAAGAGGAGCATCACAGATAGGCCACACTTTCTTGTTGAATGTTTAGACAAAATCTGAGCATTGGGTGTGTTGGTCTTGTCAGATTAGTGATCTTGTCAGATTAGTGATCTTGTCAGATAAGAGATCCTGTCACTTTAATGATCTTTTCAGCTGAATGATCTTGTAAGTTAAGTGATCTTTTCAGCTGAGTGATCTTATCAGATTAGTGATCTTGTCAGATTAGTGATCTTGTCAGATTAGTGATCTTGTCAGATTAGTGATCTTGTCAGATTAGTGATCTTGTCAGATTAGTGATCTTGTCAGATTAGTGATCTTGTCAGATTAGTGATCTTGTCAGATTAGTGATCTTGTCAGATTAGCGATCTTGTCAGATAAGAGATCCTGTCACTTTAATGATCTTTTCAGCTGAATGATCTTGTAAGTTAAGTGATCTTTTCAGCTGAGTGATCTTATCAGATTAGTGATCTTGTCAGATTAGTGATCTTGTCAGATTAGTGATCTTGTCAGATTAGTGATCTTGTCAGATTAGTGATCTTGTCAGATTAGTGATCTTGTCAGATTAGTGATCTTGTCAGATTAGTGATCTTGTCAGATTAGTGATCTTGTCAGATTAGTGATCTTGTCAGATTAGCGATCTTGTCAGATAAGAGATCCTGTCACTTTAATGATCTTTTCAGCTGAATGATCTTGTAAGTTAAGTGATCTTTTCAGCTGAGTGATCTTATCAGATTAGTGATCTTGTCAGATTAGTGATCTTGTCAGATTAGTGATCTTGTCAGATTAGTGATCTTGTCAGATTAGTGATCTTGTCAGATTAGTGATCTTGTCAGATTAGTGATCTTGTCAGATTAGCGATCTTGTCAGATTAGTGATCTTGTCAGCTGAGTGATGTTGTCAGCTCACTTGCCATGCCTATAAATACTCCATATTTTTCATTATCTGCTTTTGAAACCTTCCCATTCTGCTTTGTCACCATCTAATTAACCTAATTAATGTAATTACTGTATGTCTACCTATATCTAACTCTGTAGAGAAGCTTGGAGCATGTAGCGCCCAGGACACAAACTGGCGCTGTTCTATTTAAAGATGACAAGCGATTTGATCGCCTGAGACAAATGGAGGAGGAAAGAAATCGTGAATACAACGAATATCTGGCCATCAAGGTGACAGACTGGTCCGTTCATTGTGTCCAGTGGTCACTTCTTCACCTGTGTTCATCACACTGTTTCCAGTGGACACTCCTTCACCTGTGTTCATCACACTGTTTCCAGTGGTCACTTCTTCACCTGTGTTCATCACACTGTTTCCAGTGGTCACTTCTTCACCTGTGTTCATCACACTGTTTCCAGTGGTCACTTCTTCACCTGTGTTCATCACACTGTTTCCAGTGGTCACTTCTTCACCTGTGTTCATCTATTCACACGATCTTTGGACTAGTAGATCACATAAAAACCTGCCCCCCCCCCCCCCCCACCTTACTCATCTTTAGAGTTTTGCACTACTGATCTATTTATTATCAAAGTTTATCGTATTTTGTTCCCATAACATCATGCTAGTTCCTGTATAAGAACTCTATCTGTAGTATCTTAACTTACGCTCAAAGTGAATTAATACATCCCATAGCTTACTAACTGAGGCCCATAGTTGTGAATTAATACATCCCATAGCTGTGAATTAATACATCCCATAGCTGTGAATTAATACATCCCATAGCTGTGAATTAGAACATCCCATAGCTGTGAATTAATACATCCCATAGCTGTGAATTAATACATCCCATAGCTGTGAATTAATACATCCCATAGCTGTGAATTATTACATCCCATAGCTGTGAATTAATACATCCCATAGCTGTGAATTAATACATCCCATAGTTGTGAATTAATACATCCCATAGCTGTGAATTAGAACATCCCATAGCTGTGAATTAATACATCCCATAGCTGTGAATTAATACATCCCATAGCTGTGAATTAATACATCCCATAGCTGTGAATTAATACATCCCATAGCTTACTAACTCAGGTTCATAGCTGTGGTGATTGCAACATTAAGCTAACAGTGATAAAAATATCTCATTCAATTTTATAAATGTTATTGTAAATGAGCAGATCTGTGAAACTGGTATAAGCTGGTATAAGCTGGTATAAGTGATCAAATAGTTATTTCCTCCCTACTTACCCTGTAGTCCATGTTTTTATGTCTCATCATTGATTGGTAGAGGCTACTGACAGTTAATTAAGGTAGAGCTATTATTAAACAGATAAGTTACAAGAGTGTCTCAAAATATTGTGCTTTCACATTTTTTATGGTAAATAAATCTTTCATTATTGACATACAAAACTAGCATATGAATACAGCTACTGAATTATTACATTAGCAAAAAAATAAAGTCTTAAGATGACCTTGGAAAGTGATTGCTGCTGAAATGGTCTGTAAGTCACGCCTAAACACAAGTCTTCTCTCATGCATGTTAGAGTAGTCTGATTTTATACTGCTAGTTCATCTTGTTCACCTGGCCATTAAAGAGACCTTTTGCTTGACAGCGAGGAGACAAATTTGATCTAGGTTTAGCTCCGGAGGTTGATGAGTCTGAGGAGTTTGGACTCTTCCACAACCTTGGAGCTGAAGACAAAAAACTGAAAGAAGCCAAGAGGGAGCCACCTGTCCACCTAAACCTGCAGGGACAAAACATCTACAACAAAGCCATACGAGTACTTTCTTTGATTTCTGGCACCCATTACAAGCTCTTACAATAACAAGCTCTCGCCTTTATTCAACTCTTAGAAGTAGTGGAGAAAATCTTAACATTTAGAATTTGTAGAAATAATTTTCTTTACAGCAGTGGATCACACCATTAATGATCCATACAGAAAATATAAGTTATTTGCATTCATGCCTCATATAACCAAAATTTTAACTAAGTTTTGCACTTTAAATAATTCTGTTCAAAATATTTTCTCTTAGAATGTAGTACCTTGTTTGCATATTTTTTTATTTTATTTACATTATCTTTTTCTTGATTATTTATTAGGACATATTGCTACAAGCATTTAGTTAGATTAACTATTGTTTTGATCTGACCCTAACTCAAATATTTACCCTAATCAGAGATGAAGCAGACATATTAATGTCATTCCCTGCTACTTTTTCAACTTCCACAAAGCTATTCTGATAATCCAAATTTTCTCTGACTTTGTATTCGTAAATTATTTTAACAGCTGCTAATGTTTGTGGGTCTTAAATATTTATTCTTATTCTATGTCCACTACTAACTTTTACTTTTTTTTCAAATGCAATTATTGCAGTTTCATTATTAGTGTACTAAACTAATTTCTTGATACTTTTAATTCTTATTGGCAATTTGTTGAAGTAACAATTTGTATTTGGCAATTAGTAAATATAACAATAAGTAAAATACCTTAATAGAAATACTGTTTATAATACAAAAAATTTGATAAAGAAAATGTTAAACTAATTGTGTTGAAATAAAAAAAATCAGATGTTTTGTTTCCCACTAAAGTTTTTAAACAGTTTGTAAATATATACTTTCTAACTAAAAGAAATAAGAGGGAACAGCACTAGAACAAAATTGTGGACCACATGTACTGACATCATTGACCCCCCCCCCCTGTCCACATGTACTGACATCATTGACCCCCCCCCCCCCCTGACCACATGTACTGACATCCTTGACCCCCTCCCCCAACCAAATGTACTGACAATATTGACTCCCCAGACCACATGTACAGATCCCATGGACCCCCCCTGACCCCTTGTACTTGTATCCTACAGAAAGGTTATCAAGCCCGCCCCCTACAAGAGCAAACAGATGAATATAAAGCCTCCACCTTCAACAGCAATGAGAGTGATGCTGCCAAAGTAAGTTTTCTTATTGGGTCCATTGTCTACAGGTTCCTTGTGTACAGGTTCCTTGTCTACAGGTTCCTTGTCTACAGGTTCCTTGTTTAAAGGTTCCTTATCTACAGGTTCCTTGTCTACAGGTTCCTTGTCTACAGGTTCCTTGTCTACAGGTTCCTTGTCTACAGGTTCCTTGTCAACAGGTTCCTTGTCTAAAGATTCCTTGTCTAGAGGTTCCTTGTGTACAGGTTCCTTGTCTACAGGTTCCTTGTGAACAGGTTCCTTGTCTACAGGTTCCTTGTCTACAGGATCCTTGTTTAAAGGTCCCTTGTCTAAAGGTTCCTTGTCTAAAGGTTCCTTGTGTACAGGTTCCTTGTCTAGAGGTTCCTTTTCTACGTTCCTTGTCTACAGGTTCCTTGTCTACAGGTTCCTTGTCTAGAGGTTCCTTGTCTACAGGTTCCTTGTCTACAGGTTCCTTGTCTACAGGTTCCTTGTCTACAGGTTCCTTGCCTGGAGGTTCCTTATATATATTCTTTATTTGAAAATCATAAAATGATACCTTACAGATTTACAAACTTTCATTGTTTAACCAGTGTTCCCCTACATCAACTTCCATTGTTTAACCAGTGTTCCCCTACATCAACTTCCATTGTTTAACCAGTGTTCCCCTACATCAACTTCCATTGTTTAACCAGTGTTCGCCTACATCAACTTCCATTGTTTAACCAGTGTTCCCCTACATCAACTTCCATTGTTTAACCAGTGTTCCCCTACATCAACTTCCATTGTTTAACCAGTGTTCCCCTACATCAACTTCCATTGTTTAACCAGTGTTCCCCTACATCAACTTCCATTGTTTAACCAGTGTTCCCCTACATCAACTTCCATTGTTTAACCAGTGTTCCCCTACATCAACTTCCATTGTTTAACCAGTGTTCCCCTACATCAACTTCCATTGTTTAACCAGTGTTCCCCTACATCAACTTCCATTGTTTAACCAGTGTTCCCCTACATCAACTTCCATTGTTTAACCAGTGTTCCCCTTATGAACACAAGCTGCCCATCATTAACTCAGGACAATCTTATTTAGTTCAACAACGCTTGAGAAAACAAAAGGAGGTGGATATTAAACCTTATTCTGTAAGAGAAGTTAGTTCCCTTCGTACATCCTTCAGTTGGGTTGTTTTGGCTGTTTCTGTTGTGTTAGTCAATTAGAAATTCCTTTTTGATTTTTAAACGGTTTTTATTTTTAAAATGGCCAAATAACTTTATGAGTTGCACTTTCAACTCACAGAAAAAAAAATGCAAAATTATTAGACTTAACATTAAGACGTCAATCTATACGTACTGATGATTTTTGCCTGACATGACATAAGATGATTTTTGCCTGACATGACATAAGATTTTTGCCTGACATGACATAAGATTTTTATTCCTGATGATTCCAGTTGCAGAAGATGAAAGAGAGAAATGATGAGTACAACCAGTTTCTGGCAACCAAAGCAGAGAGAGACCAGAACAGATTTGCTGATAAAAAATCTGCATTGGTAGGTTCCGGAAGTTATCTGACTATCTGTGTTGTGATAGGTTGAAGATGTCATTGTTGTGATAAGTTGAAGATGTCAGTGTTGTGATATGAAGATGTCAGTGTTGTGATATGAAGATGTCAGTGTTGTGATATGAAGATGTCAGTGTTGTGATATGAAGATGTCAGTGTTGTGATATGAAGATGTCAGTGTTGTGATAGGTTGAAGATGTCATTGTTGTTATAGGTTGAAGATGTCAGTGTTGTGATATGAAGATGTCAGTGTTGTGATATGAAGATGTCAGTGTTGTGATATGAAGATGTCAGTGTTGTGATATGAAGATGTCAGTGTTGTGATATGAAGATGAAGTCATTGAATGAATATTTGCTCTATCAGGTAAAAGATGATGGAGTTTATGCTACCATTCCTGGGCTGCGTTATTCTAATTCTGCTCAGGTAAATTAATAATTTCAGTCATAGTACACTAGATTAGTAAAAATCTTTTTCAGTCATAATAAGTCAAGATAATAGTTTGGATATAACTTTCACTTCTAAAACATTCGAGAAGTAGCCTACACAATATACTTGATAATTTTTACTGAATGCCTTTCTCATCTTTCCATCTGTCTGTCATTACCCTCCTGTGTTAAAACTTTTTAAAAAAAGGAAGTGTTTTTATTGAGACTAATTGAACTGAAAAAGTTAGAATTTTTTATTCACCTAAAAGTGATATATTTATGATTATTTTACACCTGGCAGTGATATTTATGATATTTTTTTTACCTGACTGTGATATTTATGATTTTTCTTTTTCACCTGACTGTGATATTTATGATATTTTTTTTTACCTGACTGTGATATTTTTTTTCACCTGACTGTGATATTTATGATATTTTTTTCACCTGACTGATATTTATGATATTTTTTTTACCTGACTGTGATATTTATGATTTTACTTTTTTTTTTCATTGTTGCAGAAGGTGAGCTGTTTATATTTTAAACTGTAGAAATAGCTACCAAATAATAGTCGGCTATTTAACAACCTATTCTTTCTGCTTAAGTTTGATGAATGCTGCTACTAATGATAACTTTCTCCTAGTGCATTTTCTATAACCTTCATATATCTTGATAGAGTAGTCAGATTGTATGTTTATATTAGGCAACTTTGAGAAGTCAGAATGAACCAATGTATTAGGAAACTTTCTGGGGTTTTTTTAAATTTAAGGCAACATAACTCATGATTCAGACAGACATCTTTAAACCTTGATTAAAAACCAAAAATATATTTTGTCATTTAAAAAATGTAACTTAAAAATGAAATGAAGTAAAGCATTAATAAGTGTAAATAAAGTCAGAATTATTTAGTGTAAAATACAGTCAGCATTAATCAGTGTTAATAAGTCATCATTAATTGGTGTAAAGTCAGCATTAATTGGTGTAAAGTCAGCATTAATTGGTGTAAAGTCAGCATTAATTGGTGTAAAGTCAGCATTAATTGGTGTAAAGTCAGCATTAATTGGTGTAAAGTCAGCATTAATTGGTGTAAAGTCAGCATTAATAGGTGTAAAGTCAGCATTAATTGGTGTAGAGCTGTCTGTTGAATGTCATGGCGAAAAATACATTGATAAACCTTGATTCAGCTCAGTTTGATTGAACGTTTAGAATTTGATTGAAAGGTGTTAAGATTTGACTGAAAGGTGTTAAGATTTGACTGAAAGGTGTTAAGATTTGACTGAAAGGTGTTAAGATTTGACTGAAAGGTGTTAAAATTTGATTGAAAGGTGTTAAGATTTGACTGAAAGGTGTTAAGATTTGACTGAAAGGTGTTAAGATTTGTGGTTGTTCCCGAAGGTAAATGATCACAGAAGTCGTTAAAGGCGAGGCAGACATAATGAGATAAACCCTTGCATTATTTTAGTAAACAAATTGGTAACTTATGTATAAACGCTAACTTAGTTTTTGAAAAATATCTCTTTAGTGTTTTCTTCTATAAACAAACTTTTGCTTTTCGTTAGTTATTCCATATTTAATAAAATAAAAAAAATTCTTCAGTTTTTTTTTTAACTTTTCTTCTTTCATAATCTTTTCTTATTTAAAAAAAAAGATTTTTTCTTAAGTTTTCCATATTTAGACAAACCTGTCACCTAGGCAACCTATGACCTGTGACCTCTAACCTGTATAAAATTTCTGTTTACCAGAGGAAGGAAAAGGAAGCTGAGAGAAACAAGGAGTACAATGATATGATGCGGCAGAAGGCACAGTCTGTAAGTCTTTGGTGGGGGTCAATGGGGGTCACTGGGGTCAGTTGTCTGGTGGGGTCAGTGGTCTGGTGGGGTCAGTGGTCTGGTTGTCTTGTGGGGTCAGTGGTCTGGTGGGGTCAGTGGTCTGGTTGTCTAGTGGGGTCAGTGGTCTGGTTGTCTAGTGGGGTCAGTTGTCTAGTGGGGTCAGTGGTCTGGTTGTCTTGTGGGGTCAGTGGTCTAGTGGGGTCAGTGGTCTTGTGGGGTCAGTGGTCTAGTGGGGTCAGTGGTCTGGTTGTCTTGAGGGGTCAGTGGTCTGGTGGGGTCAGTGGTCTGGTTGTCTAGTGGGGTCAGTGGTCTGGTGGGGTCAGTGGTCTGGTTGTCTTGTGGGGTCAGTGGTCTAGTGGGGTCAGTGGTCTGGTTGTCTAGTGGGGTCAGTGGTCTGGTTGTCTAGTGGGGTCAGTGGTCTAGTGGGGTCAGTGGTCTGGTTGTCTAGTGGGGTCAGTGGTCTGGTTGTCTTGTGGGGTCAGTGGTCTGGTGGGGTCAGTGGTCTTGTTGTCTTGTGGGGTCAGTGGTCTAGTGGGGTCAGTGGTCTGGTTGTCTAGTGGGGTCAGTGGTCTGGTTGTCTAGTGGGGTCAGTGGTCTGGTGGGGTCAGTGGTCTGGTTGTCTAGTGGGGTCAGTGGTCTAGTGGGGTCAGTGGTCTAGTGGGGTCAGTGGTCTAGTGGGGTCAGTGGTCTGGTGGGGTCAGTGGTCTGGTTGTCTAGTGGGGTCAGTGGTCTGGTGGGGTCAGTGGTCTGGTTGTCTAGTGGGGTCAGTGGTCTAGTGGGGTCAGTGGTCTAGTGGGGTCAGTGGTCTGGTTGTCTAGTGGGGTCAGTTGTCTAGTGGGGTCAGTGGTCTGGTTGTCTTGTGGGGTCAGTGGTCTGGTTGTCTTGTGGGGTCAGTGGTCTAGTGGGGTCAGTGGTCTAGTGGGGTCAGTGGTCTAGTGGAGTCAGTGGTCTAGTGGGGTCAGTGGTCTGGTTGTCTTGTGGGGTCAGTGGTCTGGTGGGGTCAGTGGTCTGGTAGGGTCAGTGGTCTAGTGGGGTCAGTTGTCTAGTGGGGTCAGTGGTCTAGTGGGGTCAGTGGTCTGGTGGGGTCAGTTGTCTAGTGGGGTCAGTGGTCTGGTTGTCTAGTGGGGTCAGTTGTCTTGTGGGGTTAGTTGTCTTGTGGGGTCAGTGGTCTGGTTGTCTAGTTGGCTCAGTGGTCTAGTGGGGTCAGTTGTCTAGTGGGGTCAGTGGTCTGGTGGGGTCAGTGGTCTGGTTGGCTAGTGGGGTCAGTGGTCTAGTGGGGTCAGTGGTCTGGTGGGGTCAGTGGTCTGGTGGGGTCAGTGGTCTGGTGGGGTCAGTGGTCTAGTGGGGTCAGTTGTCTGGTGGGGTCAGTTGTCTGGTGGGGTCAGTGGTCTAGTGGGGTCAGTGGTCTAGTGGGGTCAGTGGTCTGGTTGTCTAGTTGGCTCAGTGGTCTGGTGGGGTCAGTGGTCTGGTTGTCTTGTGGGGTCAGTGGTCTAGTGGGGTCAGTTGTCTAGTGGGGTCAGTGGTCTAGTGGGGTCAGTGGTCTTGTTGTCTTGTAGGGTCAGTGGTCTGGTCTTGTGGAGTCAGTGGTCTGGTTGTCTTGTGGGGTCAGTGGTCTGGTTGTCTAGTGGGGTCAGTGGTCTGGTGGGGTCAGTGGTCTGGTGGGGTCAGTGGTCTGGTGGGGTCAGTGGTCTAGTGGGGTCAGTGGTCTAGTGGGGTCAGTGGTCTGGTTGTCTTGTGGGGTCAGTGGTCTGGTTGTCTTGTGGGGTCAGTGGTCTGGTTGTCTTGTGGGGTCAGTGGTCTAGTGGGGTCAGTGGTCTGGTTGTCTAGTGGGGTCAGTGGTCTAGTGGGGTCAGTGGTCTAGTGGGGTCAGTGGTCTAGTGGGGTCAGTGGTCTTGTTGTCTTGTGGGGTCAGTGGTCTGGTTGTCTAGTGGAGTCAGTGGTCTGGTTGTCTTGTGGGGTCAGTGGTCTGGTTGTCTTGTGGGGTCAGTGGTCTGGTGGGGTCAGTGGTCTGGTGGGGTCAGTGGTCTGGTGGGGTCAGTGGTCTGGTTGTCTTGTGGGGTCAGTGGTCTGGTTGTCTAGTGGGGTCAGTGGTCTGGTTGTCTTGTGGTTGTCAGTGGTCTGGTTGTCTAGTGGGGTCAGTGGTCTTGTGGGGTCAGTGGTCTAGTGGGGTCAGTGGTCTGGTTGTCTAGTGGGGTCAGTGATCTAGTGGGGTCAGTTGTCTTGTGGGGTCAGTGGTCTGGTTGTCTTGTGGGGTCAGTGGTCTAGTGGTGTCAGTGGTCTTGTTGTCTTGTGGGGTCAGTGGTCTGGTTGTCTTGTGGGGTGAGTGGTCTGGTTGTCTTGTGGGGTCAGTGGTCTGGTTGTCTTGTGGGGTCAGTGGTCTGGTTGTCTTGTGTGGTCAGTGGTCTAGTGGGGTCAGTGGTCTGGTTGTCTTGTGGGGTCAGTGGTCTAGTGGGGTCAGTGGTCTGGTTGTCTTGTGGGGTCAGTGGTCTGGTTGTCTTGTGGGGTCAGTTGTCTTGTGGGGTCAGTGGTCTGGTGGGGTCAGTGGTCTGGTGGGGTCAGTGGTCTGGTGGGGTCAGTGTTCTGGTTGTCTTGTGGGGTCAGTGGTCTGGTTGTCTAGTGGGGTCAGTGGTCTGGTTGTCTTGTGGGGTCAGTGGTCTGGTTGTCTAGTGGGGTCAGTGGTCTAGTGGGGTCAGTGGTCTGGTTGTCTAGTGGGGTCAGTGGTCTAGTGGGGTCAGTGGTCTGGTTGTCTTGTGGGGTCAGTGGTCTGGTTGTCTAGTGGGGTCAGTGGTCTGGTTGTCTAGTGGGGTCAGTTGTCTTGTGGGGTCAGTGGTCTTGTGGGGTCAGTGGTCTGGTTGTCTTGTGGGGTCAGTGGTCTGGTTGTCTAGTGGGGTCAGTGGTCTGGTTGTCTTGTGGGGTCAGTGGTCTGGTTGTCTAGTGGGGTCAGTGGTCTGGTTGTCTAGTGGGGTCAGTGGTCTGGTTGTCTTGTGGGGTCAGTGGTCTGGTTGTCTAGTGGGGTCAGTGGTCTGGTTGTCTTCTGGGGTCAGTGGTCTGGTTGTCTTGTGTGGTCAGTGGTCTAGTGGGGTCAGTGGTCTAGTTGTCTAGTGGGGTCAGTGGTCTAGTGGGGTCAGTGGTCTGGTTGTCTAGTGGGGTCAGTGGTCTAGTGGGGTCAGTGGTCTGGTTGTCTTCTGGGGTCAGTGGTCTAGTGGGGTCAGTGGTCTAGTGGGGCCAGTGGTCTGGTTGTCTTGTGGGTTCAGTGGTCTGGTTGTCTTGTGGGGTCAGTTGTCTTGTGGGGTCAGTGGTCTTGTGGGGTCAGTGGTCTGGTTGTCTTGTGGGGTCAGTGGTCTGGTTGTCTAGTGGGGTCAGTGGTCTGGTTGTCTTGTGGGGTCAGTGGTCTGGTTGTCTAGTGGGGTCAGTGGTCTGGTCGTCTAGTGGGATCAGTGGTCTGGTGGGGTCAGTGGTCTGGTTGTCTAGTGGGGTCAGTGGTCTGGTTGTCTAGTGGGGTCAGTGGTCTGGTGGGGTCAGTGGTCTGGTTGTCTAGTGGGCTGGTGGGGTCAGAGGTCTGGTTGTCTAGTGGGGTCAGTGGTCTGGTTGTCTAGTGGGGTCAGTGGTCTAGTGGGGTCAGTTGTCTGGTGGGGTCAGTGGTCTGGTTGTCTAGTTGGCTCAGTGGTCTAGTGGGGTCAGTGGTCTAGTAGGGTCAGTGGGGTCAGTGGTCTGGTGGGGTCAGTGGTCTAGTTGGCTCAGTGGTCTAGTGGGGTCAGTGGTCTAGTGGGGTCAGTGGTCTGGTTGTCTAGTGGGGTCAGTGGTCTGGTGGGGTCAGTTGTCTAGTGGGGTCAGTGGTCTAGTGGGGTCAGTGGTCTTGTGGGGTCAGTGGTCTGGTTGTCTTGTGGGGTCAGTGGTCTAGTGGGGTCAGTGGTCTGGTTGTCTAGTGGGCTCAGTGGTCTAGTGGGGTCAGTGGTCTAGTGGGGTCAGTGGTCTGGTGGGGTCAGTGGTATGGTTGTCTAGTGGGCTCAGTGGTCTAGTGGGGTCAGTGGTCTAGTGGGGTCAGTGGTCTAGTGGGGTCAGTGGTCTAGTGGGGTCAGTGGTCTGGTGGGGTCAGTGGTCTGGTGGGGTCAGTGGTCTAGTGGGGTCAGTGGTCTGGTGGGGTCAGTGGTCTGGTTGTCTGGTGGGGTCAGTGGTCTGGTTGTCTTGTGGGGTCAGTGGTCTGGTTGTCTAGTTGGGTCAGTGGTCTGGTTGTCTAGTGGGGTCAGTGGTCTGGTTGTCTTGTGGGGTCAGTGGTCTGGTTGTCTAGTGGGGTCAGTGGTCTGGTTGTCTTGTGAGGTCAGTGGTCTGGTGGGGTCAGTGGTCTGGTTGTCTTGTGGGGTCAGTGGTCTGGTTGTCTAGTGGGGTCAGTTGTCTAGTGGGGTCAGTGGTCTGGTTGTCTAGTGGGCTCAGTGGTCTAGTGGGCTCAGTGGTCTAATGGGGTCAGTGGTCTAGTGGGGTCAATGTTCTGGTGGGGTCAATGGTCTAGTGGGGTCAGTGGTCTGGTTGTCTAGTGGGGTCAGTGGTCTGGTTGTCTTGTGGGGTCAGTGGTCTGGTTGTCTAGTGGGGTCAGTGGTCTAGTGGGGGCAGTGTTCTAGTGGGGTCAGTGGTCTGGTTGTCTAGTGGGGTCAGTGGTCTGGTTGTCTTGTGGGGTCAGTGGTCTAGTAGGGTCAGTGGTCTGGTGGGGTCAGTGGTCTGGTTGTTTAGTGGGCTCAGTGGTCTGGTTGTCTTGTGTGGTCTGGTTGTCTAGTGGGGTCAGTGGTCTGGTTGTCTTGTGGGGTCAGTGGTCTAGTGGGGTCAGTGGTCTTGTGGGGTCAGTGGTCTGGTTGTCTAGTGGGGTCAGTGGTCTAGTGGGGTCAGTGGTCTGGTTGTCTAGTGGGGTCAGTGGTCTAGTGGGGTCAGTGGTCTAGTGGGGTCAGTGGTCTAGTGGGGTCAGTGGTCTAGTGGGGTCAGTGGTCTGGTGGGGTCAGTGTTCTGGTGGGGTCAGTGGTCTAGTGGGGTCAGTGGTCTGGTGGGGTCAGTGGTCTGGTTGTCTTGTGGAGTCAGTGGTCTGGTTGTCTAGTGGGGTCAGTGGTCTTGTGGGGTCAGTGGTCTGGTTGTCTAGTGGGGTCAGTGGTCTAGTGGGGTCAGTGGTCTGGTTGTCTAGTGGGGTCAGTGGTCTAGTGGGGTCAGTGGTCTGGTTGTCTTCTGGGGTCAGTGGTCTAGTGGGGTCAGTGGTCTAGTGGGGCCAGTGGTCTGGTTGTCTTGTGGGGTCAGTGGTCTGGTTGTCTTCTGGGGTCAGTGGTCTGGTTGTCTTGTGTGGTCAGTGGTCTAGTGGGGTCAGTGGTCTAGTTGTCTAGTGGGGTCAGTGGTCTAGTGGGGTCAGTGGTCTGGTTGTCTAGTGGGGTCAGTGGTCTAGTGGGGTCAGTGGTCTGGTTGTCTTCTGGGGTCAGTGGTCTAGTGGGGTCAGTGGTCTAGTGGGGCCAGTGGTCTGGTTGTCTTGTGGGGTCAGTGGTCTGGTTGTCTTGTGGGGTCAGTTGTCTTGTGGGGTCAGTGGTCTTGTGGGGTCAGTGGTCTGGTTGTCTTGTGGGGTCAGTGGTCTGGTTGTCTAGTGGGGTCAGTGGTCTGGTTGTCTTGTGGGGTCAGTGGTCTGGTTGTCTAGTGGGGTCAGTGGTCTGGTCGTCTAGTGGGGTCAGTGGTCTGGTGGGGTCAGTGGTCTGGTTGTCTAGTGGGGTCAGTGGTCTGGTTGTCTAGTGGGGTCAGTGGTCTGGTGGGGTCAGTGGTCTGGTTGTCTAGTGGGCTGGTGGGGTCAGAGGTCTGGTTGTCTAGTGGGGTCAGTGGTCTGGTTGTCTAGTGGGGTCAGTGGTCTAGTGGGGTCAGTTGTCTGGTGGGGTCAGTGGTCTGGTTGTCTAGTTGGCTCAGTGGTCTAGTGGGGTCAGTGGTCTAGTAGGGTCAGTGGGGTCAGTGGTCTGGTGGGGTCAGTGGTCTAGTTGGCTCAGTGGTCTAGTGGGGTCAGTGGTCTAGTGGGGTCAGTGGTCTGGTTGTCTAGTGGGGTCAGTGGTCTGGTGGGGTCAGTTGTCTAGTGGGGTCAGTGGTCTAGTGGGGTCAGTGGTCTTGTGGGGTCAGTGGTCTGGTTGTCTTGTGGGGTCAGTGGTCTAGTGGGGTCAGTGGTCTGGTTGTCTAGTGGGCTCAGTGGTCTAGTGGGGTCAGTGGTCTAGTGGGGTCAGTGGTCTGGTGGGGTCAGTGGTATGGTTGTCTAGTGGGCTCAGTGGTCTAGTGGGGTCAGTGGTCTAGTGGGGTCAGTGGTCTAGTGGGGTCAGTGGTCTAGTGGGGTCAGTGGTCTGGTGGGGTCAGTGGTCTGGTGGGGTCAGTGGTCTAGTGGGGTCAGTGGTCTGGTGGGGTCAGTGGTCTGGTTGTCTGGTGGGGTCAGTGGTCTGGTTGTCTTGTGGGGTCAGTGGTCTGGTTGTCTAGTTGGGTCAGTGGTCTGGTTGTCTAGTGGGGTCAGTGGTCTGGTTGTCTTGTGGGGTCAGTGGTCTGGTTTTCTAGTGGGGTCAGTGGTCTGGTTGTCTTGTGAGGTCAGTGGTCTGGTGGGGTCAGTGGTCTGGTTGTCTTGTGGGGTCAGTGGTCTGGTTGTCTAGTGGGGTCAGTTGTCTAGTGGGGTCAGTGGTCTGGTTGTCTAGTGGGCTCAGTGGTCTAGTGGGCTCAGTGGTCTAATGGGGTCAGTGGTCTAGTGGGGTCAGTGGTCTGGTGGGGTCAATGGTCTAGTGGGGTCAGTGGTCTGGTTGTCTAGTGGGGTCAGTGGTCTGGTTGTCTTGTGGGGTCAGTGGTCTGGTTGTCTAGTGGGGTCAGTGGTCTGGTTGTCTAGTGGGGTCAGTGGTCTAGTGGGGTCAGTGTTCTAGTGGGGTCAGTGGTCTGGTTGTCTAGTGGGGTCAGTGGTCTGGTTGTCTTGTGGGGTCAGTGGTCTAGTAGGGTCAGTGGTCTGGTGGGGTCAGTGGTCTGGTTGTCTAGTGGGCTCAGTGGTCTGGTTGTCTTGTGTGGTCAGTGGTCTGGTGGGGTCAGTGGTCTGGTTGTCTAGTGGGGTCAGTGGTCTGGTTGTCTTGTGGGGTCAGTGGTCTAGTGGGGTCAGTGGTCTTGTGGGGTCAGTGGTCTGGTTGTCTAGTGGGGTCAGTGGTCTAGTGGGGTCAGTGGTCTGGTTGTCTAGTGGGGTCAGTGGTCTAGTGGGGTCAGTGGTCTAGTGGGGTCAGTGGTCTAGTGGGGTCAGTGGTCTAGTGGGGTCAGTGGTCTGGTGGGGTCAGTGTTCTGGTGGGGTCAGTGGTCTAGTGGGGTCAGTGGTCTGGTGGGGTCAGTGGTCTGGTTGTCTTGTGGAGTCAGTGGTCTGGTTGTCTAGTGGGGTCAGTGGTCTTGTGGGGTCAGTGGTCTGGTTGTCTTGTGGGGTCAGTGGTCTAGTGGGGTCAGTGGTCTGGTTGTCTTGTGGGGTCAGTGGTCTAGTGGGGTCAGTGGTCTGGTTGTCTAGTGGGGTCAGTGGTCTAGTGGGGTCAGTGGTCTAGTGGGGTCAGTGGTCTGGTTGTCTAGTTGGCTCAGTGCTCTGGTGGGGTCAGTGGTCTGGTTGTCTTGTGGGGTCAGTGGTCTAGTAGGGTCAGTGGTCTAGTGGGGTCAGTGGTCTAGTGGGGTCAGTGGTCTGGTTGTCTAGTGTGGTCAGTGGTCTGGTTGTCTTGTGGGGTCAGTGGTCTGATGGGGTCAGTGGTCTAGTTGGGTCAGTGGTCTGGTTGTCTAGTGGGGTCAGTGGTCTGGTGGGGTCAGTGGTCTGGTTGTCTTGTGGGGTCAGTGGTCTGGTGGGGTCAGTGGTCTGGTTGTCTTGTGGGGTCAGTGGTCTGGTTGTCTAGTGGGGTCAGTGGTCTGGTTGTCTAGTGGGGTCATTGGTCTGGTTGTCTAGTGGGGTCAGTGGTCTGGTGGGGTCAGTGGTCTGGTTGTCTAGTGGGGTCAGTGGTCTGGTTGTCTAGTGGGGTCAGTGGTCTAGTGGGGTCAGTGGTCTGGTTGTCTAGTGGGGTCAGTGGTCTGGTTGTCTAGTTGGCTCAGTGGTCTAGTGGGGTCAGTTGTCTGCTTGCCTACAAGTAACCATACAATTATGAGCAAGACATTACCCCCTTGTCTATTTCTCTTGGGTCATCTTCCCTTTATCATTACTCCAGAGAACTTTTTGTTAATCACTAATATACTATGTACCTTAAATAGGGATATAGATATAATAATATGTGGGGCTATTAATAATTGTCCTAGGCCCACCAAATGTTGTGTATGTTTACATTTTCCCTTTCCCTCTAGCGTAACCCACCTAAGCAGGGCTGGGGTACACCAACCTATGAGGAGATGCTGGACAAGAAGAGAGCTCAGGAGTCACAGTACAGGTAAGCACTAGAGTCACTGACTCAGTCCTTCATTAGAGTCACTGTTTCATTGTTATATTAGAGTCACTGACTCAGTCCTTCATTAGAGTCACTGACTCTTTTAACTTTATAGTACAGCCTCCCCTAACTAAACACCTGTATGTTTCAGACGAGCCAATGATATTGGACTTGATTCAGACCCTCACGTAAGGGAGGTACGTAGTTTTCTTACAAAGAATTCCATAGTTCAGCAGATGTAAGTGGTCAAGCTTAGGCTACCGGCTTGATTTGTTGTGGTCTTGATGTTAGTTTCTTTTGATGTGGTAAGATGTGGAGTGTTATGTAGAATCATGTGTCATCACAATTAGCTTTGTTGTATGATGGAGGGGAGGGAATTGTATGTTTGACAACATGTTTGGTTACTTGAGTTTGTTAGATGAACCACCGTATTGATAATGTTTGGTTACTTGTGTTTGTTAGATGAACCACCGTATTGATAATGTTTGGTTACTTGTGTTTGTTAGATGAACCACCTTATTGATCTGTGTAAATCCTCTCTAAATAGATGGACAAAAATGTCCTTCCTGACATTCCCCTGTCCAGCCCTACATAGGTAGTTGAATGGCTGCCTAAATTGTGACTGTTCAATGATATGTAAGCCCTACATAGATAATTGAATGGCTGCCTAAATTGTGACTGTTCAATGATATGTAAGCCCTACATAGATAATTGAATGGCTGCCTAAATTGTGACTGTTCAATGATATGTAAGCCCTACATAGATAATTGAATGGCTGCCTAAATTGTGACTGTTCAATGATATGTAAGCCCTACATAGATAATTGAATGGCTGCCTAAATTGTGACTGTTCAATGATATGTAAGCCCTACATAGATAATTGAATGGCTGCCTAAATTGTGACTGTTCAATGATATGTAAGCCCTACATAGGTAGTTGAATGGCTGCCTAAATTATGACTGTTCAATGATATGTAAGCCCTACATAGGTAGTTGAATGGCTGCCTAAATTGTGAATGTTCAATGATATGTAAGCACATGCATAAAATGACCTTAAGGAACCAGGGTAGCACTGAAAATAAATATTTGGAAGTGAGCCCATAATTTGTTGATACAACCAATAATATTTGGAAGTGAGCCCATATTTTGGTGATACAACCAATAATATTTGGAAGTGAGCCCATATTTTGGTGATACAACCAATAATATTTGGAAGTGAGCCCATATTTTGGTGATACAACCAATAAATATTTGGAAGTGAGCCCATATTTTGGTGATACAACCAATAAATATTTGGAAGTGAGCCCATATTTTGGTGATACAACCAATAATATTTGGAAGTGAGCCCATATTTTGTTGATACAACCAATAATATTTGGAAGTGAGCCCATATTTTGGTGATACAACCAATAAATATTTCAGGTGACCCCATAATTTGTTGATACAACCAATACAATTAAATGAACAATTTGACATGACACACAAATAGATGCTGTATTATCTGTGGGCACACAGATATACACTTACAATTTTTGTGGGGGTAGACAGATATACTGTATAGATATCAACTAACAATTTTTGTGTGGGCACGCAGATATACAGTATAGATATCAACTAACAATTTTTGTGTGGGTAGACAGATATAGGCTTACTGTATAGGTATCAACTAACAATTTTTGTGTGGGTAGACAGATATACTGCATAGATATCAACTAACAATTTTTGTGGGTTAAATAGAGATATTCTGTTCTTGTTTTAAATGAACAATTATTGTGTGAGTTGTACACATATTAAACTTGAAATTTTTGTGGATATTAGACATATAGAGGGCCAATATTGTACACATATTAAACTTACTATTTTTGTGGATATTAGACATATAGAGGGCCAATATTGTACACATATTAAACTTGAAATTTTTGTGGATATTAGACATATAGAGGGCCAATATTGTACACATATTAAACTTGAAATTTTTGTGGATATTAGACATATAGAGGGCCAATATTGTACACATATTAAACTTACTATTTTTGTGGATATTAGACATATAGAGGGCCAATATTGTACACATATTAAACTTGAAATTTTTGTGGATATTAGACATATAGAGGGCCAATATTGTACACATATTAAACTTACTATTTTTGTGGATATTAGACATATAGAGGGCCAATATTGTACACATATTAAACTTGAAATTTTTGTGGATATTAGACATATAGAGGGCCAATATTTTACACATATTAAACTTACAATTTTTGTGGATATTAGACATATAGAGGGCCAATATTGTACACATATTAAACTTGAAATTTTTGTGTATATTAGACATATAGAGGGCCAATATTGTACACATATTAAACTTACAATTTTTGTGGATATTAGACATATAGAGGGCCAATATTTTACACATATTAAACTTACAATTTTTGTGGATATTAGACATATAGAGGGCCAATATTGTACACATATTAAACTTGAAATTTTTGTGGATATTAGACATATAGAGGGCCAATATTGTACACATATTAAACTTGAAATTTTTGTGGATATTAGACAGAGATCAGGATTAAAGAGCTGGAGAGAGATCTTTCTGCTGCCAAGTAAGTTTGATCAATTAATTTTTTGATCATCAACTTATTTAGTCAGTACAAAAGTGAGGTTCTACTCTTGTCCAGTTTGCGACTTTTGATTTTTTGAGGAAGGACCAAGGTGCTTGTCTGCTTTTACATGTATTGTCTTTAATTGTCTTCTTGTGGCCACCACCTGACATCAAATATCTGGCCATGTGGCCATCAAAGTTTCTTGCAGTCAACAATGTTTTTTTAAATGTAAAACACATTTTTCATGCTGACATTTTGTGAAATAAATTTGACACAAAGTTGGTCAGTCTACCACAGTCTACCTCAGTGAAACTAGTACCTTTGACTTGATGAATTCTGTCTCTTTAGCTCAATAAAAATTGTGCTTTAACTTGAATCTGGTACCTTTGACTTGATGAATTCTGTCTCGTTAGCTCAATAAAAATTGTGCTTTAACTTGAATCTGGTACCTTTGACTTGATGAATTCTGTCTCGTTAGCTCAATAAAAATTGTGCTTTAACTTGAATCTGGTACCTTTGACTTGATGAATTCTGTCTCGTTAGCTCAATAAAAATTGTGCTTTAACTTGAATCTGGTACCTTTGACTTGATGAATTCTGTCTCGTTAGCTCAATAAAAATTGTGCTTTAACTTGAATCTGGTACCTTTGACTTGATGAATTCTGTCTCGTTAGCTCAATAAAAATTGTGCTTTAACTTGAATCGATCCCTTCCCCCATTAGGGTGAGTCATGAATATTTAATTTCTGTTGGCACCTGTTAAGTATTGTTGACCAAGTCTGTTGTGGTTGTCTAGCAGCAGTAGCCTCATTCTCATCTCCCTGGCCTCATTCTCACCTGTATAGCCTCACCTGTATAGCCACACCTGTATAGCCACACCTGTATAGCCACACCTGTATAGCCTCACCTGTGTAGCCAATCTTGGGCTAGGTGTATGTGGAGATTTCAGCTGATGGTAAATAGTTCTGTATGTTGTACAAGGTTGGATTTGGCAAAGTACTTTCTTCTTTCATCTTTGACTGTAGTTGGGGTATGTCCATTCACTTGGCTGATATATTTTTATTATCTAATAATCACAACAACAAAAAATCTTTCTCTAAGTGAAAATTAGGATTGGTTTTTTTTATGAAACAATTATTTTTGTGCCTAATGCTTTGAATTTCCATAGTGGCTGAGTAAGATAGTTGAAATTCTTTGGTTCATGGTTTCAAATAATGGCCTGTGGTTTATGGTGTTTTCCCATTTTTTCCCTATGTGAAGAGATGTATTTGACCTTGACACTGCGGAGCTGGTCCAGGAGTACAAAGATGTGGTAACCTCAGACAGCTGTGTGTTGTGTTGTCCTGCTGGCACGCACTGACCAACTAGTTTCTGGTCATCTATTAGTGGACGTCTCCATGTGCTTACCCAGCACTGCCTCACTCATCTAATGCACCCTGTATTTTTCATGTGTTGGCTTGCTTTGTTTTGTAACCTCTTTGCTATGTATATGTAGGTCAAAGTTCAATGTCAGGGCTCAGAAACTTATTTGCATGTTGTAACTACTACTGATATTCTCTTGATATTCAGGTTCATTCCATTCTACATTTACCTGGTTTTATAGCTAAAAAAATTTGAACTATAGAAGAACTATTAGAATAAAAATGTTTCCCCTATATGAGAGTTGTTAAAATAAAATTGTTTCCCCTATAGGAGAGCTGTTAAAATAAAATTGTTTCCCCTATAGGAGAGCTGTTAAAATAAAATTGTTTCCCCTATAAGAGAGCTGTTAAAATAAAATTGTTTCCCCTATAGGAGAGCTGTTAAAATAAAATTGTTTCCCCTATAGGAGAGCGGCCATGACCCACCAACGAGACGGCAGCTATAATGGTATTCTAGATGACCCCTATTGGTTAAGTCCCAGGAGTAGATATGACAGCATGGTAAATTCTCCAGCCAATCTTCTAGTCATGACATTAACCCTTAGTTCCTTGACATTAACCCTTAGTGCCATGACATTAACCCTTAGTGTCATGACATTAACCCTTAGTGCCATGACATTAACCCTTAGCCTCTAGAGAAACTTGTATATATTAATAGATTTTTCTTCCACCAGCCTTTTGAATTGCCTCCTTTAGTATCTTTAGCATTGCTTTTGTTATTAAAGGCCATCAACTACAAAATTTTTGTTTTAAAAGGCCGACAACTCTAAACATTTTTGTTTTAAAAGGCTGATAACTCTAGACATTTTTGCTTTAAGGGCTGTTAACTAAAGACATTTTTGTTTTAAAAGGCTATTAACTAAAGACATTTTTGTTTTAAAAGGCTATTAACTACAGACACGTTTGTTTTAAAAGGCTATTAACTACAGACATTTTATTTAAAACTTTAAAGTAGAATTTAGGAAGTAGAAAAACCTAAAAACAAAAACATTTTATAAACAATTAAAACTTTAAATTAGAATTTAGGAAGTAGAAAAACCTAAAAAAAAAATTTGTATCAACAACTAAAACTTTAAAGTAGAATTTATCTGATCAGACCAAATCTCCCATGATTCATGTGTACTAGCTGCTTCTGCTACTTACCTAAAAATAACTTTATCTTTTGATGGCTTCTGCTAAACTTACCTAAAAACAACCTTATCTTTTGATAGCTTCTGCTAAACTTACCTAAAAACAACCTTATTTTTTTATGGCTAGACTTCTCTCCTTTTTTATTTATTTTCTTAATTCTAAAATGTATCAGTCCAACCTTTGCATGTATTTTAAAATTCCTTGTTGAAATGTATATAAACATATAGTGAATTCTTTAAGTGCAATCAAATGTAGAAGTGTATGAACTAAATGTTCTCATTGCACTTGAGCACAACACAAACTGTTGTTGGCAGTCTCTTCTAGATCTAATTAAACTTTTATGAACAAATAAGCCTAAATTGTTATATTTGCATCAAGTTTATACAACTGGACATGAGACATTGAATGCAGAAGTTGCATCAAGTTTATACAACTGGACATGAGACATTGAATGCAGAAGTTGCATCAAGTTTATACAACTGGACATGAGACATTGAATGCAGAAGTTGCATCAAGTTTATACAACTGGACATGAGACATTGAATGCAGAAGTTGCATCAAGTTTATACAACTGGACATGAGACATTGAATGCTGAAGTTGCATCAAGTTTATACAACTGGACATGAGACATTGAATGCAGAAGTTGCATCAAGTTTATACAACTGGACATGAGACATTGAATGCTGAAGTTGCATCAAGTTTATACAACTGGACATGAGACATTGAATGCAGAAGTTGCATCAAGTTTATACAACTGGACATGAGACATTGAATGCAGAAGTTGCATCAAGTTTATACAACTGGACATGAGACATTGAATGCAGAAGTTGCATCAAGTTTATACAACTGGACATGAGACATTGAATGCAGAAGTTGCATCAAGTTTATACAACTGGACATGAGACATTGAATGCAGAAGTTGCATCAAGTTTATACAACTGGACATGAGACATTGAATGCAGAAGTTGCATCAAGTTTATACAACTGGACATGAGACATTGAATGCAGAAGTTGCATCAAGTTTATACAACTGGACATGAGACATTGAATGCAGAAGTTGCATCAAGTTTATACAACTGGACATGAGACATTGAATGCAGAAGTTGCATCAAGTTTATACAACTGGACATGAGACATTGAATGCAGAAGTTGCATCAAGTTTATACAACTGGACATGAGACATTGAATGCTGAAGTTGCATCAAGTTTATACAACTGGACATGAGACATTGAATGCAGAAGTTGCATCAAGTTTATACAACTGGACATGAGACATTGAATGCTGAAGTTGCATCAAGTTTATACAACTGGACATGAGACATTGAATGCAGAAGTTGCATCAAGTTTATACAACTGGACATGAGACATTGAATGCAGAAGTTGCATCAAGTTTATACAACTGGACATGAGACATTGAATGCAGAAGTTGCATCAAGTTTATACAACTGGACATGAGACATTGAATGCAGAAGTTGCATCAAGTTTATACAACTGGACATGAGACATTGAATGCAGAAGTTGCATCAAGTTTATACAACTGGACATGAGACATTGAATGCAGAAGTTGCATCAAGTTTATACAACTGGACATGAGACATTGAATGCTGAAGTTGCATTGTCCATGATAGGAGGGAAATTACCACCCATTTTGTTACTGCTAAAAAAACAATTGATTAGAACTATTTTAAAGTATACTGTATCATTACATCGTGATTATAATTTTTCTTTTTGAAAGTAACAAAGTAGTTATGACTAGAGCGGAAAGTGTCAAATAGTACACTTTTTTTATGAAGAAACTCCAATTTTAAAAAAAAAATCATAAAAATATTTGAGACTAAAAAGTTGAATCAATCAGTAGGCATTGAATGGTTGTTAGAGCATAGTAACTTGAGGCAACTGATTTTCTTACAATTTTCATCTTATTGGGCTTCTTGTATTGTTTTCCCATGGTGTTATCCTGTGGTGTCACTTCGTGGTGTCACTTTGTGGTGTCATCCCTTGTAATATCTTTTGTTTTTCTCCCAACATTCCCAGTTTTCTAATTATTAAAATATTCTTTAACTAACATTTTACTTCAATCTTGATCTAGAAAGCAAACAAAAAATATTTCTAAAAATGTTAAAAATAGAATTTGATCTAATAATAAAGGATAAACTAGCTGAACGCTGATTGGATAATACTAATCATGCTATATTTAAACTTTTTAAAAAATCTGATTGGCTGACACAATCCTGCATGTTTAAATTTTTTTACTAATAATTTCACGCTCTGCTTCAGCTCTCACGGCTAGTGGAGTTCAATGTTAGTTTGCAGGTAACTGGTCAGTTTTATAATGTTAGCTTGCAGGTAACTGGTCAGTTTTATAATGTTAGCTTGCAGGTAACTGGTCAGTTTTATAATGTTAGCTTGCAGGTAACTGGTCAGTTTTATAATGTTAGCTTGCAGGTAACTGGTCAGTTTTATAATGTTAGCTTGCAGGTGACTGGTCAGTTTTATAATGTTAGCTTGCAGGTAACTGGTCAGTTTTATAATGTTAGCTTGCAGGTGACTGGTCAGTTTTATAATGTTAGCTTGCAGGTAACTGGTCAGTTTTATAATGTTAGCTTGCAGGTGACTGGTCAGTTTTATAATGTTAGCTTGCAGGTAACTGGTCAGTTTTATAATGTTAGCTTGCAGGTAACTGGTCAGTTTTATAATGTTAGCTTGCAGGTAACTGGTCAGTTTTATAATGTTAGCTTGCAGGTAACTGGTCAGTTTTATAATGTTAGCTTGCAGGTGACTGGTCAGTTTTATAATGTTAGCTTGCAGGTGACTGGTCAGTTTTATAATGTTAGCTTGCAGGTAACTGGTCAGTTTTATAATGTTAGCTTGCAGGTAACTGGTCAGTTTTATAATGTTAGCTTGCAGGTAACTGGTCAGTTTTATAATGTTAGCTTGCAGGTAACTGGTCAGTTTTATAATGTTAGCTTGCAGGTGACTGGTCAGTTTTATAATGTTAGCTTGCAGGTAACTGGTCAGTTTTATAATGTTAGCTTGCAGGTAACTGGTCAGTTTTATAATGTTAGCTTGCAGGTAACTGGTCAGTTTTATAATGTTAGCTTGCAGGTAACTGGTCAGTTTTATAATGTTAGCTTGCAGGTGACTGGTCAGTTTTATAATGTTAGCTTGCAGGTAACTGGTCAGTTTTATAATGTTAGCTTGCAGGTGACTGGTCAGTTTTATAATGTTAGCTTGCAGGTAACTGGTCAGTTTTATAATGTTAGCTTGCAGGTAACTGGTCAGTTTTATAATGTTAGCTTGCAGGTGACTGGTCAGTTTTATAATGTTAGCTTGCAGGTGACTGGTCAGTTTTATAATGTTAGCTTGCAGGTAACTGGTCAGTTTTATAATGTTAGCTTGCAGGTAACTGGTCAGTTTTATAATGTTAGCTTGCAGGTAACTGGTCAGTTTTATAATGTTAGCTTGCAGGTGACTGGTCAGTTTTATAATGTTAGCTTGCAGGTAACTGGTCAGTTTTATAATGTTAGCTTGCAGGTAACTGGTCAGTTTTATAATGTTAGCTTGCAGGTAACTGGTCAGTTTTATAATGTTAGCTTGCAGGTAACTGGTCAGTTTTATAATGTTAGCTAACTTTAACGGATACTAATTTGCTGAATATATCATCTGTGTAGTTCAGGCTAGTAAAATATGTGTATGGCTTGTAATGTTTCACTTGTGTAGAGCTGGAAAACTAACACCACTGAGTTTGAAAGTTGCAAGTGACTTCATTTGAATTGTTGTATTTGAAAGTTGCAATTGACTTGATGTGAATTGTTGTATATGAAAGTTGCAAGTGACTTGATGTGAATTGTGATATTTGAAAGTTGCAAGTGACTTGATGTGAATTGTTGTATTTTAAAGTTGCAAGTGACTTGATGTGAATTGTTGTATATGAAAGTTGCAAGCGATTTGATGTGAATTGTTGTATTTGAACGTTGCAAGTGACCTGATGTGAATTGTATTTTTTAATGCTTGCTTAAGGATGAAGTGAACAGCTCTAGTCAAACACATGCAAGAACCATCATGAAGGTAATCAGCTGGTTGGCATACAACCCCTCTTACATGAGGGTACAACCCATCTAACATGGTTGTTCACCTACAACCACTTTAGCATAAACCAAAAGTCAGATCCCAAAATTGAACATGAAAACCTTGAGAAAAAAACTAATCTAGTGAAAGATGATGACTGGATGTTTTATATATCAGGGAGGATACAAGTGTATCATCAGATAATGATACAAATTGATCATTAATTAGTGATGCAAGACTGCATATATAGCTAAAGCACTAACCTACTAACCCACATTGCCTCAGCATCAGCTAGCAAATTGTGTTTGTAGAAAATATATTGTTTGTATGCCACGACTTGGTTAGTCAATTCTTCATGTAGCATGCTCTTACATTTCCTTGATCTGTAGTTCAGACAGTTTTTATAACTTGATTACAAGAAAAATTTAAGAACATTTTTTCATTTGACTGCTCACAACAAGAAAATTTCAAGAACATTTTGTTATTTGACTGCTCAAAAGTGTGTTGTACCTTGACAATTAAATTTTTTGTAATGAGATATAAATTTGAGTACCTTGACTCACTGGGGAGACATAGTGACATCTAACCTTGACACCATACATTATAGGACCAACCTTGACACCATTATAGGACCAACCTTGACACCATACATTATAGGACCAACCTTGACACCATTATAGGACCAACCTTGACACCATACATTATAGGACCAACCTTGACACCATACAATATAGGACCAACCTTGACACCATACATTATAGGACCAACCTTGACACCTTACAGTATAGGACCAACCTTGACACCATTATAGGACCAACCTTGACACCATACATTATAGGACCAACCTTGACACCATGCATTATAGGACCAACCTTGACACCATACATTATAGGACCAACCTTGACACCCTACATTATAGGACCAACCTTGACACCATTATAGGACCAACCTTGACACCATACATTATAGGACCAACCTTGACACCATTATAGGACCAACCTTGACACCATACATTATAGGACCAACCTTGACACCATTATAGGACCAACCTTGACACCATACATTATAGGACCAACCTTGACACCATACAATATAGGACCAACCTTGACACCATACATTATAGGACCAACCTTGACACCTTACAATATAGGACCAACCTTGACACCATTATAGGACCAACCTTGACACCATACATTATAGGACCAACCTTGACACCATGCATTATAGGACCAACCTTGACACCATACATTATAGGACCAACCTTGACACCCTACATTATAGGACCAACCTTGACACCATTATAGGACCAACCTTGACACCATACATTATAGGACCAACCTTGACACCATTATAGGACCAACCTTGACACCATACATTATAGGACCAACCTTGACACCATTATAGGACCAACCTTGACACCATACATTATAGGACCAACCTTGACACCATACATTATAGGACCAACCTTGACACCATACATTATAGGACCAACCTTGACACCCTACATTATAGGACCAACCTTGACACCATACATTATAGGACCAACCTTGACACCATACATTATAGGACCAACCTTGACACTCTACATTATAGGACCAACCTTGACACCATTATATGACCAACCTTGACACCATACATTATAGGACCAACCTTGACACCATACATTATAGGACCAACCTTGACACCATTATAGGACCAACCTTGACACCATTATAGGACCAACCTTGACACCATTATAGGACCAACCTTGACACCATACATTATAGGACCAACCTTGACACCATTATAGGACCAACCTTGACACCATACATTATAGGACCAACCTTGACACCATACATTATAGGACCAACCTTGACACCATACATTATAGGACCAACCTTGACACCATACATTATAGGACCAACCTTGACACCATACATTATAGGACCAACCTTGACACCATACATTATAGGACCAACCTTGACACCATTATAGGACCAACCTTGACACCATACATTATAGGACCAACCTTGACACCATACATTATAGGACCAACCTTGACCTTTACATGTACTCACCCTGTATATAACCTTGACCCTTTGACCCCATTAAGCCTACAACTGCCAGTGTTCTGTGTTAAAGCCTGTCTTATTTTTTTCTGACTAGAACTATCAGGACCCTAACAAGAACCTGCTGTTACAGAACCCCCAAGATGCCACCTACTACAACTCTCTGCCCTTAGGTAACAACACCTACTACAACTCTCTGCCCTTAGGTAACAACACCTACTACAACTCACTGCCCTTAGGTAACAACACCTACTACAACTCTCTGCCCTTAGGTAACAACACCTACTACAACTCTCTGCCCTTAGGTAACAACACCTACTACAACTCTCTACCCTTAGGTAACAACAAGTACTACACCTCTCTGCCCTTAGGTAACAAGTACTACACCTCTCTGCCCACTACACCTCTCTGCCCACTACACCTCTCTGCCCACTACACCTCTCTGCCCACTACACCTCTCTGCCCACTACACCTCTCTGCCCACTACACCTCTCTGCCTTTAAGTAACTTTGCTTTAAATCCTCAACATGCTTGTGTTGTTTTGATGTATTTTGTATGGGTTGCTGGTGATTGAAAAAACTGATCCAACTTTAGGCACAGGGCAGAATGAGAAGCAGAGACGGAGTAAAGAGGAATATGACAGGGCATTGAGGAAACAAATGGAAGAGTCAGCATACGCCAGGAAATTGTAAGAATTGTTGTATGTTGTTGATAAAGGTTCTTGTATGTAGCTCAGCTGATTTTAGAAGGTTGTTGGATGTCAGATGTTGGATGGAGCTGAAATGATTATAGAAGGTTGTCAGATGTTGAATGTCAGATGTGTCTGTCCCCAGGGAGAGAGAGCAAGGTCTTCTGATCAACGACAATGGCATCGTCAACTCTGACCCAGCCCTGGTTTTGTATGACACCCGCCCACGCAGGAAGGACCCGGCTCTGGAGGCATATAACAACAAAATTCTGGCTGACCTCAATAAGCTGGATGAAATCAGGTAACACCTCACCTGACTACTTTCTACCTCACCAGACCACCTCATCCGTCTACCTCACCTGTCTACCTCACCTACCTCACCTGTCTATCTCACCTGACCACCTCACCTGACTAACTCATCTGACTACCACACCTACCTACCTCACCTGTCTACCTCACCTACCTACCTCACCTGTCTACCTCACCTGACCACCTCACCTGTCTACCTCACCTGTCTACCTCACCTGTCTTCCTCACCTGACTACCTCAGCTGTCTACCTCACCTGTCTACATCACCTGACCACCTCACCTGTCCACCTCACCTGTCTACCTCACCTACCTCACCTGTCTACCTCACCTGTCTACCTCACCTGTCTACCTCACCTGTCTACCTCACTTGTCCGCCTCACCTAACAACCTGATTTGATCACCTCACCTGTTTACCTCACCTGTCCACCTTACCTGTCTACCTCACCTGTCTAACTCACCTGTCTACCTCACCTGTCTACCTCACCTGTCTACCTCACCTGTCTACCTCACCTGTCCATCTCACCTAATTTCAACATTGTATAATGTCATAGTCTAATTGCCCTAACATTCCTGTATGCCTACCTGATTTGATCACCTCACCTGTCTACCTCACCTGTCCATCTCACCTGAATTCAACATTGTATAATGTCATTGTCTAATGCCCTAACATTCCTGTATTTACATGACCAGCCCTAGATCCAATGCTATCCTGGGTCGCAGACCATTAAACGGTGACAGGAGCTACCTGGGGGGTGGTATTAATCCCCCACCTCTGCAGCTCGGGCGGACCCCTGGAAGTATTCTTGACTTGGGCTTTGATCCCGGCCTTGACCCACCCACTCGCATCTCCTCCCTGAACCCCCCAGCTGGACTACAGTACCAACCCTCGTAAGTAGCGCCACACTGGCCAGTCTGGGGAAGCTCAGCTCTGGCTGCTTCCTCTGGTCATATGTGTTTGTAGTTCCATCTCTTGACCTAATGTCTATGTACATACAGTTAGCAGGTGTACAATTTTTGTACAAAAAATGTAATAAACAGAAAACAAAAATTTGAATGTAACAAACATGAAACATCAAGACTTGAATGAATGAACATAAGACAAAATCTTGAATGTAACAAACATTAATTGTCTGTTTTCAAACATTGGTCTCATATTCTAAACTGTTTAATATTGGAGTTAAAGTATTCTGTTGCGTGCAGCTAGACTAGAATGCAATTTTCTTTCTCCTTATTTGCATGGTTCCACTGAAAGATGTCTTGTTACAAGCTTTTATTTAGTTGGCAACATGTTTGTGGATTGGTGGCAAATCTTGTAACTCAGTTTTGACAAACTTCTAATACAGCAATTTCGTCCACATTTTCCAGATGTCTTCGTCTTTGATGACAATGCATGAATAAATTTTTTTTAAAATGTAATTAAATGTTAAATTAGTCATTAAAAATTAAAGGGTTTAGAGATTAATGGGACATAAGAAGATTAAATGCTAGAGATTACTCAATAGATTACTTTATTCATTAACAGAAGGAAAGATAACTAGCTAGTTACTATGACCCAACCAGTCTGGTGAGCTGTGGTTCACGCGGAATGTTTACAATCGTTGAGACAAGTCGAATTAGTGAAGGTTATTAAGGGCAGAAAATAAAGATTTTAAACAATGCGAATCTAAAGGGATTAAGTCCTTGATCAGCACACTGTTGTCTGTAAATTGTGGTCACGGGGCAGATATTCATCTTTTTCATGTCGCCAGCTACTGATGATGTTTTCAAGCAAATATCTTTTAGTCATGTCAACTTCATGAATTAGGAATCACTCAAATGTAGAAAAAAAACATAAAAAACCTTTATAGCAACATTCTTTTAAATGCACTGAAAATAAAATTGAACTAGTTTGCTTTCTTTAATAAAAGCTTTGGTCGCTCATGAGATCTTTTACATATTTTAGCGACAAAAGCTTTTATTAAAGAAATAAAATTAGCTTTATTTTCTTATTTTCAGTGCATTTAAAAGCTTTTTGCTATAATTTTTTTTTATAAATGTGTTTTAAATTCTACCTACCTTTATTTTATAAATACAATGCACTTTAACAAAGTAATTTCTTCATGAGTTAAGAATTGGTTTGTTGATTGATATCATGATGCTCCTGATGGGATAGGTTGAACATTAGAAGGATGTGTCAACTGTAGAAGGGGCAATGAGAGTCACATGACATTTTTTTCTTCTTAAGTTTTATGCTTATGAAATTAGAATTTAATTAGATTGGAATTTCACAACTTTTTTTTTTGTATACTGTAACAAATATTGATCAATACTGTTGACACAGGAGTTTGATAAGGCAAAAACTGTCATTGGGTGTGTCTAGTATTTGTGTGCGGAGTGTGATGTTTTAGATGGGGTGGGTGGGGTTGTTTGGATTTCATTGATCTAAAGTAAAATTTATTTTTATGTTAGTTTCCTATATACTGATAGTAAAAAAAGGAAGTCACTACCTTTTTCTTTTTTTTTACTTACCTCATATAGTGTTCTACCTTGAATGGCTGATTGATTCACAGTGCTACTCTTGCATTGATGTCTTAAAAATCTAGACAATTACCCCCATTTTTTTGGGAAAGAGAATAATACTCTGTGCAAAAAAAGCATGGTGTTTATTGAAAAATCACTAATGAACTCTAGGCATAGGAAGATTTTAAATAGCATATTATGGTAAATTTAGCTCAGTACATAAGCTAAGAATGGGGAGGCGGGATTCAATGAAGATTTAGTTTGAATTTCTGACAAAATTTAAAAGTTGTTTGATAAAACCAAAGCTTCAACTCAGTTTGCGTAACAATATTTAAAAAATGAAGTCACATAAATATATTGAAATTTTGTTGCATGTATTGCATTTAAGTAAACACAATGGCCCTTTTGATTGTGATTATGTTGATCTTTTATTGGCCAGGGCGACGCCTGGCCAGGACGGCTAGTCACTTATAAATTTTTAAAATGACAGTTTCCAGATGTTTTTTTTTATAATTTCATCTCAGAAAAGAATCTTCATCCATATTTTTATTCCTATTTTTGCTCAAGATTTCAGCAGCTATAATAAGCTCAGATACCTCTAACATAAAACATTGATCCTTTGGTTATAATGTGTTTGGAATCAATGTTTGCAAATGTTTTTAAATTGTGATTTTATCAAATCTTTGAGAGATTTGTTACATATTGATACACATAAAACATTGAAATAGTTGTCATATTTTAAATAGTGTATCACATAGTAAATAAAGTTAAATTTGAACCTTCCCCTGTATTTTTACAACTTTCATCATTTAGTAAATAAGGAATTTTTAAATGAAATTGGTGCCTGCAAGTGGACAAATGCTTGTAGTTTTTCTGTGTGGGCAAAAGCATCTTTGTACTGAAAGTTTTTCTGAATGGGCAAATGTATGTTTATACTGAAAATTGTGGACAATTTCATGTTTGCACTGAAATTTGGACAAATGCATGTTAGTAATGAAATTTGGACAAATGCATGTTGCTGTTCCATTGGAGACAAATCTTCCTAAACTGTGAGTTACAATTGTTTTTAACTTTCCTTTTGGGCGTGGTCACTTCACATTTTCTGCATCCTAGTGGCCTTGATTCACTGTTGGGCGTTGTCACTTGTTTCACTGTTGGGTGTGGTCGCTTGATTCACTGTTGGGCGTGGTCACTTGTTTCACTGTTGGGCGTGGTCACTTGTTTTACTGTTGGGTGTGGTCACTTGTTTCACTGTTGGGTGTGGTCACTTGTTTTACTGTTGGGTGTGGTCACTTGTTTCACTGTTGGGTGTGGTCACTTGATTCACTGTTGGGTGTGGTCACTTGTTTCACTGTTGGGCGTGGTCACTTGTTTTACTGTTGGGCGTGGTCACTTGTTTCACTGTTGGGCGTGGTCACTTGTTTCACTGTTGGGTGTGGTCACTTGTTTTACTGTTGGGTGTGGTCACTTGTTTCACTGTTGGGTGTGGTCACTTGATTCACTGTTGGGTGTGGTCACTTGTTTCACTGTTGGGCGTGGTCACTTGTTTCACTGTTGGGCGTGGTCACTTGTTTCACTGTTGGGTGTGGTCACTTGTTTCACTGTTGGGTGTGGTCACTTGTTTCACTGTTGGGTGTGGTCACTTGTTTCACTGTTGGGTGTGGTCGCTTGATTCACTGTTGGGTGTGGTCACTTGTTTCACTGTTGGGTGTGGTCACTTGTTTTACTGTTGGGTGTGGTCGCTTGATTCACTGTTGGGTGTGGTCACTTGTTTCACTGTTGGGCGTGGTCACTTGTTTCACTGTTGGGCGTGGTCACTTGTTTCACTGTTGGGCGTGGTCACTTGTTTCACTGTTGGGCGTGGTCACTTGTTTCACTGTTGGGCGTGGTCACTTGTTTCACTGTTGGGCGTGGTCACTTGTTTCACTGTTGGGCGTGGTCACTTGTTTCACTGTTGGGCGTGGTCACTTGTTTCACTGTTGGGCGTGGTCACTTGTTTCACTGTTGGGCGTGGTCACTTGTTTCACTGTTGGGCGTGGTCACTTGTTTCACTGTTGGGCGTGGTCACTTGTTTCACTGTTGGGCGTGGTCACTTGTTTCACTGTTGGGTGTGGTCACTTGATTCACTGTTGGGCGTGGTCACTTGTTTCACTGTTGGGTGTGGTCACTTGTTTCACTGTTGGGCGTGGTCACTTGTTTCACTGTTGGGCGTGGTCACTTGTTTCACTGTTGGGTGTGGTCACTTGATTCACTGTTGGGCGTGGTCACTTGTTTCACTGTTGGGCGTGGTCACTTGTTTCACTGTTGGGCGTGGTCACTTGTTTCACTGTTGAGCGTTGTCACTTGATTCACTTTTCGGTGTGGTCACTACATTTACTTTATGTCAACTATATTTTTTCTGATGGACTTGTAAAGTTAGGTTAAGCCTAGTATTGTAAAGTTAGGTTAAGTCTAGTCTTGTAAAGTTAGGTTAAGTCTAGTCTGGTAAAGTTAGGTTAAGTCTAGTCTGGTAAAGTTAGGTTAAGTCTAGTCTGGTAAAGTTAGGTTAAGTCTAGTCTGGTAAAGAATTAAAGACCATTTGACATGGCCAACTGTGTGTATCAAACCTACCTGTGTTTATGTAAAAACCTACCTGTGTTTATGTAAAAACCTACCCTATGTATAATATCTACACACTGTATAATATTAACCAGACCGTATAAAGTTACTCATAGTGGTTTGATAGACAGGGTAAATGCTAAAGTAAATCTGTGATGTGTTGATTGCAAGAATTATTTTAAATACTAAAGTTAATACTTGATATGTTGATTGCAAAAAAAATATTTTAAATACTAAAGTTATTACTTGATATGTTGATTGCAAGATATATTTTAAATACTAAAGTTATTACTTGATATGTTGATTGCAAGAAATATTTTTAATGCTACAGTTAATACTTGATATGTTGATTGCAAGAAATATTTTAAATGCTAAAGTTAATACTTGATATGTTGATTGCAAGAAATATTTTAAATGCTAAATTTAATACTTGATATGTTGATTGCAAGAAATATTTCCACCAGTTGACATGGGTGGCTTCAATATCTGCTGTAAACAGGTCAAACACACTATCATGACTAGGTCACCACACTATCATGACTAGGTCAAACACACTATCATGACTAGGTCAAACACACTATCATGACTAGGTCAAACACACTATCATGACTAGGTCAAACACACTATCATGACTAGGTCACCACACTATCATGACTAGGTCAAACACACTATCATGACTAGGTCAAACACACTATCATGACTAGGTCAAACACACTATCATGACTAGGTCAAACACACTATCATGACTAGGTCAAACACACTATCATGACTAGGTCAAAAACTCTATCATGACTAGGTCAAACACACTATCATGACTAGGTCAAACACACTATCATGACTAGGTCAAACACACTATCATGACTAGGTCAAACACACTATCATGACTAGGTCAAACACACTATCATGACTAGGTCAAACACACTATCATGACTAGGTCAAACACACTATCATGACTAGGTCAAACACACTATCATGACTAGGTCAAACACACTATCATGACTAGGTCAAACACACTATCATGACTAGGTCAACCACACTATCATGACTAGGTCAAACACACTATCATGACTAGGTCAAACACACTATCATGACTAGGTCAAACACACTATCATGACTAGGTCAACCACACTATCATGACTAGGTCAAACACACTATCATGACTAGGTCAAACACACTATCATGACTAGGTCAAACACACTATCATGACTAGGTCAAACACACTATCATGACTAGGTCAAACACACTATCATGACTAGGTCAAACACACTATCATGACTAGGTCAAACACACTATCATGACTAGGTCAAACACACTATCATGACTAGGTCAAACACACTATCATGACTAGGTCAAACACACTATCATGACTAGGTCAAACACACTATCATGACTAGGTCAAACACACTATCATGACTAGGTCAAACACACTATCATGACTAGGTCAAACACACTATCATGACTAGGTCAAACACACTATCATGACTAGGTCAAACACACTATCATGACTAGGTCAACCACACTATCATGACTAGGTCAAACACACTATCATGACTAGGTCAAACACACTATCATGACTAGGTCAAACACACTATCATGACTAGGTCAAACACACTATCATGACTAGGTCAAACACACTATCATGACTAGGTCAAACACACTATCATGACTAGGTCAAACACACTATCATGACTAGGTCAACCACACTATCATGACTAGGTCAACCACACTATCATGACTAGGTCAAAAACTCTATCATGACTAGGTCAACCACACTATCATAACTAGGTCAAACACACTATCATGACTAGGTCAAACACACTATCATAACTAGGTCAAACACACTATCATGACTAGGTCAAACACACTATCATAACTAGGTCAACCACACTATCATGACTAGGTAACCACACTATCATGACTAGGTCACCACACTATCAGGACTAGGTCAACCACACTATCATGACTAGGTCAACCACACTATCATGACTAGGTCAAACACACTATCATGACTAGGTCAAACACACTATCATGACTAGGTCAAACACAAACGCAAGCCTGGGAGAGATGCTAATAATTATCCATCCCATATTTAAAAAGGCAAAGAATTATAATGTTTTTAAAAAAGTTGCATTCTAGTCTAAGATATTTCAAAACTTTTGCCATGGACTTACTTCATTTCTGTTGAATACATTCTATAATTTGCGCTTTGAAATTGTATTAATCTGAAATTTTAAAATTCAGTTTAAACTTAACATTATCATATAACTTTTTTTGTCAATGGAAATGCTCAAAGATGGGTTGACGATATGTAAGAATTATTTAGCATTCTTTATTGTAATATTCTATTAACATCCATTTCTCACTGATTTATTTCTGCACATTTCTTGTCTGTGTTTTTAATTTTCACAAGTCAAACTGGCAATCACACAAATTACTTTACCAGGTGCTACTTGGGAAATTCAACCATATATATTCAGCCCAGTAGGTCACATGTTAAGCTAAATATAGCCATGATCTGACCTATTTCAATGTGCTAGTTCATGTGACTCTACTAGTGCTGCTACTCAGGAAATTCAACCATAAATATTCAGCCCAGTAGGTCACATGTCAAGCTAAATCTAGCCATGATCTGACCTATTTCAATGTGCTAGTTCATGTGACTCTACTAGTGCTGCACCCAGTTGACCTCCCTTATTTCACTCTATCACTCTAAATTTGACTTTGTAAGGAACACCACCATTTTATCCTGTTAGCACACACTGTCTAGCAGAGGCGCAGCGATGGGGTGCCAGGGGGTACATATGTCCCCAGGCGCTGACCTTAGGGGGCGCCAAAATGGGTTGTAAAAACAAATTAAAATGTCATTTTAGCGGCATTTTTGCATTATAAATAGTTTGAGGGGGATGGTGCAAATCGAAAGTTTGGAGGGGGGGTGCAAATTGAAAACTTGATCCCGAGGGGGGCGCCAAATTGAAATTGTGTCCCCGGATGCCGGGAAGGGTCGCTACGCCTCTGCTGTCTAGTAAACTGTAACAGGTTATTCAAGGATTTAAGAATTTTTTGTTCTCAAGATGATTTCATGTGTGTGCAATTTTTTTTTAATTCAATCTTAATTACATGACTGCAGATTTTCTAATATATAAAAAATATGTATAACTAAATATGTAAGTAATGTAATTGATATTTAAAGTGTGATAAAATGTGATATAAAATGCTTGAGTTTGTACTAAACTGGTTGCACTTTTCTTCTAGGACCTACATCACAGCTAATGCTGTTCCTCTCATGAACAGCTCAGTGGATGAGGCTTACAACTTCTACGCCACTAGGAACCCACTGGACCCTGGGCTCAACGCTGGTGAGTCTTAGTTGCTGCATAGTATGGGGGGGGGGCTTTGCTGCATCATAGTGGAAGTGGGTCTTAGCGGCTTCATGATTGTTGGGGGAGGAGGTCTTAGCTGCTTCATAATGGGGGGGGGGGAGTCTTAGCTGCTTTTAGGGGGTCTTTGTTGCGTTGTAGATGGGTAGGACAAACTTATCTCATTTTATCTCACTTATCTTAGTGCTATCATGAAAAAACAGTATTGACCATATTCAAGATTTTATTGTAAGAATCAAGATAGACATTCCAAGCCTTTTAAATCAGACATCAACTATACCAAGCTCATGAAATGACCCCCCCTCCCCTCCACCCATCCCTAACATGAATGTTTTATCTTATCTGGCATGTTGTTCATGAAATGACCCCCCACCCCTCCCTAACATGAATGTTTTATCTTATCTGGCATGTTGTTCATGAAATGACCCCCCCTCCCCTCCCTAACATGAATGTTTTATCTTATCTGGCATGTTGTTCATGAAATGACCCCCCCTCCCCTCCACCCCTCCCTAACATGAATGTTTTATCTGGCATGTTGTTCATGAAATGACCCCCCAGCCCTCCCTAACATGAATGTTTTATCTGGCATGTTGTTCATGAAATGACCCCCCAGCCCTCCCTAACATGAATGTTTTATCTGGCATGTTGTTCATGAAATGACCCCCCCTCCCCTCCACCCCTCCCTAACATGAATGTTTTATCTTATCTGGCATGTAGTTCATGAAATGACCCCCCACCCCTCCCTAACATGAATGTTTTATCTTATCTGGCATGTTGTTCATGAAATGACCCCCCAGCCCCACCCCTCCCTAACATGAATGTTTTATCTTATCTGGCATGTAGTTCATGAAATGACCCCCCACCCCTCCCTAACATGAATGTTTTATCTTATCTGGCATGTTGTTCATGAAATGACCCCCCAGCCCCACCCCTCCCTAACATGAATGTTTTATCTTATCTGGCATGTTGTAGAGGCCATGTCGGCCATCTGTTTTCCTCCCAACCTCCCCCACTCTGACCTTAACTGGGAATTCTTGAAAAATATCGACCCCTTTCTAAGTCATGAAACCACATGTAACAACCAATCTTCAAAACATTTTGGAAACAAAATTTTGCCAGAACTGAATCCTAGCCAACAAGAAAAAAAATGTATTTTTAATGGTAAGATTATGTTAATGTTTTCTTGTTTCCTCTTTCGCTCTGTTGTGTTCTGTCTTTTAATTTGTAGTTGTGTTTTTCTTGAAACAAGTTTGGCCTCGAACTGTTGGCACAGATTGATCTAGCCCAAGGCTGAGTGTTGGCAAAAAAAACTCTGGCATTGTAGAACTAGTTTTTGTAGCGCAGACATTCAGTTAATGTAGATTGTTATTTAGAGGATATGTGTGGTATCCTCAATAATCAACATATTAAATAAGACATTTAATGGAGTTTTATTTTCCCCAGCTCCTGTTGGTGGCGGAGGTGGGGGAGGAGGAGGTGTACCCTCACTCAACCTGTCTGGTTTAGGTGGTGATGGACCAGGGTCAAGGGTTCGCTTTAAGGAACCAAGGTTGGTAGTTTGTCTAGTCTGTAGACGTCAAAGTGTTCTGTAGACGTGTCTAGTCAAAGTGTTGTGTAGACGTGTCTAGTCAAAGTGTTGTGTAGACATGTCTAGTCAAAGTGTTGTGTAGACATGTCTAGTCAAAGTGTTGTGTAGACGTGTCTAGTCAAAGTGTTGTGTAGACATGTCTAGTCAAAGTGTTGTGTAGACATGTCTAGTCAAAGTGTTGTGTAGATGTGTCTCGTCAAAGTGTTCTGTAGACATGTATAGTCAAAGTGTTGTGTAGACATGTCTAGTCAAAGTGTTGTGTAGACATGTATAGTCAAAGTGTTCTGTAGACATGTCTAGTCAAAGTGTTGTGTAGACATGTCTAGTCAAAGTGTTGTGTAGACATGTCTAGTCAAAGTGTTGTGTAGACGTGTCTGGTCAAAGTGTTGTGTAGACGTGTCTAGTCAAGTGTTGTGTAGACGTGTCTAGTCAAAGTGTTCTGTAGACGTGTCTAGTCAAAGTGTTGTGTAGACATGTCTAGTCAAAGTGTTGTGTAGACGTGTCTAGTCAAAGTGTTGTGTAGACGTGTCTAGTCAAGTGTTGTGTAGATGTGTCTAGTCAAAGTGTTGTGTAGACGTGTCTAGTCAAAGTGTTGTGTAGATGTGTCTAGTCAAAGTGTTGTGTAGACGTGTCTGGTCAAAGTGTTGTGTAGACATGTCTAGTCAAAGTGTTGTGTAGACGTGTCTAGTCAAAGTGTTGTGTAGATGTGTCTAGTCAAAGTGTTGTGTAGACGTGTCTAGTCAAAGTGTTGTGTAGACATGTCTAGTCAAAGTGTTGTGTAGACATGTCTAGTCAAAGTGTTCTGTAGACGTGTCTAGTCAAAGTGTTGTGTAGACGTGTCTAGTCAAAGTGTTGTGTAGACATGTCTAGTCAAAGTGTTGTGTAGACATGTCTAGTCAAAGTGTTGTGTAGACGTGTCTAGTCAAAGTGTTGTGTAGACATGTCTAGTCAAAGTGTTGTGTAGACATGTCTAGTCAAAGTGTTCTGTAGACGTGTCTAGTCAAAGTGTTCTGTAGACATGTCTAGTCAAAGTGTTGTGTAGACATGTCTAGTCAAAGTGTTGTGTAGACGTGTCTAGTCAAAGTGTTGTGTAGACATGTCTAGTCAAAGTGTTGTGTAGACATGTCTAGTCAAAGTGTTGTGTAGACATGTCTAGTCAAAGTGTTGTGTAGACATGTCTAGTCAAAGTGTTGTGTAGACATGTCTAGTCAAAGTGTTGTGTAGACATGTCTAGTCAAAGTGTTGTGTAGACATGTCTAGTCAAAGTGTTGTGTATTCTAAATGTGCCTGCCTGTGTACAGGGCCAAGGGCAGGACGTCACCGCCTGCCACAGGCATGGAGTTTCCCTCAGACAGTGAGAAGAAGAAGGAGCAGCGCCAGAGCCAGCTGGCCTACAGGGAGGAACTGGAGCGGCAGATGCAGGAGAAAAACTGGAAGAAGATAAAGGAGAAGGAGGAGCAAGAGAAGTGAGCACTTGTGTACATCTCATGACATGTGTACACACTTTTTACTTGGTCATCTCATGACATGTGTACACACTTTTTACTTGGTCATCTCATGACATGTGTACACACTTTTTACTTGGTCATCTCATGACATGTGTACACACTTTTTACTTGGTCATCTCATGTCATGTGTACACACTTTTTACTTGTTCATCTCATGACATGTGTACACACTTTTTACTTGGTCATCTCATGACATGTGTACACACTTTTTACTTGGTCATCTCATGACATGTGTACACACTTTTTACTTGGTCATCTCATGACATGTGTACACACTTTTTACTTGGTCATCTCATGACATGTGTACACACTTTTTACTTGGTCATCTCATGACATGTGTACACACTTTTTACTTGTTCATCTGTTGACATGTGTACACACTTTTTACTTGGTCATCTCATGACATGTGTACACACTTTTTACTTGGTCATCTCATGACATGTGTACACACTTTTTACTTGTTCATCTGTTGACATGTGTACACACTTTTTACTTGGTCATCTCATGACATGTGTACACACTTTTTACTTGGTCATCTCATGACATGTGTACACACTTTTTACTTGGTCATCTCATGACATGTGTACACACTTTTTACTTGGTCATCTCATGACATGTGTACACACTTTTTACTTGGTCATCTCATGACATGTGTACACACTTTTTACTTGGTGGTCCGATGACATGTGTGCACACTTTTTACTTGGTCATCTCATGACATGTGTACACACTTTTTACTTGGTCGTCTCATGACATGTGTACACACTTTTTACTTGGTCATCTCATGACCGGTGTACACACTTTTTACTTGGTCATCTGATGACATGTGTACACTTTTTTTACTTGGTCATCTTATAACATGTGTACACACTTTTTACTTGGTCATCTCATGACATGTTTGAGTATAAGTTGATCCTTAGACATAACTAAATGAAACAACTGACTGAGCTGATATACGCAGGTATGACTTAAAACTTTAGACATAACTAAATGAAACAACTGACTGAACTGATGTACGCAGGTATGACTTAAAACTTTAGACATAACTAAATGAAACAACTGACTGAACTGATGTACGCAGGTATGACTTAAAACTTTAGACATAACTAAATGAAACAACTGACTGTACGCAGGTATGACTTAAAACTTTAGACATAACTAAATGAAACAACTGACTGAACTGATGTACGCAGGTATGACTTAAAACTTTAGACATAACTAAATGAAACAACTGACTGAACTGATGTACGCAGGTATGACTTAAAACTTTAGACATAACTAAATGAAACAACTGACTGAACTGATGTACGCAGGTATGACTTGAAGATGGAAGAGGAGGCAAGAAACTATGACCCCTTTGGTAAAGGTGGAGGCGGGGCCCCCATGAGAGACCAGCACGGCAACATCATTTGTAAGTAGACTTTCAACTCTGGATAAGTAGCAGAACTTTGAGTTGTAACATTTGCTAGTAGACAGTCTTTCAACTCTGGATAAGTAGCAGAACTTTGAGTTGTAACATTTGCTAGTAGACAGTCTTTCAACTCTGGATAAGTAGCAGAACTTTGAGTTGTAACATTTGTAAGTAGACATTCTTTCAACTCTGGATAAGTAGCAGAACTTTGAGTTGTAACATTTGTAATTAGACATTCTTTCAACTCTGGATAAGTAGCAGTACTTTGAGCTGTAACATTTGTAAGTAGACATTCTTTCAACTCTGGATAAGTAGCAGAACTTTGAGTTGTAACTACACAATGGCTGGTCTAGTATTGTTGCCATGGCAACAGATCAACTAGCCAGTTTGATAGTTGAAACCCAACTGTAACAATATTGAATCTAAAAAAACTGATATTTTTCCCTAATCCTAATCTAATGATAGTTATCTTGAACTAGAAGATGAGCAGGTTTTTGTCCCACCTAGCACCATTAACTTTTGTCCATTAACCTTTTGAATGTTTTTTTCTCTTGATGCTGATGGCCGTGCAGTGAGTATGTCTTGTGTGTGACTTGTACACTTTTGTACTTGGTTTTTTGTACACATTTCACATATTGCCTGCTTGTGGTGCACTCTGACCTCTTTATCTTGATTGTGTTTGATTTAACACTTGTGTGACATTTATTTCATGGTTATATGATTGGTTGGATAAGCATTTCAAGATAATTTAATGCTAGTTACTTCCCTTTCTGTAGAAGTTAGTGAATTATCAAAAGTAAACGGCTAGTCTACAACATTGGTCTGCCAATGTCTATAAGTATATATAAAAGCCTGTCTATATAATGTATTTATTTACAATTAAAAGCTTTTCTACTTCGGACACTAATTAAACTCTTCAATTTTGCTTTGTTTATATACATGTTAAAACCAGCGTGATCTAAATGTCTATATAACCATATACATTCTAAAACTAATGTGATCTGAATGTGCTTACCAGCTGATCTGCGCCAGATGAGGTTTGACAACACCAACAGAAATGACAAGTTCTCTCCCCGGACCTATGGGGGTGGGGGTGGTGCAGCAAGTCCCTATGGTGGAAGCTATGGGGGTGGGGGAGGCGGCCCTCAGGCAGGCAACACGACCAGGGCAGCCAACAGCTACAGGGACGACCTCATCGGGCCCCCACCTGTCCAGACCACGGCAGAAGGAGAGGCTTCGTTTGCCCGGGGTGGTCATGGTATTTTTGGGATGCCTAAGGTCAGTCTGGCTACAGGTCTGGCTGTGGGTTACTTTAGGTCTGGCAGTGGGTTACTTTAGGTCTGGCTGTGGGTTACTTTAGGTCTGGCTGTGGGTTACTTTAGGTCTGGCTGTGGGTTACTTTAGGTCTGGCTGTGGGTTACTTTAGGTCTGGCTGTGGGTTACTTTAGGTCTGGCTGTGGGTTACTTTAGGTCTCGCTGTGGGTTACTTTAGGTCTGGCTGCTGGTTACTTTAGATCTGGCTGTGGGTTACTTTAGGTCTGGCTGTGGGTTACTTTAGGTCTCGCTGTGGGTTACTTTAGGTCTGGCTGTGGGTTACTTTAGGTCTGGCTGTGGGTTACTTTAGGTCTGGCTGTGGGTTACTTTAGGTCTGGCTGTGGGTTACTTTAGGTCTGGCTGTGGGTTACTTTAGGTCTGGCTGTGGGTTACTTTAGGTCTGGCTGTGGGTTACTTTAGGTCTGGCAGTGGGTTACTTTAAATCTTGCTGTGGGTTACTTTAGGTCTGGCTGTGGGTTACTTTAGGGCTGGCTGTGGGTTACTTTAGGTCTGGCAGTGGGTTACTTTAAATCTTGCTGTGGGTTACTTTAGGTCTGGCTGTGGGTTACTTTAGGGCTGGCTGTGGGTTACTTTAGGGCTGGCTGTGGGTTACTTTAGGTCTGGCTGCTGGTTACTTTAGGTCTGGCTGTGGGTTACTTTAGGTCTGGCTGTGGGTTACTTTAGGTCTGGTTGTGGGTTACTTTAGGTCTGGCTGTGGGTTACTTTAGGTCTGGCTGTGGGTTACCTGAATGTAATGCCTGTTTGGAGGTAGTGTCAGGGTAGTATGAAGGAAATGTCATGTCACTATGATGTATTGTTATGTAAGTGTCAACTCTTTGTTAACAGACTGATGCAGAAAAGATGCAAGCTGACAAGTACAAGGTGGACTTGAAAAAACAGGTCAGTTGTTAGTTTTGGTCAGCTGGTGTGTGTCAAGCAGTTGCTGGTGTGGTGGGCAGTTGGTGGGCAGTTGCTGATGTATAGGTCAGTTGGTGGGCAGTTGCTGATGTATAGGTTAGTTGAGGTTCAGTTGCTGGTGTGTGCCAAGCAGTTGCTGGTGTATTGGTCAGTTGGGGTTCAGTTGCTGGTGTGGTGGGCAGATGGTGGCGTATTGGTCAGTTGGTGGGCAGTTGCTGGTGTGTTGGTCAGTTGGTGGGCAGTTGCTGGTGTGGTGGGCAGTTGCTGGTGTGTTGGTCAGTTGGTGTTCAGTTGCTGGTGTGGTGGGCAGTTGCTGGTGTGTACCTGATATGTCTTAAACATCCCTCATTAATTACCCCCCCCCCCCAAATAAATGACTTCCCTCCTGGGTAATTACACCTCCCTTTATAATGTGTCATCCTTCCTATCCCAATCTATCTTCCTATCCAACTCCCAATTCCTTACCTTATCCCTATCACAAGCCTTATCCTTAACCCTATTACCAACCCTATCATTATCCCTATCACAAGCCTTATCCTTAACCCTATTGCCAACCCTATCCTTATCCCTATCACAAGCCTTATCTTTAACCCTATTGCCAACCCTATCCTTGTATCAAACTATCCCTGCCTCCTGCAGATTGAGGAGAAAAAAGCTGAGGAGTACAGGAGGAGACAGCTGGAGAGGCTGGAGGAGGAGAAGGAGCAGAGGTTGCTGGATGAGCAGAGAGCCAAGATGCAGAGAGAGTACGAGGAGGAGCAGCGCAAGTTGAAGGAGAAGGAAGATGAGGTTAGAGACAAATGTTTAGACTAGAGACTTGACAAATGTTTAGACTAGAGGTTAGAGACTTGACAAATGTTTAGACTAGAGGTTAGAGACTTGACAAATGTTTAGACTAGAGACTGGACAAATGTTTAGACTAGAGGTTAGAGACTTGACAAATGTTTAGACTAGAGACTGGACAAATGTTTAGACTAGAGGTTAGAGACTTGACAAATGTTTAGACTAGAGACTGGACAAATGTTTAGACTAGAGGTTAGAGACTTGACAACTTTTTAGACTAGAGGTTAGAGACTTGACAAATGTTTAGACTAGAGGTTAGAGACTTGACAAATGTTTAGACTAGAGACTTGACAAATGTTTAGACTAGAGGTTAGAGACTTGACAAATGTTTAGACTAGAGGTTAGAGACTTGACAAATGTTTAGACTAGAGACTGGACAAATGTTTAGACTAGAGGTTAGAGACTTGACAAATGTTTAGACTAGAGACTGGACAAATGTTTAGACTAGAGGTTAGAGACTTGACAAATGTTTAGACTAGAGACTGGACAAATGTTTAGACTAGAGGTTAGAGACTTGACAAATGTTTAGACTAGAGACTGGACAAATGTTTAGACTAGAGGTTAGAGACTTGACAAATGTTTAGACTAGAGGTTAGAGACTTGACAAATGTTTAGACTAGAGACTTGACAAATGTTTAGACTAGAGGTTAGAGACTTGACAAATGTTTAGACTAGAGATTAGAGACTTGACAAATGTTTAGACTAGAGACTTGACAAATGTTTAGACTAGAGGTTAGAGATTTGACAAATGTTTAGACTAGAGACTTGACAAATGTTTAGACTAGAGGTTAGAGACTTGACAAATGTTTAGACTAGAGACTTGACAAATGTTTAGACTGGAGGTTAGAGACTTGACAAATGTTTAGACTAGAGGTTAGAGACTTGACAAATGTTTAGACTAGAGGTTAGAGACTTGACAAATGTTTAGACTAGAGACTTGACAAATGTTTAGACTAGAGGTTAGAGACTTGACAAATGTTTAGACTAGAGACTTGACAAATGTTTAGACTAGAGGTTAGAGACTTGACAAATGTTTAGACTAGAGGTTAGAGACTTGACAAATGTTTAGACTAGAGACTTGACAAATGTTTAGACTAGAGGTTAGAGACTTGACAAATGTTTAGACTAGAGACTTGACAAATGTTTAGACTGGAGGTTAGAGACTTGACAAATGTTTAGACTAGAGGTTAGAGACTTGACAAATGTTTAGACTAGAGACTTGACAAATGTTTAGACTAGAGGTTTGAGACTTGACAAATGTTTAGACTAGAGACTTGACAAATGTTTGGACTAGAGGTTAGAGACTTGACAAATGTTTAGACTAGAGGTTAGAGACTTGACAAATGTTTAGACTAGAGGTTAGAGACTTGACAAATGTTTAGACTAGAGGTTAGAGACTTGACAAATGTTTAGACTAGAGACTTGACAAATGTTTAGACTAGAGGTTAGAGACTTGACAAATGTTTAGACTAGAGACTTGACAAATGTTTAGACTAGAGGTTAGAGACTTGACAAATGTTTAGACTAGAGGTTAGAGACTTGACACATGTTTAGACTAGAGGTTAGAGACTTGACAAATGTTTAGACTAGAGGTTAGAGACTTGACAAATGTTTAGACTAGAGACTTGACAAATGTTTAGACTAGAAGTTAGTGACTTTACAAATATTTCGCAACTTGACAAACATTTAAAATAGGGGTTAGTGATTAGACAAATGTTTAGAAACTTGACAAATATTTGAACAAGATGTAAAAAACTTGACTGTTTGGCTTCTAAACGTGTCTCAAAATGTTAATCTGCATGTCCTGTAGGCTCGAAGAAAAAATGAGGAGTTGGTGCGTGCAGCGGAGGAGAAGAAAAGAGAGGCAGAGAGGAGGAGACGTGAGCTGGAGGACCAGAGACTGCAGGAGCAGAGGGAGGAGAGGGAGAGAGAGAGGCAGATGGTAGGCACTCAGCTAAACTTAGACAATAGAGAGAGAGGCAGATGGTAGGCACTCAGCTAAACTTAGACAATAGAGAGAGGCAGATGGTAGGCACGCAGCTAAACTTAGACAATAGAGAGAGAGGCAGATGGTAGGCACTCGGCTAAACTTAGACAATAGAGAGAGAGGCAGATGGTAGGCACTCAGCTAAACTTAGACAATAGAGAGAGGCAGATGGTAGGCACTCAGCTAAACTTAGACAATAGAGAGAGAGGCAGATGGTAGGCACTCGGCTAAACTTAGACAATAGAGAGAGAGGCAGATGGTAGGCACTCAGCTAAACTTAGACAATAGAGAGAGGCAGATGGTAGGCACTCAGCTAAACTTAGACAACATTGTCTCTTTAAATTGTCCATTAGTTGAGTAGTTTTATAACATGCCGTGTCAAATGTTCATTGTCTCTAATCCAAATGTCCATTAGTTGAGTAGTTTTATAACATTTCCTGTCAAATGTCAATTGTCTCTAATCCAAATTGTCCATTAGTTGAGTAGTTTTATAACATGTCCTGTCAAATGTCCATTGAGTAGTTTTATAACATGTCCTGTCAAATGTCCATTGAGTAGTTTTATAACATGTCCTGTCAAATGTCCATTGAGTAGTTTTATAACATGTCCTGTCAAATGTCCATTGTCTCTAATCTTTAAATTGTCCATTAGTTGAGTAGTTTTATAACATGCAGTGTCAAATGTCCATTAGTTGAGTAGTTTTATAACATGTCCTGTCAAATGTCCATTGAGTAGTTTTATAACATGTCCTGTCAAATGTCCATTGAGTAGTTTTATAACATGTCCTGTCAAATGTCCATTGTCTCTAATCTTTAAATTGTCCATTAGTTGAGTAGTTTTATAACATGCAGTGTCAAATGTCCATTAGTTGAGTAGTTTTATAACATGTCCTGTCAAATGTCCATTGTCTAATCCAAATGTCCATTAGTTGAGTAGTTTTATAACATGTCCTGTCAAATGTCCATTGTCTAATCCAAATGTCCATTAGTTGAGTAGTTTTATAACATGTCCTGTCAAATGTCCATTGAGTAGTTTTATAACATGTCCTGTCAAATGTCCATTGTCTCTAATCTTTAAATTGTCCATTAGTTGAGTAGTTTTATAACATGTCCTGTCAAATGTCCATTGTCTCTAACCCAAATGTCCACTTGATGCCCACACAGGCAGCAGACAGGAGAGGCCAGTCTCCTCCCATTCCTGCCCTGAGGGGCAAACAGGAAGAAGGGGGAGGGGCCAGCGCAGGGGGAGGGGCCAGCGCAGTGGTAAATGTTTTCAGAGTTTCCTGCCCTTGATTGCTGTGGTTCAATTTTTTGTTTGCTTCTATCTTTGTATTGAAGTTTTTTGTGTTATCAATCTTAGCTTTTGTGTGTAGCATCTGAGTTCATGCTTTTCCCTTCATCTCAAATAATTTCTAGAACAAAAAAATAAAGTTAGCAAATATAAAAAGCTTTAAATTGTGTGACCCTTATCCATGCTTATTTACATTGAGAAGTGAACCACATATAAGTTGGATGAAGCTTGTATCTATCTGCTTTTTTCCCTGCATCAAATAGTTCAAATCCCTATCTCTACCTGCTTGGTTGTTTGATTTGGTGGGAGGACATTTCATTTCTCTCATGTAACCATCCCAAGTGTCACAATTGATGTCACTGTTAAAGTGTCACAATTGATGTCACTATTTAAGTGTCACAATTGATGTCACTATTAAAGTGTCACAATTCATGTAACCATCCAAAGTGTCACAATTAATAGGTAAATGCGCTTTTTTTAAAAATAATTTAAGATATAAAACCATTACACTACTATGTTTACCATGTTTGTCACATGAAAGTAAGTATGAAAAACTGCAAAAAGGGGCGTAAAAACAATTTTGGTTGTCATGGAATCTTTTGAATTTTTTGGTACTTCTAAAAACGCTAAGGCTTTTCTGCACTTCTAGCAACTAGATTTATACTGCTTATATTTCAGTGGATATTAAAACTCTTGTCTTAACTACTACTCAAGTTTTATTACTACATGAAGAACAAATACTGAAAATATGGTGGGAATTGTATTATTAATAGAAAAAAGTAGTAGGCTTTTGAATACTAAAAAACAGAAAACTGAGAAAAACAGCAAAAAAGTAGGTCACGAAAATATTTTAAAGTAATTTGTAAAACTCATTGTAAGCTTTGGGTGTTTCTGAAATGACGGAAAATACGATTTTCAAATTTATAAGACATTCAGCTTTTCTATGATGCCAAATACAATATTATGATGGATATTATTCTGTTTGTTGAGAGCCTATAAGATTGGGGAAAAAATTATTCTTTTTAAATTAATCTTGTCTTAAAAGTATATTTTAAACAAAAATTGTTCATTAAAGTTATTAAAGTTTATTATTTTCTTCATGCAAAAATGTAATAAACCCAGTATCATGATCTTTGTGATTTATTTTTAATGCGCAAATCCCATTATGTCACCATCCAAAGTTTGTCACTATATAGCTGTCATGTCAGTTGACTAAGTTGTCATGTCCCATGTCACACAACTGAGCTGTCATGTGACTAAACTAAATGTCCCATCCTGCAGGCCCCATCACCCCCTATACCTGCCACACGGACTAGAACAGTTGAACCAGTTGCTGCCCCTGTAAGTTGCTTCTTCATCCACCACACCACACAACATACAACATCCACCACACCACACAACATCATACAACATCCACCACACCAAACATCATACAACATCCACCAGACCAAACATCATACAACATCCACCACACCAAACATCTTACAACATCCACCACACCACACAACATACAACATCCACCAGACCAAACATCATACATCCACCACACCACACAACATACAACATCCACCACACCACACAACATACAACATCCACCAGACCAAACATCATACATCCACCACACCACACAACATACAACATCCACCACACCACACAACATACAACATCCACCAGACCAAACATCATACATCCACCACACCACACAACATACAACATCCACAACACCACACAGCATACAACATCCACCACACCAAACATCTTACAACATCCACCACACCAAACATCTTACAACATCCACCACACCAAACATCATACAACATCCACCAGACCAAACATCATACAACATCCACCACACCAAACATCATACAACATCCACCAGACCACATATCATACAACATCCACCAGACCACACATACAACATCCACCACACCACACATCATACAACATCCACCACACCTCACATCATCCTCCACTAATTGTGTTTCCACAGAGTAAACAAGAGTTTACGCCCAGGGCTCAAAGTAAGAATTGTTCTTATTATTATTTATGTTGATGGTCTCAACCTTTATCATGTATTTATGTTGATGGTCTCACACTTTATCATGTATTTGTGTTGATGGTCTCAAACTTTATCATGCATTTGTGTTGATGGTCTCAAACTTTATCATGTATTTGTGTTGATGGTCTCAAACGTTATCATGTATTTATGTTGATGGTCTCAAACTTTATCATGTGATGGTCTCAAACTTTATCATGTATTTGTGTTGATCGTCTCAAACTTTATCATGTATTTATGTTGATGGTCTCAAACTTTATCATGTGATGGTCTCAAACTTTATCATGTATTTGTGTTGATGGTCTCAAACTTTATCATGTATTTGTGTTGATGGTCTCAAACTTTATCATGTATTTATGTTGATGGTCTCAAACTTTATCATGTGATGGTCTCAAACTTTATCATGTATTTGTGTTGATGGTCTCAAACTTTATCATGTGATGGTCTCAAACTTTATCATGTATTTGTGTTGATGGTCTCAAACTCTATCATGTATTTGTGTTGATGGTCTCAAACTCTATCATGTATTTGTGTCAATGCCCTCAACCTATACTGTTGCAGGTGCTGATGTATTGAACCAGCTGGCCCAGATGAGAGCACAACTCCAGAATGAACGTATCCGTGTACAGACCATGTTGGATGATCAAAATGTAAAGGTTTTTTTTTCTGCTGTAGACTTGAAACTGAGAGTTGCTGTGGTACTGTGTGGTAGAGGTTGCTGTGGTACTGTGTGGTAGAGGTTGGTGTGGTACTGTGTGGTACTGTGTGGTAGAGGTTGGTGTGGTACTGTGTGGTAGAGGTTGGTGTGGTACTGTGTGGTAGAGGTTGGTGTGGTACTGTGTGATAGAGGTTGGTGTGGTACTGTGTGGTAGAGGCTGGTGTGGTACTGTGTGGTAGAGGTTGGTGTGGTACTGTGTGGTAGAGGTTGGTGTGGTACTGTGTGGTAGAGGCTGGTGTGGTACTGTGTGGTAGAGGTTGGTGTGGTACTGTGTGGTAGAGGTTGCTGTGGTACTGTGTGGTAGAGGTTGGTGTGGTACTGTGTGGTAGAGGCTGGTGTGGTACTGTGTGGTAGAGGTTGGTGTGGTACTGTGTGGTAGAGGTTGGTGTGGTACTGTGTGGTAGAGGTTGGTGTGGTACTGTGTGGTAGAGGTTGGTGTGGTACTGTGTGGTAGAGGTTGGTGTGGTACTGTGTGGTAGAGGCTGGTGTGGTACTGTGTGGTAGAGGTTGGTGTGGTACTGTGTGGTAGAGGTTGGTGTGGTACTGTGTGGTAGAGGCTGGTGTGGTACTGTGTGGTAGAGGTTGGTGTGGTACTGTGTGGTAGAGGCTGGTGTGGTACTGTGTGGTAGAGGTTGGTGTGGTACTGTGTGGTAGAGGCTGGTGTGGTACTGTGTGGTAGAGGCTGGTGTGGTACTGTGTGGTAGAGGTTGGTGTGGTACTGTGTGGTAGAGGTTGGTGTGGTACTGTGTGGTAGAGGTTGGTGTGGTACTGTGTGGTAGAGGCTGGTGTGGTACTGTGTGGTAGAGGTTGGTGTGGTACTGTGTGGTAGAGGTTGGTGTGGTACTGTGTGGTAGAGGCTGGTGTGGTACTGTGTGGTAGAGGCTGGTGTGGTACTGTGTGGTAGAGGTTGGTGTGGTACTGTGTGGTAGAGGTTGGTGTGGTACTGTGTTGTTGGTTGGCCCTAAAGAGCCTTTTACCTCCACAGGATGAAGTGGACATTTATGACCCCAGGCAAGTCCAGCGGCCGCAGCCAGTGCCAACGTGAGTAGCCTCAATCTGGCGTCAAATTTCTGGTCTAGAAAATATCAATCAATGCCTCAATAATTACTTGCCTAAAAATGACCTCCCCTAACTTTAGCTGCATCCAACTCGCATCATCTGTGAGGGTGTGAGGGATCTGTATTAAATATTTTTGGGTTAGCTGCATTGTGACAATATCTGTCATAATATAACCTGTCAGTGACAATATCTGCCTGTCACAGTGTGACAAGATTTGTTTGTAATTGGCAGAGTGGCCACAGGAAAAGACTCCTAAAATTATACAAGTTATCAAGACTAAATATGCCAGAAGTAGAAATTTTCCACTCATACGCTAGTCTGCCTTCAATTGTTTATATAACTTTGAATAGTTTAACCTTGAAATGCTTATCTGACCTTGAAATGCCCCCCCCCCCCCCCCCCCCCACCACCACCCCCCATCAGCCAAGGTCGGCCAGAAGTGGATGTGTTTGAGACGGCCTTGAACCGTAATGCAGTGGCGGTCAGGAGAACACCCGCAGGTCGCACAGGTCGCACGTCTGCAGACAGAGCCAACCCACAGGCTGCTGAAGAGTTCAACTCCCTCAAACACAAAGGTCAGTAACCTAAGGGTTGTCATGTGTCAGGTTGTCAGCTGGTCTGTGTCAGGTTGTCAGCTGGTCTGTGTCAGGTTGTCAGCTGGTCTGTGTCAGGTTGTCAGCTGGTCTGTGTCAGGTTGTCAGCTGGTCTGTGTCAGGTTGTCAGCTGGTCTGTGTCAGGTTGTCAGCTGGTCTCTGTCCAATTGATTATGTCACTTATCTTGTGATTGTGTCTCTGGTGTTGTGATTGTGTCTCTGGTGTTGTGATTGTGTCTCTGGTGTTGTGATTGTGTCTCTGGTGTTGTGATTGTGTCTCTGGTGTTGTGATTGTGTCTCTAATCTTTCGATTGTATTTCTGATCTCATGATTGTGCCCAGTGTACCTCTAAGTATAAGACTTTTATAACACTGTGCACACAAAATACAGGTTGTACAATAGCCTTTTACCCTTAGAGGGAATGTTGATTGTGCCTCTAATCTTTTGATCGTGTCTCCTTCTGCCCCCCTCCCCCACAGAGGACTCTGACTCCCGCAAACAGTTTCGCCAGCTCTTCCCTACAGAACCAACCACCAGCGACGCCCTTGAGTCCCAGCAGATGGCGCTGCTACGCCAGCAGGAGGAACGTCTGAGGACCATCAAGGAGAGAAGTAAGTTTAAACATGGCAGCTAGACTAGAGCACCAACCTAGGTGCCGTCTGCAACATGGCAGCTAGACTAGAGCACCAACCTAGGTGCCGTCTGCAACATGGCACATAGACTAGAGCACCAACCTAGGTGCCGTATGCAACATGGCGCCTAGACTAGAGCACCAACCTAGGTGCCGTCTGCAACATGGCACATAGACTAGAGCACCAACCTAGGTGCCGTATGCAACATGGCGCCTAGACTAGAGCACCAACCTAGGTGCCGTCTGCAACATGGCACATAGACTAGAGCACCAACCTAGGTGCCGTATGCAACATGGCAGCTAGACTAGAGCACCAACCTAGGTGCCATCTGCAACATGGCGCCTAGACTAGAGCACAAACCTAGGTGCCGTCTGCAACATGGCACCTAGACTAGAGCACAAACCTAGGTGCCGTATGCAACATGGCAGCTAGACTAGAGCACCAACCTAGGTGCTGTATGCAACATGGCACATAGACTGTATGCAACATGGCACCTAATTGGTGCTCCAGTCTAGGTGTCCTCTGCACAATCTGGTTTCAATCTGACAAACATTTTTATTAACCTCTAGATGTGGTATTAGTATTAGTTACTAGTTAATTTCTACTAACTTAACTCGCTGAAGACACTGTCTTGATGTCACTACCCTGTCTTGATGTCACTACCCTGTCTTGATGTCACTAGCCTGCCTTGATGTCACTAGCCTGTCTTGATGTCACTAGCCTGTCTTGATGTCACTAGCCTGTCTTGATGTCACTAGCCTGTCTTGATGTCACTAGCCTGTCTTGATGTCACTAGCCTGTCTTGATGTCACTAGCCTGTCTTGATGTCACTAGCCTGTCTTGATGTCACTAGCCTGTCTTGATGTCACTAGTCTGTCTTGATGTCACTAGCCTGTCTTGATGTCACTAGCCTGTCTTGATGTCACTACCCTGTCTTGATGTCACTTGATGTCACTACCCTGTCTTGATGTCACTACCCTGTCTTGATGTCACTACCCTGTCTTGATGTCACTAGCCTGTCTTGATGTCACTAGCCTATCTTGATGTCACTAGCCTGTCTTGATGTCACTAGCCTGTCTTGATGTCACTAGCCTGTCTTGATGTCACTAGCCTGTCTTGATGTCACTAGCCTGTCTTGATGTCACTAGCCTGTCTTGATGTCACTAGCCTGTCTTGATGTCACTAGCCTGTCTTGATGTCACTAGCCTGTCTTGATGTCACTAGCCTGTCTTGATGTCACTAGCCTGTCTTGATGTCACTAGCCTGTCTTGATGTCACTAGCCTGTCATACTGGCACTACCCTGTCTTGATGTCACTACCCTGTCTTAATGTCACTAGTCTGTCGTACTGTCAAAAGATTTGTCTGCTTACAGTAGTTGATATTGTTGTTGACTAACTAGTCTCCCCTAGCTCACCCTGTACAACCATATCTTGGGTTGTCTCCCCTAGCTCACCTTGTACGACCATATCTTGGGTTGTCTCCCCTAGCTCACCTTGTACAACCATATCTTGGGTTGTCTCCCCTAGCTCACCTTGTACAACCATATCTTGGGTTGTCTCCCCTAGCTCACCTTGTACAACCATATCTTGGGTTGTCTCCCCTAGCTCACCTTGTACAACCATATCTTGGGTTGTCTCCCCTAGCTCACCTTGTACAACCATATCTTGGGTTGTCTCCCCTAGCTCACCTTGTACAACCATATCTTGGGTTGTCTCCCCTAGCTCACCTTGTACAACCATATCTTGGGTTGTCTCCCCTAGCTCACCTTGTACAACCATATCTTGGGTTGTCTCCCCTAGCTCACCTTGTACAACCATATCTTGGGTTGTCTCCTCTAGCTCACCTTGTACAACCATATCTTGGGTTGTCTCCCCTAGCTCACCTTGTACAACCATATCTTGGGTTGTCTCCCCTAGCTCACCTTGTACAACCATATCTTGGGTTGTCTCCCCTAGCTCACCTTGTACAACCATATCTTGGGTTGTCTCCCCTAGCTCACCTTGTACAACCATATCTTGGGTTGTCTCCCCTAGCTCACCTTGTACAACCATATCTTGGGTTGTCTCCCCTAGCTCACCTTGTACAACCATATCTTGGGTTGTCTCCCCTAGCTCACCCTGTACAACCATATCTTGGGTTGTCTCCCCTAGCTCACCTTGTACAACCATATCTTGGGTTGTCTCCCCTAGCTCACCTTGTACAACCATATCTTGGGTTGTCTCCTCTAGCTCACCTTGTACAACCATATCTTGGGTTGTCTCCCCTAGCTCACCTTGTACAACCATATCTTGGGTTGTCTCCTCTAGCTCACCTTGTACAACCATATCTTGGGTTGTCTCCCCTAGCTCACCTTGTACAACCATATCTTGGGTTGTCTCCTCTAGCTCACCTTGTACAACCATATCTTGGGTTGTCTCCCCTAGCTCACCTTGTACAACCATATCTTGGGTTGTCTCCCCTAGCTCACCTTGTACAACCATATCTTGGGTTGTCTCCCCTAGCTCACCTTGTACAACCATATCTTGGGTTGTCTCCCCTAGCTCACGTTGTACAACCATATCTTGGGTTGTCTCCCCTAGCTCACCTTGTACGACCATATCTTGAGTTATCTCCCTTCTCCTGTCACTCCTGTAAAGTAATTGCTAAGTGGTTTTTACATTTGAAATGAATCTGTCAATCACAGCAAAGTTTCAGTGTAAAAAATAAATAAAAGAAAGCCAAAAGATAATTGTCTAACACTAAACAAATGATATCTTTAGAATGAGCAAATGACTTAGTCTGAAACTTTGAGCATTATTTTGCTATCTACAGCTGATTAGTTTTTTATTGTTGTGTTCATTTAACTATTAATGCTCTTGTTGACTGTTGACACCCCCTCCCCATGCCACCAATAGTAATGTACTGTTAACCCTTTCTATTCCACCCCACCAATAGTAATGTACTGTTAACCCTCCCCATGCCACCAATACTGATGTACTGTTAACCCTCCCCACCCCACCAATACTGATGTACTGTTAACCCTTCCCATGCCACCCCACATGTACTGTTAACCCTTCCCATGCCACCAATACTGATGTACTGTTAACCCTTCCCATGCCACCAATACTGATGTACTGTTAACCCTTCCCATGACACCAATACTGATGTACTGTTAACCCTCCTCACCCCACCAATACTGATGTACTGTTAACCCTTCCCATGCCACCAATACTGATGTACTGTTAACCCTCCCCAACCCACCAATGCTGATGCACTGTTAACCCTTCCCATGCCACCCCACATGTATTGTTAACCCTCCTCACCCCACCAATACTGACGTACTGTTAACCCTCCCCATGCCACCAATACTGATGTACTGTTAACCCTCCACACCCCACCAATGCTGATGCACTGTTAACCCTTCCCATGCCACCCCACATGTACTGTTAACCCTCCTCACCCCACCAATACTGATGTACTGTTAACCCTTCCCATGCCACCAATACTGATGTACTGTTAACCCTCCACACCCCACCAATACTGATGTACTGTTAACCCTTCCCATGCCACCCCACATGTACTGTTAACCCTTCCCATGCCACCAATACTGATGTACTGTTAACCCTTCCCATGCCACCAATACTGATGTACTGTTAACCCTTCCCATGCCACCAATACTGATGTACTGTTAACCCTTCCCATGCCACCAATACTGCTGTACTGTTAACCCTCCACACCCCACCAATACTGATGTACTGTTAACCCTTTACCAGGGGCCCTGGAGGACACCTCAGCGCTGCACCTCAACCGTGATGTCCGTAGCTCCAGCTCCCAGCTTCACTCCAACAGTGCATTTGTAGGTTAGTTTATGGTCACATGACCTTTCAGCAATAGGTCATTTGTAGGTCAGTCCCAACTTCTGTTCTGTTGACATGCATGCAGGCCAATCCTATGATTTTACTGTTATCAAACTAATTTTATTTTAGCTAGATTTCTTATTTCTAGAGTTTATAGATGTGTATCTTTTGATTTTTTAGACTAACATTTATATTATTTATATAACATGTTATATTTTTTCAGTTGTGAATTATTTTTTTTAATATCTTGGAGGTTGTGAGAATATCTTGAAGGTTGTGAGAATATCTTGTTAGTTTTGTACAGTCAGATGGCTCCCTGTGTGTACAGTCAGATAGCTCCCTGTGTGTACACTCAGATGGCTCCCTGTGACTGTGTACAGTCAGATGGCTCCCTGTGACTGTGTACAGTCAGATGGCTCCCTGTGTGTACAGTCAGATGGCTCCCTGTGTGTACAGTCAGATGGCTCCCTGTGACTGTACAGTCAGATGGCTCCCTGTGACTGTACAGTCAGATGGCTCCCTGTGTGTACAGTCAGATGGCTCCCTGTGTGTACAGTCAGATGGCTCCCTGTGTGTACAGTCAGATGGCTCCCTGTGTGTACAGTCAGATGGCTCCCTGTGACTGTACAGTCAGATGGCTCCCTGTGGCTGTGTACAGTCAGATGGCTCCCTGTGTGTACAGTCAGATGGCTCCCTGTGACTGTGTACAGTCAGATGGCTCCCTGTGACTGTACAGTCAGATGGCTCCCTGTGTGTACAGTCAGATGGCTCCCTGTGACTGTGTACAGTCAGATGGCTCCCTGTGACTGTACAGTCAGATGGCTCCCTGTGTGTACAGTCAGATGGCTCCCTGTGTGTACAGTCAGATGGCTCCCTGTGTGTACAGTCAGATGGCTCCCTGTGTGTACAGTCAGATGGCTCCCTGTGTGTACAGTCAGATGGCTCCCTGTGTGTACAGTCAGATGGCTCCCTGTGTGTACAGTCAGATGGCTCCCTGTGTGTACAGTCAGATGGCTCCCTGTGTGTACAGACAGATGGCTCCCTGTGTGTACAGTCAGATGGCTCCCTGTGTGTACAGTCAGATGGCTCCCTGTGACTGTGTACAGTCAGATGGCTCCCTGTGTGTACAGTCAGATGGCTCCCTGTGTGTACAGTCAGATGGCTCCCTGTGACTGTGTACAGTCAGATGGCTCCCTGTGACTGTACAGTCAGATGGCTCCCTGTGTGTACAGTCAGATGGCTCCCTGTGTGTACAGTCAGATGGCTCCCTGTGTGTACAGTCAGATGGCTCCCTGTGTGTACAGTCAGATGGCTCCCTGTGACTGTACAGTCAGATGGCTCCCTGTGGCTGTGTACAGTCAGATGGCTCCCTGTGACTGTGTACAGACAGATGGCTCCCTGTGTGTACAGTCAGATGGCTCCCTGTGACTGTGTACAGTCAGATGGCTCCCTGTGACTGTACAGACAGATGGCTCCCTGTGTGTACAGTCAGATGGCTCCCTGTGTGTACAGTCAGATGGCTCCCTGTGTGTACAGTCAGATGGCTCCCTGTGTGTACAGTCAGATGGCTCCCTGTGTGTACAGACAGATGGCTCCCTGTGTGTACAGTCAGATGGCTCCCTGTGTGTACAGTCAGATGGCTCCCTGTGTGTACACTCAGATGGCTCCCTGTGACTGTGTACAGTCAGATGGCTCCCTGTGACTGTGTACAGTCAGATGGCTCCCTGTGTGTACAGACAGATGGCTCCCTGTGTGTACAGTCAGATGGCTCCCTGTGTGTACAGACAGATAGCTCCCTGTGTGTACAGTCAGATGGCTCCCTGTGTGTACAGTCAGATGGCTCCCTGTGTGTACAGTCAGATGGCTCCCTGTGTGTACAGTCAGATGGCTCCCTGTGTGTACAGTCAGATGGCTCCCTGTGTGTACAGTCAGATGGCTCCCTGTGTGTACAGACAGATGGCTCCCTGTGTGTACAGTCAGATGGCTCCCTGTGTGTACAGTCAGATGGCTCCCTGTGTGTACACTCAGATGGCTCCCTGTGACTGTGTACAGTCAGATGGCTCCCTGTGACTGTGTACAGTCAGATGGCTCCCTGTGTGTACAGACAGATGGCTCCCTGTGTGTACAGTCAGATGGCTCCCTGTGTGTACAGACAGATAGCTCCCTGTGTGTACAGTCAGATGGCTCCCTGTGTGTACACTCAGATGGCTCCCTGTGACTGTGTACAGTCAGATGGCTCCCTGTGACTGTACAGTCAGATGGCTCCCTGTGTGTACAGTCAGATGGCTCCCTGTGACTGTACAGTCAGATGGCTCCCTGTGACTGTGTACAGTCAGATGGCTCCCTGTGTGTACAGTCAGATGGCTCCCTGTGTGTACAGTCAGATGGCTCCCTGTGACTGTGTACAGTCAGATGGCTCCCTGTGTGTACAGTCAGATGGCTCCCTGTGTGTACAGTCAGATGGCTCCCTGTGACTGTGTACAGTCAGATGGCTCCCTGTGTGTACAGTCAGATGGCTCCCTGTGACTGTGTACAGTCAGATGGCTCCCTGTGACTGTACAGTCAGATGGCTCCCTGTGGCTGTGTACAGTCAGATGGCTCCCTGTGTGTACAGTCAGATGGCTCCCTGTGACCTAGGGCTGCCATTGTTTGGCTAATAATTTCTCATTGATTGCGGGTGGAGAGGACAAAAGATGTATTGAAGATGTAATAGAAAAGTTGTTAAGTTCATGTCAAGTGATTTGCTGGGCAAGGCAACAGCTGATTTTGTTTACATTAGCATTGCGGGCAGATTTGTAACTTAATGTTCTTTTAATGCTCTGTAAGCTGTTTATGTGTCTGGGTGTTTGACAGCTAAACAATCAAGGCTTCTCTGTTCGCTGACAGCTGAACGCAGTCAAAAAATTGATTCAGGCCTGGGAAATCAAAAAGTTATTGTACTAGCAGATCCAGGGGGCAACTTGTTCATTCTACTGGGATTGGTTGTTAGCTCATAGTTTGGTTGTTAGCTGGTAGTTTAGTTGTTAGCTCATAGTTTGGTTGTTAGCTCATAGTTTGGTTGTTAGCTCATAGTTTTGTTGTTAGCTCATACTTTGGTTGTTAGCTCATAGTTTGGTTGTTAGCTCATAGTTTGGTTGTTAGCTCATAGTTTTGTTGTTAGCTCATACTTTGGTTGTTAGCTCATAGTTTGGTTGTTAGCTCATACTTTGGTTGTTAGCACATACTTTGGTTGTTAGCTCATAGTTTGGTTGTTAGCTCATAGTTTGGTTGTTAGCTGGTAGTTTGGTTGTTAGCTGGTAGTTTTGTTGTTTGCTCATAGTTTGGTTGTTAGCTCATAGTTTTGTTGTTAGCTCATAGTTTGGGTGTTAGCTCATAGTTTGGGTGTTAGCTCATACTTTGGTTGTTAGCTCATAGTTTGGGTGTTAGCTCATAGTTTGGTTGTTAGCTCATAGTTTGGTTGTTAGCTCATAGTTTTGTTGTTGGCTCATAGTTTGGGTGTTAGCTCATAGTTTGGGTGTTAGCTCATAGTTTGGTTGTTAGCTCATAGTTTGGTTGTTAGCTCATAGTTTGGTTGTTAGCTCATAGTTTGGGTGTTAGCTCATAGTTTGGGTGTTAGCTCATAGTTTGGGTGTTAGCTCATAGTTTTGTTGTTAGCTCATAGTTTTGTTGTTAGCTCATAGTTTGGTTGTTAGCTCATAGTTTGGTTGTTAGCTCATAGTTTGGTTGTTAGCTCATAGTTTGGTTGTTAGCTCATAGTTTGGTTGTTAGCTCATACATTGGTTGTTAGCTCATAGTTTGGGTGTTAGCTCATAGTTTGGTTGTTAGCTCATAGTTTGGTTGTTAGCTCATAGTTTGGTTGTTAGCTCATAGTTTGGTTGTTAGCTCATAGTTTGGTTGTTAGCTCATAGTTTGGTTGTTAGCTGATAGTTTGGTTGTTAGCTCATAGTTTGGTTGTTAGCTCATAGTTTTGTTGTTAGCTCATAGTTTGGGTGTTAGCTCATAGTTTGGGTGTTAGCTCATACTTTGGTTGTTAGCTCATAGTTTGGGTGTTAGCTCATAGTTTGGTTGTTAGCTCATAGTTTGGTTGTTAGCTCATAGTTTTGTTGTTGGCTCATAGTTTGGGTGTTAGCTCATAGTTTGGGTGTTAGCTCATAGTTTGGTTGTTAGCTCATAGTTTGGTTGTTAGCTCATAGTTTGGTTGTTAGCTCATAGTTTGGGTGTTAGCTCATAGTTTGGATGTTAGCTCATAGTTTGGGTGTTAGCTCATAGTTTTGTTGTTAGCTCATAGTTTTGTTGTTAGCTCATAGTTTGGTTGTTAGCTCATAGTTTGGTTGTTAGCTCATAGTTTGGTTGTTAGCTCATAGTTTGGTTGTTAGCTCATAGTTTGGTTGTTAGCTCATACATTGGTTGTTAGCTCATAGTTTGGGTGTTAGCTCATAGTTTGGTTGTTAGCTCATAGTTTGGTTGTTAGCTCATAGTTTGGTTGTTAGCTCATAGTTTGGTTGTTAGCTCATAGTTTGGTTGTTAGCTCATAGTTTGGTTGTTAGCTGATAGTTTGGTTGTTAGCTCATAGTTTGGTTGTTAGCTGATAGTTTGGTTGTTAGCTCATAGTTTTGTTGTTAGCTCATAGTTTTGTTGTTAGCTCATAGTTTGGTTGTTAGCTCATAGTTTGGTTGTTAGCTCATAGTTTGGTTGTTAGCTCATAGTTTGGTTGTTAGCTCATAGTTTGGTTGTTAGCTCATAGTTTGGTTGTTAGCTCATAGTTTGGTTGTTAGCTCATAGTTTGGGTGTTAGCTCATAGTTTGGGTGTTAGCTCATAGTTTGGGTGTTAGCTCATACTTTGGTTGTTAGCTCATAGTTTGGGTGTTAGCTCATAGTTTGGTTGTTAGCTCATAGTTTGGTTGTTAGCTCATAGTTTTGTTGTTGGCTCATAGTTTGGGTGTTAGCTCATAGTTTGGGTGTTAGCTCATAGTTTGGTTGTTAGCTCATAGTTTGGTTGTTAGCTCATAGTTTGGTTGTTAGCTCATAGTTTGGGTGTTAGCTCATAGTTTGGGTGTTAGCTCATAGTTTGGGTGTTAGCTCATAGTTTTGTTGTTAGCTCATAGTTTTGTTGTTAGCTCATAGTTTGGTTGTTAGCTCATAGTTTGGTTGTTAGCTCATAGTTTGGTTGTTAGCTCATAGTTTGGTTGTTAGCTCATAGTTTGGTTGTTAGCTCATAGTTTGGTTGTTAGCTCATACATTGGTTGTTAGCTCATAGTTTGGGTGTTAGCTCATAGTTTGGGTGTTAGCTCATAGTTTGGGTGTTAGCTCATAGTTTGGTTGTTAGCTCATAGTTTGGTTGTTAGCTCATAGTTTGGTTGTTAGCTCATAGTTTGGTTGTTAGCTCATAGTTTGGTTGTTAGCTGATAGTTTGGTTGTTAGCTCATAGTTTGGTTGTTAGCTCATAGTTTGGTTGTTAGCTCATAGTTTTGTTGTTAGCTCATAGTTTTGTTGTTAGCTCATAGTTTGGGTGTTAGCTCATAGTTTGGTTGTTAGCTCATAGTTTGGTTGTTAGCTCATAGTTTGGTTGTTAGCTCATAGTTTGGTTGTTAGCTCATAGTTTGGTTGTTAGCTCATAGTTTGGGTGTTAGCTCATAGTTTGGGTGTTAGCTCATAGTTTGGTTGTTAGCTCATAGTTTGGTTGTTAGCTCATAGTTTGGTTGTTAGCTCATAGTTTGGTTGTTAGCTCATAGTTTGGTTGTTAGCTCATAGTTTGGTTGTTAGCTGATAGTTTGGTTGTTAGCTCATAGTTTGGTTGTTAGCTCATAGTTTGGCTGTTAGCTCATAGTTTAGTTGTTAGCTGATAGTTTGGTTGTTAGCTGTTAGTTTGCTTATTAGCTGTTATTGTAGACTGTTTGTAAGCTGATTAGTTTAGACATTAGCTGATATTAACTACGTTTTCTTATAAAATATAATATCAAGACCGCTGTTATTAATGGACTGGTTAATGTTACAGATGCTGAGCAAAATCTTCCTCCTGTTTAGTGGAGGTCTAAGGTCACGCCACAATCATCTCCCCCCCCCCCCTGTGTAGTGAAGGTCTGAGCTATCAACCAGCTCTCCATTTCTTACAGTTTTGCCTTGATCACTTCTTGATGTAGCCTAAATCCTTAGTGGGTGTAGCCTTTATTTTTGACCTTTGACCCTCCCTACAGATGTGACGGGTGTGGGCAACTTCCCTGATGACTTTGAGGACCTGCCTCGTAGAAATGATTCGGCTCGCTACAGAAGGAGGACACGGGTCCCATCCAGCCCAAAGGTAGGGCAGCGTCACACGTTTGGTAGGGCAGCGTCACACGTTTGGTAGGGCAGCATCACACATTTGGTAGGGCAGCGTCACACGTTTGGTAGGGCAGCATCACACGTTTGGTAGGGCAGCGTCACATGTTTGGTAGGGCAGCGTCACACAGTCTGATAGGGCAGGGTCACACGTTTGGTAGGGCAGCGTCACACGTTTGGTAGGGCAGCGTCACACGTTTGGTAGGGCAGCGTCATACGTTTGGTGGGGCAGCGTCACACGTTTGGTAGGGCAGCGTCACACGTTTGGTAGGGCAGCGTCACACATTTGGTAGGGCAGCGTCACACGTTTGGTAGGGCAGCGTCACACATTTGGTAGGGCAGCATCACACGTTGGTCTGGTAGGGCATGTGTGGTGGGCAGTGGTCCCCTAAAAGGCATGTGTGGTGGGCAGTGGTCCCCTAAAAGGCATGTGTGTTGGGCATTGGTCCCCTAAAAGGCATGTGGTGGGCAGTGGTCCCCTAAAAGGCATGTGTGTTGGGCAGTGGTCCCCTAAAAGGCATGTGTGGTGGGCAGTGGTCCCCTAAAAGGCATGTGTGGTGGGCAGTGGTCCCCTAAAAGGCATGTGTGGTGGGCAGTGGTCCCCTAAAAGGCATGTGCCATGGCCGATTGCCAATGCAGCTGTAATGATTTCTGCAGATGTCCCCTGTATGATTGTTGTATTGTGTGATGTCACCCGTATGATTGTTGTATTGTGTGATGTCACCCATATGATTGTTGTATTGTGTGATGTCACCCATATGATTGTTGTATTGTGTGATGTCACCCATATGATTGTTGTATTGTGTGATGTCACCTGTATGATTGTTGTATTGTGTGATGTCACCCATATGATTGTTGTATTGTGTGATGTCACCTGTATGATTGTTGTATTGTGTGATGTCACCTGTATGATTGTTGTATTAGTTGATGTCACCCATATGATTGTTGTATTGTGTGATGTCACCCATATGATTGTTGTATTGTGTGATGTCACCTGTATGATTGTTGTATTGTGTGATGTCACCTGTATGATTGTTGTATTAGTTGATGTCACCCATATGATTGTTGTATTGTGTGATGTCCCCTGTATGATTGTTGTATTATATGATGTCACCTGTATGATTGCTATATTAGTTGATGTCCCCTATATGATTGTATTGCTTGATTTCCCCAGATGACCACACCAGATGTCACCAGTCGAGCCACCTTTGGCTCCCAGTCTAGTCTAAATGTTGACAAATTGGCCAGGAAAAACGAAGACAGGCTCAGGCGTCTCAGGGACCTGCAAGGTAACTCAGTTGTCTTGTTAAGGTAACTCAGGTGTTTGGTCAATGTAACTCATGTGTCCTGTCAAGGTAACTCAGGTGTCTGTTCAAGGTAGTTTAAGTGTCTGTTCAAGGTCACACAAGTGTCTGGTCAATGTAACTCCAGTGTCTTCATGTCTTAACTCATTTATTGTTGACCTACAGGGGATGACCTATCTTTGTATGATCCTGAAGATGTCCTTGACAGATTCATGACAAAACAAGGTCACCACAGGTAAGAAACTGACTTAATGTTGCGTTGTTGATGGTGTCTGGAAGTATCTCTTCATCACGAGCTGACCCGCGAAGTAGCATACGCTGCCATCTAGTTGTTTTATTTTCTGCTTATCAGCAATTCATAATTTGTGAATTCAACATTACCCCTTCCCTTCCTCTCTCCCCCCCCCCCCCTCCTTCTCTCCCGCCCAGTGAAAGCAGCCGTTTACAGACAATGAAAAGGTCAATCAGAAATTTTTACCTCCCCTTCATTTCAAAGAGTTAAATACTAAATTATCTGCCCCTAATAGACGTCACTAACCCGGCTCATTCGTAGTGCCTCAAGTTGAGAAGGGACAACATGGCAGGACATGTGGGGGATAGGCCCAAATTATGTCATTCACACTGACATCAGTGCTAGTTGACCAAACTACACTGGGCACAGTGTTTCTTCCGGTGTCTGGGAAACCTTGTGACCTGGGCAATATACAATCTTGTGACCTGGGCAATATACAATCTTGTGACCTGGGCAATATACAATCTTGTGACCTGGGCAATATACAATCTTGTGACCTGGGCAATATACAATCTTGTGACCTGGGCAATATACAATCTTGTGACCTGGGCAATATACAATCTTGTGACCTGGGCACTATAAAATCTTATGACCCGGGCAATATAAAATATTGTGACTTGGGCAATATAAAAAATTGTGACCTGGGCAATATACAATCTTATGACCTGGGCAATATACAATCTTGTGACCTGGGCAATATACAATCTTGTGACCTGGGCAATATACAATCTTGTGACCTGGGCAATATACAATCTTGTGACCTGGGCAATATACAATCTTGTGACCTGGGCAATATACAATCTTGTTACATGGGCACTATAAAATCTTATGACCTGGGCAATATACAATCTTGTGACATGGGCAATCTAAAAAATTGTGACCTGGGCACTATACAATCTTGTGACCTGGGCAATATACAATCTTGTGACCTGGGCAATCTAAAAAATTGTGACCTGGGCACTATACAATCTTGTGACCTGGGCAATATACAATCTTGTGACCTGGGCAATATACAATCTAGTTACATGGGCACTATAAAATCTTATGACCTGGGCAATATAAAATATTGTGACCTGGGCAATATAAAATCTGTGACGTGAAAGGTATCAGAAGCTTGTGAACTGTGTCAATACAGTGTAGTAAGTTGGTTTCAACTGACATAGACTGAATCACTGACACCATGAGTCCCTGACTCCATGACACACTGACTCCATGACACACTGACTCGCTGACATGCTGACTTCCGGACGCTGTGAGTCCCTGACTCCTCTGACACAGAATGACTCCTGACGCTTGTACGAGCGCGGCTGTGATTAAATCCTTTGTTCATCTGGTGACAATGTGGTTGCCAAGACAACAGAGGTTTTTTCTTACAAGCGAGCATAAATCATCAAGCTGGTGCCAGCCTAAGACGATGATTGGCCAGCCTCCAGCGATCTTGTTGCCGCGCTAATTGCCTGCCTTTAATTACATTGGAGCAGTTTAAAAATTGTACTGTAGCATCTGAGCTGAGATACACTACTTGGTTTAATTCACTGGTCGCCATGGCAACGTTGAGGTAGATGGTGTAAATCATGGTGGCATCAGGCGCAACGCAGGGGAGGGGTGGGGGGAGTCACATGGTAGGATTTAGGCTGGAACTTACAGGTGAAAGATTGAATCTTATAGGGAGCGTAATGGTCACAGGTTTCAACAGCTTCAAGTGGATTTAAAGGTGTCCGGTTGAATGACTTACTCAACTTACTGGAAGCTCAGGATTTAAAGGTGTCAGACGTGATGGTAGGGGGCTGGTGGTGTATGGGCCCCCATTGACGTGATGGTAGGGGGCTGGTGGTGTATGGGCCCCCATTGACGTGATGGTAGGGGGCTGGTGATGTATGGGCCCCCATTGACGTGATGGTAGGGGGCTGGTGATGTATGGGCCCCCATTGACGTGATGGTAGGGGGCTGGTGGTGTATGGGGCCCCATTGACGTGATGGTAGGGGCTGGTGGTGTATGGGCCCCCGGCACGCCATCTTGTTAACCAGCCGCCATCTTGTTAACCTGCCGCCATCTTGTTAACCAGCCGATTATTCGTCTTTAACATCTTACACAGCTGTTTAGCCACTTGTCACCCCCCCCCCCCCTCAACACACACACACACACATTACCCTACTCAAGACTTGAGACTACCAGCCATAAAGCTAACCTGACATCACAACTGCAGGGGGGGGGGGGGGGGGGGGAACTACTAACAAAAAAAAGTAACATGCTAAATTACGTGTGTAAACCTAGTCAAGTGCACCCTACTTACTATAATTGTTGCAGGAATAGGCTCCTAAACATGTTACCTTGATTGGCCTACTAAATTTTTTGCACTTGTTTACCTACTTAATGTGTTGACCTACTTAATGTGTTGCCCTTGTTGACCTACTAAATTTGTTACACTTATTAACCTACTAAACTAGGATGTTTGCTGACGAAATAGAAACCAGGTCAGATTCTTCCAGCCCAGCATTTGGCGTAAGTCTTGCTGCCTTGTAGAATCTCGTATTTGGCCAGACCTAACCCATTCTTGCAGCCTTGTAGAATCTCGTATTTGGCCAGACCTAACCCATTCTTGCAGCCTTGTAGAATCTCGTATTTGGCCAGACCTAACCCATTCTTGCTGCCTTGTAGAATCTCGTATTTGGCCAGACCTAACCCATTCTTGCTGCCTTGTAGAATCTCGTATTTGGCCAGACCTAACCCATTCTTGCTGCCTTGTAGAATCTCGTATTTGGCCAGACCTAACCCATTCTTGCTGCCTTGTAGAATCTCGTATTTGGCCAGACCTAACCTTGTCTTGCTGCCTTGTAGAATCTCGTATTTGGCCAGACCTAACCCATTCTTGCTGCCATGTAGAATCTCGTATTTGGCCAGACCTAACCCATTCTTGCTGCCTTGTAGAATCTCGTATTTGGCCAGACCTAACACATTCTTGCTGCCTTTCTTCATTTTATTCGCTCTTGATAAATTCACGTTCTTCAAAGTGTGTCTCTAAAACACACCTCCCCACAACTAGTACATATAGCGTGATCTGGGATGATATCATCACACCTACATACCATAACCAGACTAATGTACACAACTCAACATACGATATCCAGACTAATGTACACATCTCAACATACGATAACCAGACTAATGTACACATCTCAACATACGATAACCAGACTAATGTACACATCTGAAAATACGATAACCAGACTAATGTACACATCTCAACATACGATAACCAGACTAATGTACACATCTCAACATACGATAACCAGACTAATGTACACATAACCCAGTTGTATCTGAACCGTGACATGTTTTGGTAGATCCAGATACAGAATGGAGAAAAACTTTCCAGTGTATTTCTTCAGGCTCCACGAATTTCTCTTGAAATGCCTTCGCTGTTTTTAACAACTTGCTTGAGAATAGTTATATTTTATTTTGAATGGTATTAATAGTGTAGCTAGACGTCTACTCGCTATTTAAAACATGTTTAAACTACTAATATTTGCTTGCGTCAAATATAACCTTCTCTGTACTATAATGTACTTTGTAATGTGAAAAGGCTATGTAATATGTAAGCACTAACTGATGTCTCTATTTATGTTTGTGGTTAGGGCAGGAAGACACAAGTGATGTAAGATTAACTGTGTGCTCGTTGTTTGACTCCACCTTGTGTTTCAACCCCTGACTACACCCATTCCTTGGATCTACTCACCTTGATCACATCACCTCCCTCCATAGACTCCACCCACTCCTTGGCTCCACCCAGCATGATCACGTCACCTCCCTCCATTCACTCCACCCACTCCTTGGCTCCACCTACCTTGATGACGTCACCTCCGTCCATCGACTCCATCCACCATGATCACGTCACCTCCCTCCATTCACTCCACCCACTCCTTGGCTACACCCACCTTGATGACGTCACTTCCCTCCATCGACTTCACCCACTGCTTGGCTCCACCCACTCCTTGGCTCCACCCTCTCCTTGGCTCCACCCTCTCCTTAGCTCCACCCACCTTGATCACGCCACATCCCTCCATCGACTCCACCCAACCCTTGGCTCCACCCTCTCCTTAGCACCACCCACCTTGATCCCGTCACATCCCTCCATCGACTCCACCCACCCCTTGGCTCCACCCACCTTGATCACGTCACATCCCTCCATCGACTCCACCCACCCCTTGGCTCCACCCACCTTGATCACGTCACATCCCTCCATCGACTCCACCCACCCCTTGGCTCCACCCACCTTGATCACGTCACATCCCTCCATCGACTCCACCCACCCCTTGGCTCCACCCACCTTGATGACGTCACCTCCCTCCATCGACTTGATCCGGTGTTGTACAAATGTCTCGTCTAGTCTCTTTTGGTCACTCACATTTCCTCCTTACACTAAATGTCACATTTGTATTGTTTTTTACACTAAATGTCACATTTTTATAGTTCCTTACACTAAATGTCACATTTTTATAGTTCCTTACACTAAATGTCACATTTTTAAAGTTCCTTACACTAAATGTCACATTTTTATAGTTCCCTACACTAAATGTCACATTTTTATAGTTCCTTACACTAAATATCACATTTTTATTCTTCCTTACACTAAATGTCACATTTTTATAGTTCCTTACACTAAATGTCACATTTTTATAGTTCCTTACACTAATTGTCGCATTTTTATAGTTCCTTACACTAATTGTCGCATTTTTATAGTTCCTTACACTAATTGTCGCATTTTTATAGTTCCTTACACTAATTGTCAGATTTTTATAGTTCCTTACACTAATTGTCACATTTTTATAGTCGCTTACACTAAATGTCAACCTTTTATTGTTCCTTACACTAAATGTCACATTTTTATAGTTCCTTACACTAAATGTCGCCTTTGTGTTTTATCGCAGACACCCAATACTTTTAAAACATTATATAAATGTGTGTGTATGTCACGAATTCCTTAGACCCCCCCCCCTTATGTCTACTCTATTCCCCAGACCCCCCTAATGTCTACTCTATTCCCCAGACCCCCCCCCCCCCAATGTCTACTCTATTCCCCAGACCCCTAATGTCTACTCTATTCCCCAGACTCCCCTAATGTCTACTCTATTCCCCAGACCCCCCTAAAGTCTACTCTATTCCCCAGACCCCCCTAAAGTCTACTCTTTTCCCCAGACCCCCTAATGTCTACTCTATTCCCCAGACCCCCCTAATGTCTACTCTATTCCCCAGACCCCCCTAATGTCTACTCTATTCCCCAGACCCCCCTAAAGTCTACTCTATTCCCCAGACCCCCCTAAAGTCTACTCTATTCCCCAGACCCCCCTAATGTCTACTCTATTCCCCAGACCCCCTAATGTCTACTCTATTCCCCAGACCCCCCTGACGTCTACTCTATTCCCCAGACCCCCCTAATGTCTACTCTATTCCCCAGACCCCCTAATGTCTACTCTATTCCCCAGACCCCCCTAAAGTCTACTCTATTCCCCAGACCCCCTAATGTCTACTCTATTCCCCAGACCCCCCTAATGTCTACTCTATTCCCCAGACCCCCCTAATGTCTACTCTATTCCCCAGACCCCCCTAAAGTCTACTCTATTCCCCAGACCCCCCTAATGTCTACTCTATTCCCCAGACCCCCCTAATGTCTACTCTATTCCCCAGACCCCCCTAATGTCTACTCTATTCCCCCAGACCCCCCCCCCTAATGTCTACTCTATTCCCCAGACCCCCCTAAAGTCTACTCTATTCCCCAGACCCCCCTAATGTCTACTCTATTCCCCAGACCCCCCTAATGTCTACTCTATTCCCCAGACCCCCCTAAAGTCTACTCTATTCCCCAGACCCCCCTAATGTCTACTCTATTCCCCAGACCCCCCTAAAGTCTACTCTATTCCCCAGACCCCCTAATGTCTACTCTATTCCCCAGACCCCCCTAATGTCTACTCTATTCCCCAGACCCCCCTAATGTCTACTCTATTCCCCAGACCCCCCTAATGTCTACTCTATTCCCCAGACCCCCCTAATGTCTACTCTATTCCCCCAGACCCCCCCCCCTAATGTCTACTCTATTCCCCAGACCCCCCTAAAGTCTACTCTATTCCCCAGACCCCCCTAATGTCTACTCTATTCCCCAGACCCCCCTAATGTCTACTCTATTCCCCAGACCCCCCTAAAGTCTACTCTATTCCCCAGACCCCCCTAATGTCTACTCTATTCCCCAGACCCCCCCCCTAATGTCTACTCTATTCCCCAGACCCCCTGACGTCTACTCTATTCCCCAGACCCCCCCTAATGTCTACTCTATTCCCCAGACCCCCTAATGTCTACTCTATTCCCCAGACCCCCCTAAAGTCTACTCTATTCCCCAGACCCCCCCTAATGTCTACTCTATTCCCCAGACCCCCTAATGTCTACTCTATTCCCCAGACCCCCCTAATGACTACTCTATTCCCCAGACCCCCCCTAATGTCTACTCTATTTCCCCAGACCCCCCTAATGTCTACTCTATTCCCCAGACCCCCTAATGTCTACTCTATTCCCCAGACCCCCCTAATGTCTACTCTATTCCCCAGACCCCCTGACGTCTACTCTATTCCCCAGACCCCCTAATGTCTACTCTATTCCCCAGACCCCCCTAATGTCTACTCTATTCCCCAGACCCCCCCTAATGTCTACTCTATTTCCCCAGACCCCCCTAATGTCTACTCTATTCCCCAGACCCCCTAATGTCTACTCTATTCCCCAGACCCCCCTAATGTCTACTCTATTCCCCAGACCCCCCCTAATGTCTACTCTATTCCCCAAACCCCCCTAATGTCTACTCTATTCCAAGACCCCCCCCCTAATGTTTACTCTATTCCCCAGACCCCCTAATGTCTACTCTATTCCCCAGACCCCCCTCACGTAACACGCTGCTGGACGACACTTGGATGAGGTCAGCCAGCAAACAGTCCAAGTACTAGCCGGACAAGATGGCCGCCAAGTACTAGCCGGACAAGATGGCCGCCAAGTACTAGCCGGACAAGATGGCCGCCAAGTACTAGCTGGACAAGATGGCCGCCAAGTACTAGCCGGACAAGATGGCCGCCAAGTACTAGCCGGACAAGATGGCCGCCAAGTACTAGCCGGACAAGATGGCCGCCAAGTACTAGCCGGACAAGATGGCCGCCAAGTACTAGCCGGACAAGATGGCCGCCAAGTACTAGCCGGACAATATGTTTAACTTAACGCCGTGTGTCCGAATGGTTTACAGGGTGTCTGACGTCATCCATTCTCCAAGTGTCAAAACCTTCTCCGTCCAAAAGTCCTTTGTCCAAAAGTTGTGGTCAATTGTTGGCCAAAAGTTGTGGTCAATTGTTGTCCAAAAGTTGTGGTCAATTGTTGTCCAAAAGTTGTGGTCAATTGTTGGCCAAAAGTTGTGGTCAATTGTTGTCCAAAAGTTGTGGTCAATTGTTGTCCAAAAGTTGTGGTCAATTGTTGGCCAAAAGTTGTGGTCAATTGTTGTCCAAAAGTTGTGGTCAATTGTTGTCCAAAAGTTGTGGTCAATTGTTGGCCAAAAGTTGTGGTCAATTGTTGTCCAAAAGTTGTGGTCAATTGTTGTCCAAAAGTTGTGGTCAATTGTTGGCCAAAAGTTGTGGTCAATTGTTGTCCAAAAGTTGTGGTCAATTGTTGGCCAAAAGTTGTGGTCAATTGGTGTCCGAAAATTGTGGTCAATTGTTGGCCAAAAGTTGTGGTCAATTGTTGTCTGAAAGTTGTGATCAATGGTTATCCAAAAGTTGTGGTCAATTGTTGCATTGATGTAGTCAATAGTTCTCTTGTCCAAGAAAGGACCAGATTTTTTCCTTGGGATTTTGTTTTCGTTTTACCAAGGAATGTCAAGGTCGTAGCGTGGGTGTCAGATCTCGAACATTCGGCGGACAGAGACTGGTCTGTTGGGGACTCACCAAAAAGGGATTGGGGACTCACCAAAAAGGGATTGGGGACTCACCAGAAAGGGATTGGGGACTCACCAGAAAGGGACTGATGTTTTTATCCACCAGAACCTGGGAATGAATGATTGTATATATCTGGCATATTGCATGTATGCTACACAATGTTATCGTACATGTGTTGTATGCTTCTGGGCGTTGTTATATGTGTATGCTACAGAAAATTATTATATGTGTATGCTACAGTGTACATTCTCATCTATTTATTTGTACGATTCATTATGGCTCTGTATTCTCCTACAAATGTTTTGTAAATAAAACAACTGAAACCTGTAATGTTAATATTTAAAATAATTATTTAATTGCACAATTTCTTGTAATCAAACCCAGGCAAATGAAATATTTGAGAATAAATTTACGTTCAGGAAACTGGTTTTGTCAACTTGTGTTTGGCAATGGTGGGATTCGATCTTATGTTTGGGGAGGGTGGGATTCGATCTTATGTTTGGGGAGGGTGGGATTCGATCTTATGTTTGGCGTTGGTGGGATTCGATCTTGTGTTTGGTATTGGTGGGATTCGATCTTATGTTTGGGGAGGGTGGGATTCGATCTTATGTTTGGGGAGGGTGGGATTCGATCTTATGTTTGGCGTTGGTGGGATTCGATCTTGTGTTTGGTATTGGTGGGATTCGATCTTATGTTTGGCATTGGTGGGATTCGATCTTGTGTTTGGCGTTGGTGGGATTCGATCTTATGTTTGGGGAGGGTGGGATTCGATCTTGTGTTTGGGGAGGGTGGGATTCGATCTTGTGTTTGGGGAGGGTGGGATTCGATCTTATGTTTGGGGAGGGTGGGATTCGATCTTATGTTTGGCAATGGTGGGATTCGATCTTATGTTTGGGGGGGGTGGGATTCGATCTTATGTTTGGGGAGGGTGGGATTCGATCTTGTGTTTGGCGTTGGTGGGATTCGATCTTATGTTTGGCGTTGGTGGGATTCGATCTTATGTTTGGGGAGGGTGGGATTCGATCTTATGTTTGGGGAGGGTGGGATTCGATCTTGTGTTTGGGGAGGGTGGGATTCGATCTTATGTTTGGGGAGGGTGGGATTCGATCTTATGTTTGGGGAGGGTGGGATTCGATCTTGCTACAGACAACTTGATCCCTTCATAGCGTGCTAACAGCTCTACAGCGGGTTAACCGAGAGACAACAGCTCTACTAAATAAGTATTACATTTATACATACTCATGTATACGGCGTATATATATATATATATATATATATACTAGCTGCATACCCGTGCTCCGCCACGGTATGTCTTTTTTAAATGTACCAACTTGGGAACAACAAAACACAACCCAAAAGAAAACACAATGCAAATACTAACGAAAACACAAATGCTACACATTAACACAAAAGAAAAAACAAACGCAAATAAAAACACAAATGAAAATATAAACACAACACTAATAACATAAAGACAACTTAAATGCAAAAATAAACCCATAGTGCTCACAATCTAGCTCGTGGCGCCAAATCGCACCCTGCCCGAGCACCGGCGGACGCGCCTGATTTAGTGAACGACTATAAAAAAAAAACCCAGCAAACCGAAAGATAGAATAATAATTAGTAAACAGTACGTTCAGTGTATAAAATAAATAAAAGGCAGTATTTAAAATATCCGTGTTTTACCAATCATATTGCACTTTATCAATTCATGCATTTTTTTTCAGTACTTTAAATTTTAAAAATTTCCAATAGAGTTTCATGACTTAAACCATTGCGCACCTAATGAACGTGATGACGCGTCTATAATAGTGCGGAACAGTTGATTAAAAATTATAATTAGTAAACAGTACGTTCAGTGAATAACATAAATAAAAGATTATCTTTTATTAATCCATGCTAATTATAATATTCTAACAATTATGTCCTCTTACACATCCGCATAAATTGCATTCACATTTTGCTAATTATATTATTGGAACAATAATTCCTTCTAGGAGGTTCGTAGATTTTGGAATCACATTTTTTTTAATTAGCGTGAGTTGAATTTATTTTCAAATTACCTCCCTTGGAAAAATACAAAACAGTTTAATTAATTCGTTTTTTTTTCGACCCTATTATTATTAAAATATATCCACTTTTTCTAGGAATCTAAACGAAAATGATATTTGACATTGATCCTTTTAATATGTTTTAGCAATGTGCGTGTATTTAATATTTTCTTTACGTTATGCAAAAGAGTAAAAACAGTGGCAACTATAAAATGAATTTAAGTCGTTATATAAACAAACCCTCCTCTATAACTTATAATATGACAATGCGACGCATTGAAAAATACTGCATGGTGCGACGTTTACTTTTATGGTTCCAAAATGCAAAGCGATAGCACGAGGAAGGAAGGGGTTAGACACCATGATCTAGTGACGCCACTAGGCTTGTGCAAGAATCGGTTGTTATCACGGACAAGTGGCGGCTTATTTCAACGTTAAAAGCTGAGTAAAGGTGTTCAAAGATAGGTGAAGTGGAGTTGACGAATCTTATAAGTAACAAGCGGAAAATCAACCTAAACTGTTTAGTTCGGTTGTTGCCTATCTGGTTTTTGCCTGTTTAGTTATTGCACTAGATGTCAAATACTCACCGTTTCAAATATGTCTCGTTTTTAAATAATCCAACTCCCCCCTCCCCCCCCCCCCCCTCACCATTCATAATGTAGACCGTGATGTTACCTTCCCCTCCCCCCCCCCCCCCATAGTTTTCATGAAACAACAATTGTGACACTGACTGACACTCACGGGCCGGCTGTTTGTCCTGCATGATCTGACACTTCTCGTATGACGTCTTCAGCATTGCATGCCCATATATGGGCAGGAGATCCCGTGTCTTCCAGCAAACAAACCGTCTGCTGCTCGAGTTCTGCGACCTTGAGGCCCGTGACCCCAGAAGACCTGCATACATTGGAGTCAAGTCCCCAGCGCCGGACCGCATCACGTGTCATCAAACACGGACTGACACTTGCAGAGCTGGACCAATGGGGGCCGGGGCTGACGAGCACGTGACGAGGCCCTGTTTGAGATGGAACCCGTCTCTCGCCCAAAATAAACCAGCCAGGCATCTACTGGTCAGCGCTCAGCCCCAACACAAACAAGCCCGGGCTAAAAATAGCATTTCTAGACCCTAGGGTGCTGGCATGTAGTGGCAACCTAGCACTGACAGGGTCGGGGAGTTAGCTGTCTTCCCACGGGCCGGTCACGGGGGGTCGCCGCTGTAGCCGTGACCTGCGCATTTCCGGCACTTAGTCCGGTCTAAATATGGTGACATTGTGCTCCATACTTTGTCTAAAGATTGTCAAAAATGTTAGTTTCATCAATCCAGGGTCTATATTTAGATGAGCTTATTTGCAGAAGCTCAGCATAGATTGGGAGATTATCGGTGCCTCGGGGATTTAGGACAAACTGGTTAGCAAATCTGCTGTCAGATGTAGCAGTGACTGACACTGTAACATGACACTAGATATTTAATGTGACATTTCCTGGTGGCATGTCCTCCCACCTCACCCACACAGCCCCACCCACACAGCCCCACACACATCACGTAAAGTATGAGATTCTCTCCCCCCCCCCCCCCCCCCACCAATACGACTCACCCACAGCTTAACCCCCCCCCCCCCCCCGACCGTATCTCTGACACAAACTGTCAACATGTAAAACATGTGGTACCTAGGTCCTAACTGGCTCAAGTGTCGCCACAGCAAGCGTGGAGTAGAAACAGAACTGTTGATCATGGTCAATGTGCTGGTCAGATGTTGACCAACAGAGTGCTGGTCAGATGTTGACATGTTGACCAACAGAATGCTGGTCAGATGTTGACCAACAGAGTGCTGGTCAGATGTTGACATGTTGACCAACAGAGTGCTGGTCAGATGTTGACATGTTGACCAACAGAGTGCTGGTCAGATGTTGACCGACAGAGTGCTGGTCAGATGTTGACCAACAGAGTGCTGGTCAGATGTTGACCGACAGAGTGCTGGTCAGATGTTGACCAACAGAGTGCTGGTCAGATGTTGACCGACAGAGTGCTGGTCAGATGTTGACCAACAGAGTGCTGGTCAGATGTTGACCAACAGAGTGCTGGTCAGATGTTGACCGACAGAGTGCTGGTCAGATGTTGACCGACAGAGTGCTGGTCAGATGTTGACCGACAGAGTGCTGGTCAGATGTTGACCAACAGAGTGCTGGTCAGATGTTGACCTACAGAGTGCTGGTCAGATGTTGACATGTTGACCAACAGAGTGCTGGTCAGATGTTGACATGTTGACCAACAGAGTGCTGGTCAGATGTTGACCGACAGAGTGCTGGTCAGATGTTGACATGTTGACCAACAGAATGCTGGTCAGATATTGACCAACAGAGTGCTGGTCAGATGTTGACATGTTGACCAACAGAGTGCTGGTCAGATGTTGACATGTTGACCAACAGAGTGCTGGTCAGATGTTGACCGACAGAGTGCTGGTCAGATGTTGACCAACAGAGTGCTGGTCAGATGTTGACCAACAGAGTGCTGGTCAGATGTTGACCGACAGAGTGCTGGTCAGATGTTGACCAACAGAGTGCTGGTCAGATGTTGACCGACAGAGTGCTGGTCAGATGTTGACCAACAGAGTGCTGGTCAGATGTTGACCAACAGAGTGCTGGTCAGATGTTGACCGACAGAGTGCTGGTCAGATGTTGACCGACAGAGTGCTGGTCAGATGTTGACCGACAGAGTGCTGGTCAGATGTTGACCAACAGAGTGCTGGTCAGATGTTGACCTACAGAGTGCTGGTCAGATGTTGACATGTTGACCAACAGAGTGCTGGTCAGATGTTGACATGTTGACCAACAGAGTGCTGGTCAGATGTTGACATGTTGACCAACAGAGTGCTGGTCAGATGTTGACATGTTGACCAACAGAGTGCTGGTCAGATGTTGACCGACAGAGTGCTGGTCAGATGTTGACATGTTGACCAACAGAGTGCTGGTCAGATGTTGACCGACAGAGTGCTGGTCAGATGTTGACCGACAGAGTGCTGGTCAGATGTTGACCGACAGAGTGCTGGTCAGATGTTGACCGACAGAGTGCTGGTCAGATGTTGACCAACAGAGTGCTGGTCAGATGTTGACCAACAGAGTGCTGGTCAGATGTTGACCAACAGAGTGCTGGTCAGATGTTGACCGACAGAGTGCTGGTCAGATGTTGACCGACAGAGTGCTGGTCAGATGTTGACCGACAGAGTGCTGGTCAGATGTTGAACTACAGAGTGCTGGTCAGATGTTGACCGACAGAGTGCTGGTCAGATGTTGACCGACAGAGTGCTGGTCAGATGTTGACCAACAGAGTGCTGGTCAGATGTTGACCTACAGAGTGCTGGTCAGATGTTGACCAACATAGTGCTGGTCAGATGTTGACCGACAGAGTGCTGGTCAGATGTTGACCGACAGAGTGCTGGTCAGATGTTGACCTACAGAGTGCTGGTCAGATGTTGACCTACAGAGTGCTGGTCAGATGTTGACCTACAGAGTGCTGGTCAGATGTTGACCAACATAGTGCTGGTCAGATGTTGACCGACAGAGTGCTGGTCAGATGTTGACCAACAGAGTGTTGGTCAGATGTTGACATGTTGACCAACAGAGTGCTGGTCAGATGTTGACCGACAGAGTGCTGGTCAGATGTTGACTGACAGAGTGCTGGTCAGATGTTGACCGACAGAGTGCTGGTCAGATGTTGAACTACAGAGTGCTGGTCAGATGTTGACCGACAGAGTGCTGGTCAGATGTTGACCGACAGAGTGCTGGTCAGATGTTGACCAACATAGTGCTGGTCAGATGTTGACCGACAGAGTGCTGGTCAGATGTTGACCGACAGAGTGCTGGTCAGATGTTGACCTACAGAGTGCTGGTCAGATGTTGACCTACAGAGTGCTGGTCAGATGTTGACCAACATAGTGCTGGTCAGATGTTGACCGACAGAGTGCTGGTCAGATGTTGACCAACAGAGTGCTGGTCAGATGTTGACATGTTGACCAACAGAGTGCTGGTCAGATGTTGACCGACAGAGTGCTGGTCAGATGTTGACCGACAGAGTGCTGATCAGATGTTGACTAGAGCTAACATCAATCCCCACAGATACCAGAACTAGCATCAAGACAATCCCCACAGATACCAGAACTAACATCAAGACAATCCCCACAGATACCAGAACTAGCATCAAGACAATCCCCACAGATACCAGAACTAACATCAAGACAATCCCCACAGATACCAGAACTAACATCAAGACAATCCCCACAGATACCAGAACTAACATCAAGACAATCCCCACAGATACCAGAACTAGCATCAAGACAATCCCCACAGATACCAGAACTAACATCAAGACAATCCCCACAGATACCAGAACTAGCATCAAGACAATCCCCACAGATACCAGAACTAACATCAAGACAATCCCCACAGATACCAGAACTAGCATCAAGACAATCCCCACAGATACCAGAACTAACATCAAGACAATCCCCACAGATACCAGAACTAACATCAATCCCCACAGATACCAGAACTAACATCAAGACAATCCCCACAGATACCAGAACTAGCATCAAGACAATCCCCACAGATACCAGAACTAACATCAAGACAATCCCCACAGATACCAGAACTAGCATCAAGACAATCCCCACAGATACCAGAACTAACATCAAGACAATCCCCACAGATACCAGAACTAACATCAATCCCCACAGATACCAGAACTAACATCAAGACAGCCCCCACAGATACCAGAACTAGCATCAAGACAATCCCCACAGATACCAGAACTAGCATCAAGACAATCCCCTCAGATACCAGAACTAGCATCAAGACAATCCCCACAGACACCAGAACTAACATCAAGACAATCCCCACAGATACCAGAACTAACATCAATCCCCACAGATACCAGAACTAACATCAATCCCCACAGATACCAGAACTAACATCAATCCCCACAGATACCAGAACTAACATCAATCCCCACAGATACTAGAAATAACATCAATCCCCACAGATAGCAGAACTAACATCAATCCCCACAGATACCAGAACTAACATTAATCCCCACAGATACCAGAACTAACATCAATCCCCACAGATACTAGAAATAACATCAATCCCCACAGATACTAGAACTAACATCAATCCCCACAGATACCAGAACTAGCATCAAGACAATCCCCACAGATACCAGAACTAGCATCAAGACAATCCCCACAGATACCAGAACTAACATCAAGACAATCCCCACAGATACCAGAACTAACATCAATCCCCACAGATACCAGAACTAACATCAATCCCCACAGATACCAGAACTAACATCAATCCCCACAGATACCAGAACTAACATCAATCCACACAGATACTAGAAATAACATCAATCCCCACAGATAGCAGAACTAACATCAATCCCCACAGATACCAGAACTAACATCAATCCCCACAGATACCAGAACTAACATCAATCCCCACAGATACTAGAACTAACATCAATCCCCACAGATACCAGAACTAACATCAATCCCCACAGATACCAGAACTAACATCAATCCCCACAGATACCGGAACTAACAACAATCCCCACAGATAGCAGAACTAACATCAATCCTCACAGATACCAGAATTAACATCAATCCCCACAGATACTAGAACTAACATCAATCCCCACAGATACCAGAACTAACATCAATCCCCACAGATACTAGAACTAACATCAATCCCCACAGATACTAGAACTAACATCAATCCCCACAGATACTAGAACTAACATCAATCCCCACAGATACTAGAACTACCATCACGACACTCCCCCTCCCCCATAGCCCCCAGCCCAGCAAGAGCGAGACAAAAACTGGGACGAGTCTTACAACGATGTGACTTGCTCAAGGCGGCCTCTCTAATACTGTTGCTAATTAAAATTGATTTTTAGCTTTCAATAGGGGAAAAGAACTCAGATATTAAAGCAATAAATATCAGGTTTCAAACTCCGTGTATGCGATTAAAATTAAACTTCTTTCTGTGAGGGACTTGTTTATCAGAGCAATGGTAAAGTCAAATGATGGTCAGACAAAGAAATGGTAAGAGAAGTAAACCTGTGTATCCAAATATAGCATTTATTTATTATATATCTATATATATCTCTATATCTATCTATCTATATATATATATATATATATATATATATATATATATATATATATATATATATATATATATATATATATATATATATGGTATAGAATATATATATAAAGATGTCAAGACAAGAAATGCCCAGCTGAATCTAGACGCAGAAAATTTTCGTTCTATGTTATTGAAAAAGTGCCATAATATGCTGTAAGAACAGGAAACATTTTACCAACCAGCTCGTCTGGGAGAGGACGTTCATGCACGTTCTGTATTTAACTATTTTCTTCTTTCTGTCTTGCTCTTTAGTCTGTTATTCCATTTTGTCGAGAAGAATGGATATCATTTTATTGTTTTTATTGAGATCTATTTATATTTTTTGGGAAAAAAAATGGTGTCATGCTGCAGTCTGTGTGGGACACTGTGAGGGGGGTTGACCTCCGACCCCACAGTGTCATGCTGCAGTCTCTGTGGGGAGGTTTGAGAAAACAATTTAGCAGACGTGAGAGTTGACTTGCCAGTAAAGTCAGGCCTTATTTGACCCAGCAGACTCCAGTTGGCGACGCCGAACAAACTGATTCACCGTTAGTGGGCACTTGTTAACACCTTGCGCATGCGCTGTCAGCGGTCACGTGAGTGTCAACATGTCTTCTGCTCAGAGTTTCCACCCGGCAACTTTTTTGTCCGCGCGTGTTTGTTTACTTGCCGCCAGTTTTGTGCCTTCCAGTGAACTCATGAGACGAGGTTGATTGCGTTTTGTCCAGCAGTTAAACACACAGCCCGGGGGGGGGGGGGGGACGACGGACCTGCGTGCTGTATGGGCCCGTCCAGTGGACTGTTGACACGCCCCTGACAGGGGGAGTGTACACAGGCGGCCCGTGTCACGGGGCTCTGGCAGTCAGACGAGGGTGACACCTCGCTCGTCTGCTGGAGCCTGCTCCTAACGGGAGTCACGTGCCCACAGTTCAAGTGATGACAGATGTCATCTTTTTAAACTCATCAATGTCACATTGTCATCTGGACTTCACATTGAGACATCTAAAAACTATTGTGTCTTCACATTGAGACATCTAAACTATTGTGTCTTCACATTGAGACATCTAAACTATTGTGTCTTACATTGAGACATCTAAACTATTGTGTCTTCACATTGAGACATCTAAACTATTGTCACATTGAGACATCTAAACTATTGTGTCTTACATTGAGACATCTAAACTATTGTCACATTGAGACATCTAAACTATTGTGTCTTACATTGAGACATCTAAACTATTGTGTCTTCACATTGAGACATCTAAACTATTGTGTCTCCACAACAAAAAATATCTTCACATTGAAGAATTACGACAATGAATCAACTGGTATTGTTAATGGCTGTAAACTGATACTTAGCATTTATTTTTTTCTGTTGGCCATAAAAATGTTATTATCAGGATAAAGTTAGTGCTAGTCCACCAATGTTATTTTTCTCTTTATTTTTGGTCCAACAATGTTATTTTCTCTTTATTTTTGGTCCAATAATGTTATTTTCTCATGTCTTTTGGTCCACCAATGTTATTTTCTCATGTCTTTTGGTCCACCAATGTTATTTTCTCATGTCTTTTGGTCCACCAATGTTATTTTCTCTTTATTTTTGGTCCAACAATGTTATTTTCTCATGTCTTTTGGTCCACCAATGTTATTTTCTCATGTCTTTTGGTCCACCAATGTTATTTTCTCATGTCTTTTGGTCCACCAATGTTATTTTCTCATGTCTTTTGGTCCACCAATGTTATTTTCTCATGTCTTTTGGTCCACCAATGTTATTTTCTCATGTCTTTTGGTCCAACAATGTTATTTTCTCATGTCTTCTGGTCCAACAATGTTATTTTGTCATGTCTTTTGGTCCACCAATGTAATTTTCTCATGTCTTTTGGTCCACCAATGTTATTTTCTCATGTCTTTTGGTCCAACAATGTTATTTTCTCATGTCTTTTGGTCCAACAATGTTATTTTCTCATGTCTTTTGGTCCACCAATGTTATTTTCTCATGTCTTTTGGTCCACCAATGTTATTTTCTCATGTCTTTTGGTCCACCAATGTTATTTTCTCATGTCTTTTGGTCCAACAATGTTATTTTCTCATGTCTTCTGGTCCACCAATGTTATTTTCTCATGTCTTTTGGTCCAACAATGTTATTTTCTCATGTCTTTTGGTCCAACAATGTTATTTTCTCATGTCTTTTGGTCCAACAATGTTATTTTCTCATGTCTTTTGGTCCAACAATGTTATTTTCTCATGTCTTTTGGTCCAACAATGTTATTTTCTCATGTCTTTTGGTCCACCAATGTTATTCTCTCATGTCTTTTGGTCCACCAATGTTATTTTCTCATGTCTTTTTGTCCACCAATGTTATTTTCTCATGTCTTTTGGTCCACCAATGTTATTTTCTCTTTATTTTTGGTCCAACAATGTTATTTTCTCATGTCTTTTGGTCCACCAATGTTATTTTCTCATGTCTTTTGGTCCACCAATGTTATTTTCTCATGTCTTTTGGTCCACCAATGTTATTTTCTCATGTCTTTTGGTCCACCAATGTTATTTTCTCATGTCTTTTGGTCCACCAATGTTATTTTCTCATGTCTTTTGGTCCAACAATGTTATTTTCTCATGTCTTCTGGTCCAACAATGTTATTTTCTCATGTCTTTTGGTCCACCAATGTTATTTTCTCATGTCTTTTGGTCCACCAATGTTATTTTCTCATGTCTTCTGGTCCAACAATGTTATTTTGTCATGTCTTTTGGTCCACATCCATGTCGTCAAGCTCTTGAAGTGACTCGACCAGAGGTTCCCATTGCGTCTCCTAAGGTGCCGTGGTCGTTAAATACCCAAGTTCTAAAAATAGCTGACCCAGTTTGCGTCACCTAGAAACTCCGGCCCCGGGCGACCGGTCCCTGGACTGCCGACTGTCTCCGGAAATCTCAGCCACGCTCTAGATACGCTTGTTCTACTTACTGACGTCAGCAAATGTGGCAGGTCACGTGGGATAACATTAAAAACAAATTAATCTACTTGTGCCGATAGTGTTGGATGATAACACGCAAGTTACATGCAAACTGCCGGCTCGGCCGTGTGCCGGCACGGTATCTTAGACTGCCGGTGTCCGGACGGTGAAGCGCAACAACTGCTGTCAAACTGTTTCAAATATCAGATGTGTGGGTTTGTACCGGCAGGCCAGGTACCAGCTGTTGGGTGGATGGCATGTCTGGCAGTTCACATCTGAACCATGTGTCCAGGTGTACGTTGTCTGGGGCATGTGTCCAGGTGTACGTTGTCTGGACCATGTGTCCAGGTGTACGTAGTCTGGGGCATGTGTCCAGGTGTACGTTGACCATGTGTCCAGGTGTACGTTGTCTGGGGCATGTGTCCAGGTGTACGTTGTCTGGGGCATGTGTCCAGGTGTACGTTGTCTGGGGCATGTGTCCAGGTGTACGTTGTCTGGGGCATGTGTCCAGGTGTACGTTGTCTGGGGCATGTGTCCAGGTGTACGTTGTCTGAGGCATGTGTCCAGGTGTACGTTGTCTGGGGCATGTGTCCAGGTGTACGTTGT